TTTGCTTGATGTTTATTCCATTTTCGCCGGGATCCATCCGCTGACTGTGCCCGTGGAACTAGTTCGTCGATTCGTTGATCCTCATGCGCGTGTTGCGCAGCGAAGCCCATCGACGCATCTCATGGCTCATCGCAGAGAAATCCTTCCGCCGCAAGTTTATCGGCATGTTGGCCCGAGGTATTGGCACGGTTCCGGTCAGCCGAGCGATGGATAACATGAAGCCGGGCAAGGGCACGATCTATCTGCCCGATCCCGTCAACCAGCCCACGCTGGTGCGCGGGGTGGGCACCGACTTCGAAGGTCCGGGCTATGAGAAAGACGGCACGATCGCGCTGCCCACCATCAACGGAGTCTCGCACAATGGAATTATCGCGGAGATCCACGGTCCTGAGGAGTTGGTCTTGAAGAAGCCACTCACACACAAGGACGCGCTCTTTCAGCTCACGGGGCGGACGGACATCTCGGACGAGGGAAAGTTCACGGGCGATGTCGCCGATCAGAACCTCGGCGACTTCAAAGGGTCCAAGTTCAAGGTGTCGCCTCATGTGGACCAGACCGCCGTCTACAATGCCGTCTTTGCTCGGTTAAACGCGGGTGGCTGTATTGGCATCTTTCCCGAAGGGGGCAGTCATGATCGGACCACCTTGTTGCCATTAAAAGGTGATTTCATCTGTTGTCGGATTTGTTGCTTGCATGCATCGGCTAACCCAATTCATAGCGGGCGTGGCCATGATGGCTCTGGGTACCTTGGCCGACAATCCCGACTGTGGGTTGAAGATCGTTCCCTGCGGGATGAACTATTTCCACGCTCATAAGTTTCGCTCGCGCGCCGTCATTGAGTTTGGTACCCCGATTGAAGTACCTAAGGAACTCGTAGATCTGTATAGAAAGGGAGAACGGCGCGAAGCGGTCGGCCCGCTTTTAGACCTTATATACCAGGCCCTTGGTGCGGTCACCGTGACGAGCCCGGATTACGACACTTTAATGGTTTGTGGAACGCTCAGTCGATGCAAGGGGCTCTAACTAATCCTTGTCTAGGCGATCCAAGCGGCCCGCCGTCTCTATAACACCCGGGGTAAAAAGCTCCCGTTGCCCATGGTCGTGGAACTGAATCGCCGTCTTGTAAAGGGGTACGCCCACTTCAAGGATGACCCGCGGATTGTCTTTCTGAAGAAATCTATCGCGGATTACAACCGAGAGCTGCGTCTCTTGGGGATCCGCGACCACCAGGTGGAATATGCGAGGTTCTCGTTTTTCCGGGTGATCGGCACCTTGGTCGGCCGCCTCCTTCAATTAGTCTTTCTTACGATAGGGACCCTTCCGGGGTTGCTCCTGTTCACGCCCGTCTTCATCGTCACCAAGGCGATCTCGGTCAGAAAGTCGAAAGAAGCCTTGGCGGCGTCCACGGTGAAGCTGCAGGGGCGGGATGTGATGGCTACCTGGAAGCTCCTCGTCGCCCTTGCATTTGCCCCCACGCTCTATGCCTTCTATACTGCGGCCTTTACCTACTGGGCTTACCGTAATCGAATCCAAGGGCTCCTCCCTTCCGGTATGCCGCTGTGGCTGATTGTGCCGATCGCCATGGTCCTGTTCCCGGCCATCACCTTTGCGGCTCTTCGGATCGGCGAGATCGGGATGGACATCGTCAAGTCCCTCCCGCCCCTGGTGCTCTCCTTGAATCCCACCTCCGCCAACAGCCTTGTAAGACTCCGCCATCAGCGCGCTGCATTGGCCCAACATGTGACCGAGGCCATCAACACGCTCGGCCCGGAGCTCTTTCCCGACTTCGACGCGGCCAGAGTCGTCTCCGACCCCTTCCGTGAACGGGACCGTCCAGTGAGGCAGGAAGGAGACGCGGCGGTGCCGGAGATCAAGCGGACCAGCACGAGCGAATGCGAAGAGGACACAAGGACCAAGGAGCCCCTGCCTCGGAACGAGTCCTTCCACAACCTGGCCAACATCGGCTTCTTCTCCACCCGGCCTCCCAGCCGCAGCCGTAGCCGCAGCTACAGCCACAGTCGCAGCAGCTCCTTTGGCGGGCGCCCGGGTTCATCGGGTCAACAGTTGAAACCCATGAGCCAGATCAACTCCAATGGCGAATTCGATCAGGTCAGTGCGAAGATCCGAGATGCCATGCGGGAACGCGGGGCTCGTCGACGCCGACAGAGCGAGGATAGTATCAGTGGGGGCGCGATCAGTTCCGACCCAGGGACTCCGTCGAGTGAGGAGGGTCGAAAGGATTTGTAATTAGTTCTTTCTTTATTTCTTTCCCTCTCTCTTCCCTTCCCACCTCCCTTTTTATTTACGGCCCCTTTTTGTTTCTCTGTTTCTCTATTCCCTGTTTATCTATTCCTTTTCCCTTCCCCTTTGACTTTTGTTTCTATATATCCGTACTAGCGGTGGTGTTTTGGCGTTGACTGTTTTGTGTATGTAATGGATGTGTGCCAGCGAAGGGTACGGAGGATGATGACGCCGGAGAAAGGGAGTAGCCTTAAATTGAGTAAAAAAGAAAGAAAAATAAATGGAGTAGCAGTTAGTCTCTAGAGGTTCAAAAAAGTATTTCTAGCCCAAAGACGAGATCCGAATGATTGAATTAATTAGAAGAAGAAGAAGAAGAAGAAGCAGGTGATATCCAAAGCTCCTCGGACCGTGCTAGTTCCGGGGGAGGATTTGGCCCGTGATTCTTCCCCGTTCTCCGAATCCGACTCCATGCGGTGCGCTGGTTACTGCTAACGTTGCTCATCATTTCCTCCACGTCGCTTCTCCTCTTGACCTGCATATCCCAGTCTACCGTCTCTCGATCCTGTTATTCGATCGATTCGCCACCTATCCCCGCAAACGCTTGGAACATTAGTCTTCAAAGAGGTCAACGAAACACTGCAGCCTGATGGACACAGCCTTACCACGAAGGATCTTCGCTCTTGTCGTGTCTCTTGGCCCCCGAGTGGCGTACATTGTGTGAAGGACAGACGGATTTTATCTAGCCAACCTCGTTCCTATACCTCCTATTCCGATCGGTCTTCTTCCTGCGAAAACCACAGCACCCGCCCGTCCAGTCCCACTTGATTATTCGTTTCCAGCCAGCGTCCAGTACATCAGTGATCGTTCGTTTCTTTTTCTATACCATGGCAACGTCTATGCACCTGTCGCGACTCCGGAAATGGATCGTCGCGTCTCCACCGATCGAGTTCGCCATTTCAAAACTGCGGGATCTCTTGGTGGGCGCCATCCGGCAGGGTCCAGTTCCACAGCATGTCGCGTTCGTGATGGATGGTAACCGACGATTTGCTCGGTCACATCGGATCGAGACGGTGGAGGGCCACAATCTGGGGTTTGAGGCATTAGCGCGGGTTAGTCTATCTTTTTTCATTATCTTCCAATCTTGTTACGATGCTTGGGGGGTGTGGTTACACAGTTGGACAAGATGCTGACCATATTGTCTGGCGGATAGATCTTAGAAGTCAGCTATCGGAGTGGGGTAAAGGTGGTCACGATCTACGCCTTCAGTATCGAGAATTTCAAGCGCTCGAAGTTCGAGGTAGACGCCCTGATGGAGATGGCCCGTGTCAAGCTCGGCCAGTTGGCACAACACGGGGACATCCTGGATCGGTACGGCGCACAAGTGAGGGTGCTGGGGCGGATGGACCTGCTCCGTCCGGACGTCCACGCGGCGTTCACGAAGGCTGTAGAAATGACCAGCCGCAACGGCAACTGCGTCCTCAACATCTGCTTCCCGTACACCTCGCGCGACGAGATCACCGGCGCCGTCCGCGACACCGTCGCAGAATACAGCACACCCCTACAGCCCGTGCACGCCTCAACAGGCAGCGTCCGCTCGCCGTTCTCCGAGTCCCACATCGCCCTCAACATCCAAGCGCAGTCGCAGTCCCCGCCGGAGCCCCAAGCAACAGCAGCGGAAGACACCCCCAGCGACATCGAGTCCGCCTCGGGATCGTCCACCCGCAGTGAAGACGACCACCCATCGTCCCCACCAGGCAAAGTCTACGAAGGCACCGGCTCATCCTTCTCCTCCTCCACAACCCTCCACCTCGCCGAAGCCAAAGCCGCCGCCGCCGCCGGGGGCAACAGCAACAACAACAACAACAACGACAACAACACAAGCGGCAAATTCCAGTCACCCGAGACCATCACCAGCCAGACCATCTCCGACCACCTCTACACAAAGGGCAACCCGCCGCTGGACCTGCTCATTCGCACGTCGGGCGTCGAGCGCCTCAGCGACTTCATGCTCTGGCAGGGCAACGAGAACACGGAAATCGTCTTCCTAGACGTCATGTGGCCCGAGTTCGACCTGTGGCATTTCCTTCCTGTTTTGCTGCGCTGGCAGCGCCGTATCTCCAAGCAGAAGGTGAACCCCGAAGCCGAGGGTGACTTTGAGGGTGACTCCACCCCCGAACAGCAAAAGCAACAGTCGCCGTCGTCGACCGATGACGTCCCCAGCGACGATATGCTGCTGCATAACGACGCCAAACTCAAGGGCTTGTAAAATAATCCTTACTGTCCATCACCTGATTTGTGTATACGCCCCTTTTACCCCTTACCCCTCACCACCTCACCATACATACAACCTCCTTACATATTTACTATACATATGTAGCGGTCTATTAGACTCTTGGCGAGACTTGCATTGTGATATTACCATGAGTAGAACGGACATTGTTGAGTCCTAGATAGAGACTAGAAGTAGTCTGGATAATCTTAATAAATATGCATGCTGTACTGTATTATCCAACGTCTATACCATTTATAACTCTTATACCGCAGGAATAGACTCGTATCTCGACTAGCCAGCAGCCATAGATATATAATATCTGTGACTAGTTTCTTCAGCCCAGCAGAAGATAACAGAAGATAATTCCACTAGAGAGATGATGCACAAGAAAAGGGTAACGACTAGACTGGGTAACCATGCCACATAAATAGACAGACAGACAGATAGCTAGATAGATAGACAATTCGCATTCCCTATCTCAGCCTAATTACAGAGTACTGCCCGTCACCCGTACCTACTATACGTCTTTTTCTTTCTAAAAACCTGTATTTTCCTTTTTGTTTCTATATCCAGGACACAATTCATCGTAATGTATAGATAGATAGGTATAAAGTATCATGATATAGGATATCATACCATGATCTCCCTCGGCGTAAAACACGTCTTAAAGTTATATTGTCGCACGAACCACGCGTTCCAGAGTTTCCATTCCTGGTCTGGGTGGGCGAGTTTCACCTGTCATCATAGAGTTAGCGATACCGTCATACTTACACTTTGTCAAAAAGAGGGAAAGAGGAAAAAAAAAAAACTCACGTCAAACCGTCTCAAGAAACTCGGCACAATCTTATAAATCTCCATCAGAGAAATATTCTTCCCAATACAAGTCCTTGACCCCGCCCCAAACTGCAGCATCTTCCCCTCCATCGCCTTCAGCTTCTCCGGCTCAGCTTCCAACCACCGCTCCGGAACAAAGCTCTCCGTATCAGGGCCGAAGATGTCCTCTCTCCGGTGGATCACCCAGGGACTACAGCCCACGATCGTGCCTCCAGGGATGAACCGCCCTGAGATTTCGACCCCGGCGGCGGGGACGACGCGCTCGAGGGGTAGACCCGCTGCAGGATGTAGCCGGAAGGCTTCCTTGATGCAGGCGTCGAGGTAGGGTAGTTTGCGGGATTCAGACCACGAGACGAGGCCTGTTGGGCGGTTGGCAATTGTGCCGGCGGTGACTGCGTCGTCGAGTTCTTGGCGCAGGCGAGCCATGCAGGATGGTGCTTTTAAGAGGTAGTAGAAGACGGCGGCGATGCTGATGGCTGTTGTTTCGGAGCCGGCAAAGGCCATAGACACGGCCATTGTGAGGATGCGCTTGTTGGTCATGAAGTCTGGACGGGCTTCGCCTGCTTTGAGGAACATTGTGAGGAGGTCGTCTTTGGGGGAGGAGCCCGCGCCCGCCGGGGTGGATTTGGCGGCGAGACGCTCTTGCATGCGCTGCTTGGCGAAAACGGCCACGGGGTGGGAGTTATCCGCGAGGTTGAGTTTCTGGAGGAGGTCGAAGATGGGGTTCTTCCAGAGGAGCTTGTCGAGCCAGGGCATTTGGCCGACGGGGGCGGAGTAGTCGAAGATCCTGGCGAGGGACTGCACGATGCCGTCGACGTCGTGGTTGTTTTCGACGAAGCCGTGCCGCTTGCTGTATGTTATGCTGCCGATGACGTCGAAGGCGAAGAACTGCAGCCAGCGCGCGAAGTCGCAGACTGTGGTGCCGTTGGCGAAGACGCGGCTGGTCTGGTCGAGGAAGATCTCCGTGGTTTCGTCTACGAGGGGCTCGTACTGGACTAGCGAGCTCATGGAGAAGGCGTGGTTTACGGAGCGGCGGAGGTTGGCGTGGAAGGATTCGTCCAGCGTTGAGAAGAGGGATGGGAGTGGTTCGCCTTTGGAGACTGTCATTTGGACGGGGTAGAATTCGGACTGTCTTTGTTAGATGCTGGTCTGATATTGATGTTGGGATTGGGGGGTTTTTACCTTAGTGAATCCCTTATTCAAGCCATAGATGACTTTGATGGCTTTCGGATCCGCAAATGATAACGTGCGGGGCCCCAGACGCACGATGTCCCCGTACTGGCGATGCAATTCGATGTGGGTCCGTTCCGGACGTCGCCCTTTTACATCGAGATAGCGCCACAGATCCGTGAAGTGCGCCCAGAAGGGCCCCGGAAAGACATGGAGAGAGTTATAGAAATAGTTGAGCGAGAGATAGAGGAGGAGACAGGGGACCGCGTAGAACGCGCAAGACAGCGCGGAATCCGGAACCACCGCGAAAGTAACCGTCATGGTGTCTGATTGCCTCGGGATGGATCAAAAAGACGGACGGCATGATATACATATATATATATGTAGGTCATTAGTTAGCAAGTCAGTCGGTTGGTCGGTTGGTTTAGTTGTTAGTTAGCTCGTCCATGATCTTCACCGCGCAGAGAGCCAGCCAAACGGCCATCCAGTCCAATCCAACACGGATATCGGCAGTTGCAGATGCCCGGATCCGATCGACGTGGACAAACCTGCGATAAGACTACCAATCCCATCGAAAGGCATGTTTTAGTCCTCCACCGACGCTGTGGGTGGAGGAGGAATTTCGCAGTTTCTCCGCAGCGTTACCTCCATCATTCCGTGGGAGGGGCTAGAGAGCGATGGAGTATAGTTGGTCAAGTCCGTCTGCTCCAGCCCGTGCGTCGGCATTTGGGGGCCCGTTCACCAGCCGAACTTGTCCTCCCTCGCAGGATCTTCCAGTATATCAGTTCAACGGTTATTCAACGGTTAAATCTGGCGTTTACCGATGGGTATCGGTCGGTCGTTCATATCTTTTCTCAGGCGGAGTCCTCCGGACATTGTCCATTATCTTGTATAGACTTAATGATCTTATAGAGATTGGACTTATAGATTGAATCCCTGGTCTTCAATACTCGGGAATTAGAAAGCTAAGTGAGAGCCGATATCTACAACACACACAGTCAAATACCAGATCAATCTTCTATCAACGCATCATCTGTCCCACCGGACGCTGCAACCGGCTATCCACTCTGTTCCCCGCACGGAGTGGTTCCGAGCGGATTGCCCAGACGAACAGAAAGTAAACTGAGCTACATCGCCTTCATCTCGACCCTACACTGGAAATATACCTGTTCTTTTATCATTCTCGGTTTGTTGTCTGTTGAGCTGCCAGTGGCGGACGCCACGTGTTGTGATGACGTCATCGATACAAACCCTAATTCAGGCATCCAGGCCGCAGTGGGTGGCAGCATGGAATCCATCTATCTGGTGAGCTGGGCTGGTCAGAATAGTCCAAGGGAGAACAGTACCTTCTGGTTTTATAGGTCTTGAAGAAGTACTTGAGGGGTTACTCTGGGGATGATCCGAATAAGCGCTCTCTGGGTTTGTACCAATTGACTATATCCTACTTCAAGTCCATTTGGAGGAGTGGATAATGTAGAATTATGGATGTAAGCACCCAACTAAGCATGAGAGCATCAAATAGAGCCAGTAAACTATACCTAGCCGAGCCAATCAATTAATTCAATAATTACCATGTTCGACGAGAAGTAGCAAACCAACACAATTAAGTCAGCCAACCAGCCCGCAGAAGAAACGACGAAGACTGCCTGCAAGTCAAATGACCACATCCAACTCACCAGCACACATTATCAAGCGGGCCTAGCTTATGGCAAACATTGCTCTTTTCATACTGCGTGCGTCTTGACCGCCACCAGCCGAGCGGCATTCTCCCCGAACATATCTGCCGGTGTCACTTGCAGACTCCCCTCCTACATGATAACGATCACCTTGGTCAATCGGGCGCTGGCGCTGCCGTGACTCCTTGAACAGCGCTTCTCAATATTTGCAGGCGCCTGGCCCTTCGCGGGCTCATATGCGAAACGTACTGGAAGGGAAGAGGAAAGAGTACCACGGTGACATTCTCCTACCCGCGGTCTGCATCGCTGCGAGCTGCATAGTTGTATCTTTCTCTGCTCGCAGTAGGCAGTAGCCACGCAACACCTCACGGTTCTCGGCGCAGTTGTTTGCTGCTGTTGGGCACCGTTACATCCAGATAACAGGTCAATTCCCGTAGACTATGCTTCTCCTTCCGTCCTCATTGTTGATTCTAGCCAAAGGGTATTTCAGTTGACACGTAAAAAGTCAAGTGTCCTGCAAGGAATGTAGAGCCCCACCATACAGGTGTGGGGTTGCATTCCGCAAAGTATTTCAATATAGCTAGGCTGAGAATGCAAGAATGAGGACAACATGGTAGGATACACAAATTATTGTCTTTGTGCAGAACGCGCTGTTATCTTAAGCATGTGGGTAGTGGAGGGAAAGAAGACTGCTATACACTTTCTATTTCTACAGCTACTAGTACATGATTAAATTAACATGCCAAACGATATAGCTCCCCATAGCTCCCCATAGCTCCAAAGGATTCTTCATCCAGGCTAATGCCAGAGCTGATGAATAACACCGCTCACACTCGTTGCCTGTGGTTATATCTGCGGGTAACAACTGAGACGGCTATCATCCGAATCGGCCCCAACACACTGATGGCACGTTATCAGATTACTCGGGTCAACGTCCTTCTTGATCTTGAGAAGACGGTCGTAATTCTTCTCTCCCCAGAAACTGTCGGTGTGATTTGGCTCGTAGACATCAGCTTCGTTTTGATAGGCACCGCTGTTGGGGGTGATTTCGCGCAACGGGCTCACGAGTTCGCTAGCCTCTTTGAAGCGCTCGGCGAAAAATTCGGGAGTATGTGGTTTCTGACCATCGGTGTCCCAAGTTGACTGCAACATAATATGCCAGACAGCCTCTCTCTGTTCATCCACAATGTTAGCGAAAGGAGTAAACCCATGTTTAAAAAGGGGAAAGAGAGAAGTGCTTACCCACGCAGGAGTGACTGACGCCTCTCCAGGACCTCCTGGCTGGTCTGACTCGGGCAACTCATATCCAAGAGGTGCAACCATGTTGATACCGAAAGGCATGTTTGAAAGCACATCGGTAAGCTCCTGTCGCTTGGACTCCGTTTCAAAGTTTTCTTTCAGAACGAGACGGGAGGACTGGGCGACAGAGATTCCGTCGATGAGACCGCCGATGAATTGGATCGCAGGACTTTGCAGGAATTCCCAGTAGTTCTCAACGGTCGTCACGTCCACCCCAAAGCGAAGGGTACCGTTGTTACGGGGCCGGGCGAAGTCGATCAGTGGTTTCATGGACAGTTTTGCTTCTTCGTGCGTGAGCTTGGGCGTAACTGCCAGCATGAGACTAGTTGACTCTCCCAGAGAGCTCATGTACCCTCCCCAGCCGTCTTCAGCCCATTTCACCCCATTGTCCACCACGAGAGCTGTTACCTCCCTAGCGGTCAACGGGGATGCAAACGAAATAACTGCCATCTTCATGGGGGAAAAGGTTTATCATCAGCATAACGGCATTGACAGAGGGAGGAGGCCAACAATGGCACAGGCTCGCTCACCTGCAAGGGAACTTCAGGAAAGACCCGCGCCGTGGTTTCTGTCACCACACCGAACGAGGCACCGCCGCCTCCACGGAGCGCAAAGAAAATCTCCTGGTTTTGACAGCGGTTGGCCGTGACATAGGTCCCATTAGGTAGAACAACTTTCATTTGCATGGCGTTGTCAACACCCAGGCCATGGACCGGGGAAAGGAGACTATGGCCTCCCCCTGTAACATATCCTCCGGATGCACCCACTGTTGGACAAGCTCCCCCTATTGCCTTTGGAAGATTTGTCAGTCAGAAGCCCAGTATGTTTCTATGGTAGAGAATACTGTAGCACATACCATGTATCCATTTTGGTGGGCAAACTCATATATGCCTTCAAAGCCCTGACCGGCACCGTATGTTATAGTAGGGCCAACCGACTTTCCGCAACCATCTGGTGTGAAGTCTTTGTCCAAGTGAATCGGAGGCTGGAGGTTGTGTGTCCTGCACCGGGGCAAAATCAAGTTGGTTCAACAAGTTAGATGCCAAGTGTCCCTATCAAAGTGGATGAGGAAAGATATTGACGTACCAAATTGCCAAGCTATGACGTCCAGCACTGCGGCCCTTGTAGTCGTGCCCTGTATTTTTGATCACCAGGGGAATACGGTGCGCTTCAGCAAACTTCAATCCCGCCTGGATGTCCCGCACGTTCCGCACATCGACGTAATAGTCCGGTACGCTGCCCTGGTAGCATGTGCCCGGAAGGGGATTGGTAGTGTCATTCGCTGGCAAATTGGCAAGGGGACATCCGTGACCCGCAGTCATACATGATCCATAGAAGGCATCATGATATGCAGCAGGTTGAGAGCTGATAAAGTCAACATTGCGCCTGTTTTTCTGTGCGATCTGGCAGGCTTCTAGGTCTGGGGCACGGAACGACGTCTGACCATTAGGGTCGTATTTCAGATAACAAGGCTCCGCCAGAGGCCTCAAAACACCGAGTCGACCCTCAACACTTGCATTGAGAGCGTTCCAATCCGCATTGGAAACCTTGAGGATGGCTGGCTGAACGGACGCAAATGCTGGCGCCGTGCTGGCAAGCATCAACAGCCAAAGGCTAGGCGTATGAATAAACATGACTGCCTCTGATCAGGGAGGTAGCTGGAGGAAGGGAAACCAAATACTTGTACTAGAAAATGAGCAGAAATGGCAGACGGCAAGTGAGTATATAAAGTAGGTCAATTAATTACATCGGTTTAGGAACCTATCCATGGAAACAGTGTTGCCTATGCATGATCAATAGTAGCCAGGCTGCTCAGCCTGGCTATTAAGTAAAAGAAATGGCACTCGCCCATGGAGCCCTTTGGCCTTTAGGCCCCAGGATAACGTCTGCCCAAATATGAACTGGCAGACTTGCCAACAAGCTTTACAATAGACTGACTAGCTAGTATGTCTTGCCCAATGAAAACCCCAACGTGATTCCCGGAGCCCTGCTGCATAGGTTCCATGGTCTCATCAGTAAGCATGTCCCTCTGCCAATTACCAATTCAGGCCCACTGTCCTGCCAAGATCCTTACACTGCCACAATCAGGGTGGATGGATTCTCCATATTATATCGCTTAGAGTCTCCATAATATTTCATTCCCTGATTTGTACACGCTTTTTTCTGCCCTGGATGTCCTGGCCGACAGTAACCGAAGGCCCAGTATGTTGATGATCCATCAATCTGGCGACCCGTCGTTGTACTTGCTGAGTTCTCATGAGTTCTAAAATCATTTGGTTTGTATCGCTCTACTCATCTACTTATCAGCCTTCTTATTCATAAGTGCAGGCATTATTGATACTTAGCATGGGGTTTAGCTCGTCCGTACCAGGTTTGGCGCATCATGCTAACCCTGATCAGGATCGGTCGTTGCCCCCTGCCTGTCTCGCGACGTCCACCAAGACCAAGATTCATTTAGCTCTGGTGTTTAGTTCAACTACTCCCATCAAGTCTTAGCATCACACCTTTCATTCTAGAGTTATATTAATATGAACGGGTTCGTCTTATGACAAAGCCTGACCATCGATAAATCGAGGAAACCCTTGGAAGCCGATCCAAAGCTCACCAGTCCCGGGCGGGCCACCGACAATCTCCTTCTTGCGATCCTTGAGCTCATCCACATCCCACGCGGCGAAGACGATCTTGTCTTTGAGAAATTCTGCTTCGGGGGAGGCAATCCAGACGAGGAAATCCGCCGGAAGAGAGACTGCGCGAGAAGAGAAGAACAAGAACGATCGTTAGTTGCTTGAGAGCACAGACAGAATATCTCCCAAAGCAGGGCGAGGAATTAAGTGATACGTACTGTCGTCATAGGGAAATGGCAATTTCACGTTCTCCTCCAGCTTGGCCGACATGGCCGTTTTGAGGAACCCGGGATGCACATTGTGAAGACGCACTTGCGGGTTCTCGGCGGCAAAGGACTGTAGGAGCTTGACGGCAGCCATCTTGCTGCTCACGTAGGCGCCCATTCCGGCGAACGGGGGAAACAAGATGCCGGCCGTGGTCAGGTTGATGAAGGTGACGGGCTTGTCCTCGTTGGTGCTGACAGACTGGTTTGCCCGGACGACCGCCTGGGCGGCCACCAGCGTCCCGACCACCGTAGTCTTGTAGCCGTCTAGAAAGGTCGTCGGATCCGCCTCGAGAAGGGGAACAACGGGGGCCAGGACGCCGGCACAGTGGACGAGGATGTCGATGCCGCCGAACTGAGCCGCCGCCTTGTTCATGGCATCGCGGACGGCCGACGCGTCGCACAGCTCCGCCGGGTAGGTTTGAATTGTCACGTCTGCTTGACTGGCGCGAACGGCCGTGGCGGTTTCCGCCAGCGCGTCGGCGCGGCGACCGAGGAGGATTAGGGCTCGGGGCCCTGATGCCGCAAAGGATGAGGCGGTGGCCCGGCCGATGCCGCCTGATGCGCCTGTAATCAGCACAACCTTGCCCGCCGTGGAGAGGCCGGGCTGGGCTGGGTCGATGCTTGCATATGTGGCGGAATGAGTGACCTTGGTGTATGAGGGCGGTTGCGGGGCCATGGTTTGAGATTGTCGACTCGTTTTCTCTCTCTTCGTGGCTTGGCTGCTAGGTTTGTAGTGCGGGAGAGAGGGCCTGTAAATGGGTATCAATTCAATGTAGATAGACAGTATTCAGCGTGCAAGAGGCCTAAACAATGCGAATGCAAAGGTAGCGGCGAAGATGACCGGTCAAGCTGGTTAAAGTGTTGACCGAGCAGACAGGCAGGTAGCTACGACGAAGAGATGAGATTATTGAAAAAGGGGGTGAGAGCGGTAGTGGCAGTAATAATGCAATATATAACCAGCCAATTTAAGCCTCGTCGGTGTCTTTTTGGTCCTAAGTTTTGCATACTAACATGCATCTGGCCGTAAGCACTACGGATGAGCGGGTGGCTTGTATCATGGAATGTCTAGAGAATAGCGAATAGTGAGGTCCCCGTGTCTAGGCAAGGCTCCACCCGGAGTGGGACCAGTAGCTGTTAGACAAGTGAAATGGGGATTCGCCAATCTCAAGCTAGGTAACCTAGGTAGGCGCCATTTAGTGAGCTTCTTTTCTGCCACCTTGCCAAGTCTTAGATATAGACTAAACTGATCCTTCCTATCGCAGAATCCCAAAGCAAAAGACGAGGGACAGCCAGATTGACCAACCTGAAGAAGCTTTTCCTAACATTGAAGAACTGATAAAGATCACGATCTGGCTCAATGGGGACTAGGATTTAGTTCACTCGTTGGGATGCTTCAAGGAAACGGCCCGTTTATCTGGCAACCAGGAACCTACAGCCCTAGTCCCAACCCTTATTCTTGGGCGAATCTCACGAAGATGGTCTATGTTGACCAGCCTGCGGGGATGGGCTTCCTCTCTGGGCCGTCGACCGTGACTGATGAGTGAGATGTTGCGCGACAATTCAACAGCTGGTTCAAGAATTTTGTGGACACTTTTGACCTTCATGGACGGAAGATTTACCTAGTTGGAGAGAGTGATGCCGGCCAGTACATTCCCTACATTACGTCTGACATGTTGGATAGAAAGAGTACACGTTACTTCAACCTTCGTGGAATCCAACTGATTGACCCGATGGTCAATGGTGATTCCGCCATGATCTACAGTACATAATCTACGAATATCACCTGTAACCTTGCTGTATACTAAGCTCCACCCCCCAGACCCAAGCAGCGTTCCTCGTCAACCTCTGCTTCAACAGATACCACCTGACAGACTTCTGCCCCTGCCTCTGGAACACAAGGAACACAAAGGGTCTTACCCCTCGCGCAGGGGGCCCCATTCAACTACTTCGACCGACCCGACCCGACGTGCAGCAAATTCTGCACATTCCTCAAACAGTCTACTCCGCGCGCACCGCAGATGAGGTCTTCCCAAAGGGCGATCCATCGCCTCCCAGCGCACTCGGGCTCCTCCCAAGCGTCATCGAGCGCACAAACAACACAATCATCACACACGGATGACTCGACTACTTGATGTCACTGAATGAATCGCTCGTTACAATCCAGAACATGACCTGAAACGGGCGCGCAGGAGTTCTACCATCAATCAACCGACGGGGTTAACCTCTTCTAGAGTTCCTCCTCCTCGAACAGACCAACATCTTATCCAGCATATTGATAATACCCCCCATCCAAGCTGACAAAACAACAAGGCCGGCTGGCCCAATGGCAAGGCGCTTGACTACGAATCAAGAGATTGCAGGTTCGACCCCTGCGTCGGTCAATAATCTTTTTTATAACCCGGAATCATGCCCACTGTGTTGGCCTTTGGGGGATTACCCTGTGTGTATTCCATATCGAGGACGCGCCCGCATACCCATGGGAGGTCTCTGGGTCGCGCTACTTTTGCTACGAAGGTGGCGAAGTGAAGGGGTTGGTGGTCCCACCGGCATATTAATAAACTCTACCATTACTAGCTAGCTAAAGTTGTAGCTGCTTCGATCGTATACAATCATTCTTCCAAAGACCAGACCCAAAGCAGTCTGTCATATGCTGTACACCAACTCACATCCCCAGCAGCGCGCTCCTCCCCCACAACCCCAAGCCACACCTTCTGCAGGAAATAACAACGGACATATCTCCTGCGCAAACCAGTGGCGTGCGGAAACTTCCCGCCGCATACGAGACAGTCGCCGGCCGCAGGACCCCGGCCTTCTCGAGCGCATCATCACTCGCCTTTGCCACCTGCCACTGGATGTTCTTTTTTGAGCCGAACCTCACGGGGCCGGTGGGGAGGATTGTGGATGAGGGAAGGGGGCTCGGGAAGCCGGTGAGGAGGGCTTTATGCAGAGCTACGAGGCGTTCGTCGTCTGTGCTGTGAGGACCAGGGAGGGGACCGTAGACATCGATCTGACCATCTTCATCCAAAGGCTGTTGTGGCTATGTAGAAGACATGTGGCAGTTCTGGGGTTTTCTTTATTTCTTTCTTTTTGCCTTCTACTTTGTTCCTGTGTTGGTTTACGTTTTTCAAGCGTTCATATAAGTTTTATAGTCGGTGGTGGTGATTCCATTTACCCTGCCCTCTCCAGTATTGAGCAGATGCTCTGCCTCCAGATGACTCAACGCCATATGTAACGATTGAGGCGGACCATCCAGGTTGCTCATTTCCTCGAAGGACCCGTCCCTGCGATAAACACCCTACCCGCTGATATCTAGTTACATCTTGTTTAAATTGCTCAATCCGCTGTCAGAACGAGAGAACAGCCTTCTTATCCCTAAGTCGCAACGAAGCTGTCAAGGGGTATCGAATACTAAACCCGCTTGGCCCCATGCCACCACTCTCGCCTTCCGGAAACTCGAATGATATTACTTCCCCTCGGGCCAAATGACAATCCTGCACACTCTTCGTATGCTCGTGTGCGGGTACTCGCTCAAGGGCTGCCGTGGGTTTCTGCTTCCATGAAGTCGAAGCCCTGGCTCACCCTGACGACCCACTCGTGCTCCCGTCCACGCATTTATTCAAGTCCTCCTATACGGTGGTTAGACTGAGGGGTCACAGTGTGATCTGGACGACTTACCGGAGAAAGTGGCGCTGGTAGATCAATATACAACGTATCAAAACGCAACTAAATGACACACTGGTCAATTATGATCTGTATAGAACATATCGATGTGTACGAACCGTTAGTGACCAACGGCCTGGGAAACGCTCTTCGAGCAGATTGGCCAAGCGCTGTCTGATGATATATCTGGAGCTTACTACTTGACGTATCCCGTACTCTGACGGCAGACTTTGTGTGTTTTTCTGCTGGTTATCATTATGATTATCATTGCTGGCCGATGTTGCTGCGTCGTTTCGTTCGGTGCTTGGCTGCTCTCTGGGCTTATTCTTGTTGGGCTTTCCAGACCTTATGGCCTCTGCAAAGCGTCTTCTCATAATAAGAAAATTCCCCTCTTGCGGCCGTTGGGTCCAGAATCCCAGAATTGATTTGATGATAGCTGCCCAGGCACATCGGTTCGGCCAGCCTCGTCATTGTGGAGGTTGAGCTGAAGTCGTACCCCGCCTCGTCGCGCCAAGCCAAGCCTCGCAGGCGCAGGAGCCGCTAGTAGACGTGCATGCGCTTCAAGAGGGAAAGGATTCTCAGCTGAATATGTCATCTGTTCGCCTCCTTGGCTGGGCGACGCCAGTCCCAAGAACCAGCACCATGGGCTTGCCATCGTGGAGCCTAAATGGCTTAAAAAACACCCGGAAACGACTCAAATTCACCGACTCCGCAAGGCATCCATCAATATTGCAACAATGTCATGTTGTGGAAGCAAGGTGGACCAGGTCAGTGGCAACTTATCTCTGCCATGGTATCAGAGATCATTGACCCAGATTCAGTGGTGGAAGTAGCCCTTCTGGTGTTCATTTCGACCATGTTCTCAGCACCGATGCAGAGATTTGCGATCGTATCAAAAAGGTATGGAGGTTTTGTTGGAGATGTCCATCCTCTTACAAGAGATTGACAGCCGCTCGTGTCGACAATGCCAACCACCTCGGACGGCCATTGGAGCTGGGGGTTCCGTCTAATGTGAGTTCAATGGAGAGAATCATACGGGACTTGACTGAAATACGTGCAGAATCTCGCTACGGGACGACACGTACTTGGCTCCAGACCGGCCATTTGACCTCTCATCATCCTTCGACCTCTGTAACTTCTCCATGTCGAAGTCCACTCTCGTGGCCGTGCTTCGCCATTTAAGCCTCGAACCGGAGTTCATTGAGACCGTTACGTCTTTGGGAGACGACTCGAAGGTTTCATTCTCCTTAGAAGACCTGGATTCTCAAAGTCTGAGTCTGTTGCCCTTGCCTCGCCTTCATCGCGCTGCATCTGACATGCCCTCAATTGTTTTTCAACAGGTTACATTATGCGGACAGAACGAGCGCTGCCATCAGACTTGATCCTCGCCGTAAGGTCCACAGCTGATGACCATCACTCATTCACGACTGGATTCCTCCATGGCTGTACGGAAAATGAAGCCCAACATATCGTAGGATGGCTGAAGCAGGCCTCTCAAGCCTTGCAAGAACCCACCCTTATGGCCTTTCTTCTGGCTGAGATCCAATATGAGCGCCATACCCACATCACCCAAGAATACTGGCGGCGATACGACGACCTCTTCTTCGAACTCCAAGAAAAAGCTAGAGTGATAGCCAAACTCTCCCCTTTCACGGAGGACAGGACCCGCGATCTGCCCGAGATAGCTGACTGGTTGAGCACCATTTTCGCCATGCACAGCAAGCACGGCCGTATGTATCGTCATTTCTGTACCTTCCAAGCAAACATCGACTTGCTGCAAGACCTCGCGGAACAGTCGTTGCAGAGACAAACAACTCCACTTAGCCCCCGGTTCCAGACAGCAACCTCAATTACCCACCGGTTGCAGCAAATAGCTACTGGATACAAGGACCTGGAACAGCAAACATTGCTCCTCAAGGAAGGCTCCAGTCTCTTACTGACTACAGTGAGTCCCATTCCCCTCAAACAAACCCATACCGCCAATCCATGTTGGAGTCGATATTGACAACACAATCCTAAGTTGTGGAGCTTAATCGCCCAAAGCGACAGCAAAAGATCCCAGAAGGCAAATATCATCAACCGGGAGATTGCCACTTCGAGTCGCGTCATCGCCAAAGCAAGTGGGCACGATAGCTCGGCGATGAAAGCGCTCGCTGTCCTCACCATGGTGTTCTTGCCTGGAACCACACTGGCAGTAAGTCTCTTCCAATCCAGCCACCCCATAACCCACTTGCGCTTAAGTAGGAAAATAACCAGTATTCACTAGACCGTCTTCGCCCTTCCTGCATTTGACTGGGAGTCTCATAGTTTCTGGCCCACGGCCCGATCGAGTATCTGGATCTTCTGTGCCCTCTCAGCCATCTTGACGCTCCTGGTGCTCTACACTTGGCGGTACTGGTTCCTCGGTACGATTTGGGAGAAAGACGCGGCTGACGGCACTAACGTGTCGTACCGGGGACTGGATCGATTCCTGCTCCGGCGCCATGACCGGCAGAAATTCGTGAGCCCGGAGGGCAGAAGTCAATATGCCGAGCAGGACAGAGGGTCTAGACCGGGTATGGGGATAAGAAGGTCGTCTTCTAGAATTGTTGCCCAGTCTAGGCTGGGCCAGCGCGCGTCGGTACCGATCCGGTAACGATTATTGTGTGGCAGCTAGACCACCGGGATCATTGCGGAGAAGAATAGCATTGGCCATGAACGGGGCGCAGAATGTATCCTGAAGTAGATTGTAGGCGAAAGATATCATACTCGATTACCACTTTCGATATGTGGCAGAAGAACACAAAGTCACTTGCTGCACTGGACATCCACCGTGTCTCCTCCCTGGCTATTCAATAGGTGCATAAGCTTCTTTGAGAGCTCACTCGCTCCCAACCGCTGACTGCCAATGGGTACAAGCATGTCGCTCTTGATGACGCTCAATAAGATCACAAACGCAGGGCTCAATCTGTCATCCTGCTCGAGCCTCTTTATCAACGACATAACAGAAGATCTAACCTCAGCACCAGCATACCGCTCGTCTTCAGTATTGAGAGTAAAGAAATAATCGTCCTGGACCCTCTTTCCGAGTAGAGGGTCTGGTGCGATTCGCTCGTCGGCGAAAGTTTCGAGTCCGCTCGGCCCTTCAAGCCACCAGATAATCATCTCAAGAAAAAGTCCACCCAGCGACCAGATATCGTACAACGGTCCAATCGCGGTTTGAAGGTAGCATTCTGGTCCTTGATACGTGCCGGTTTCCGACGGAACAGTATATTGGCTTTCGTCTTGAAATAACTGCGCCATGGCCATACTAGCGATCTGAAGTCTACAACTCGCGATACTAGCTGGATGGCCGCAAGGGGCTTTTGAACCTTTCATGACAAGTATGTTAGCGGGCCGGAGATCACCGTGTCGGCACTGAGTGCGTGATCGACATCCATTGCTTTCGGGTATGCGGTGAATAGCTGCAAGTCCATCCAAAAGGCCAATGAACTGTTGAAGAGTCCAGAGGCCAAGCTCACATCGTTGATTGGGCGGTATTGCCCGCATCATCATCTCGGAGAGATCGCATTCAGCCCATGGAAATATAATACCGCGGGTGTTCTGGTTTGAAAATGCCACGAGAAGCTTTACGATATTGCGGCTGGAAACTTGGTTGAGAAGCTGAAGGATGTGGACTTCATGCTGGAATCTTATACTGGCTTTGGTTTTGAACAGTTTGAGAGCTAGAACGGGAGTCGCAGCAACCTGGGAAATGAGGTTTGTTTAATAGCAGTACCAATGAGAAAGGGACAAGGCATTTCATACATCATCGCCATTGAAAAATCCGAGATGCGAAGGATGGATTTGAACTTGACGGAGGGTTCGATTGTCTGATTCCTTGCTTACAGGACTAGCAGATATGAACGGTAGAGGCACAGAGAGATGAATGCTGATGGATTGACCTTCAGTCTGAAAAACTGGCGCAAGGAAAATCCACTGGTCGCGCAGAATCCTGGCCTCGCATTCTGTGCCCCAGCCGAAGCTAGCTCTTTCATTTAATGGTAGGCTCGTATCATCGAGATGATGCGATCCGAGAGAGAAGACTCGGTGGGCCTGGCCGATCCAGACCAGGAGGGCGAAAAACCTGGGTGCTGTTTGAACGATGGTCGCAGTCAGTCTTTCGTGAGACTCGGAGGACTGTTTGTCTAACTCTTGGAGTATGCCATGCACGGTCCCAGGCTCGATAAGCGCGTTGAGCTCACCAATGGGAACAAAGAATGCTGCCGTATTGAGTGGAGAAGATACTTGTGCAGATTGAAGGCGTTGACGGAGCTGTTCACCCTGAGGGGTGGGGGGGGTTCCGCTTTGGGTTCTGCGCCACGTCTTCAGCATTGACAGCGGATTGCGCATAGTCGGAGCAATATTTCACGTGGTGTTCAAATGAGTCGTGGGCGTTACATGATGATTCAAAATGGAGGATGCGTTTTAGCTAATGTATATGGTATGTCGGGGCTCGATTTGAGACTCGAAATCGCTATAGGGAGCGGAAAAAGGATGTTCCAGAGAGATTTCCAGCTGGAAAACAAGGTAATAAAAATTTTTTAATATCCTTTTCTACATGGATATAAGACAATCTCGATATTTTCGGGGCGGGTTGAGGGGATTCTAGGTGTGGGGCGCCCCCAATCCGGCTGGGGTTTGGGGGCTAGCTTCAGGATCTGTGCCCTGAACTAGAGCGAGTTTTGGGGGTCTCCCCAGGAATATAACATTAGGGTAGATCTTCAATATTTTTAGTAGTATGGTATAATGTACGATCCAAATAATCATGATTTTGAACTTTTAAATTTATGGTCAATAAGACCGGCCCAGTTATCAAGCTCTAAACTAAAATTTACCATATAATTGTGTATATATTTTAACTGAGGACGTACTATCTCACCCTGCCAATTTAACTGCTATCTTAGCAGAAGAAATAGAAGTATAAGATAAGCCAGGAGTAGCTTCAAAGTTAATAGATTAGGTTAAGGAAACAACACCGTGGTAGCTGGTAAATGCCCAAGGCTCATCACCTGTGGAGCTAGCGATAACGACTATTTATCCAATGGTATACGGACTATAGAAAAGCTTGCAGTGTGGTTGAAACACAAGATGATAAAACAGTGGGAAAAGAACTCGGTAGGTCAGTTAACTGTTTGGCTGGTTGCCAGGCAGTACTTTACAAGTAGCCTAGCCTAGTTGGTAACGGACGGACTGACTCAATGGTAACTCATGCGAGTACAAGAATCATACATATGGTTGCCAACGAGATACTTCACATTCTCCCGACCCAATCTAAGCACTCAGAATATATTTATAGTTGGCGACAATTGGTCTATCGTGCAATCGTTGAAACCATGCCCTCGTAAACATTAAAGAGAAGGTAAAAGGGTAAAAGGCATGAACATCAGATACATCAAGTACATAAACCAAGAGGTGTTTAGGGTTGGGTTTGGGTGGGTTGGTTTGGTTGAGTGAAAGGCCGAGGGATGGATATAAAAGACAGCCCGTCATAGAAACAAGAAGAGATCTACTCTAATCGAACGCATGGACGCCCGCACTCCTGCAGGACGCGTGGAAAGGCAGATCCCGTTCCACGCTCCTGACTTGTTTTGATATCACCCCAAGGGTCCCGGTCCTCGTCCTTGTCCTTCCTCCAAAATGGCTGGCCGATGGGTATGGGTGGGTCACGACGAGTTGTTGATTACGGCTTCCATGGATTCGTAAAGCGATCAGAGGAGAGTGCCAAACCTATGCCAAGGGAAACAACGGCGAAAGAGATCAGCAATGGTTTCCAAGAGGATGATGAAGACAAAGGCGATCTGCCACGATAACTGGTAAGGAAGGTAGGCAATATGGGATAGATGATAATAATGGAAGGAAGACGGGAAAGGGGAGTAAACATACCCGAACGTCTGCTTCAAGCTACGGACATAATACATGTCCCAGTTCTGTTTGGTAACGTCCTCCTGGCCGACGGGCACGCCCGACCAGGTCACGCGCATCTGGGTGACGCCGTCCACGTCGTTCTGGTCGAAGTGGATCTCCTGGGTGCTGTAGTGACCCTCGGGCCACTGGGCCAGACGCCACTTCTGCACGATGAGGGACGGCTTGTCGAGTTTGACGTATTCGCCGACCACGTTGCCGTCGAAGATGGAAAACTTGCCACCGACGTGGGCGCCATCAAACTGACGGGGCGCACCGCGGGTAAACGCGGCAATGCGCTGGGGGTCCGTGAAGGTGATGTACAGTTCCTCGGCGGTCGTGCGCATTTCATCCGAGGCCGTCACCGTCGTGGTGTTGATGGCAACTTTGGCGCCGGTGGTGGTGGTGGTCGTCGTCTTGGGAGCGGCCTCCTTCTTGGCGGTCTGGGGGTGGACGGCTGCGGGCGTGAACCCCTTGGAGGGGTCGACGCCAGGGGCGTGCTGCAGGTCCTTGCCATGCTCCTTGACCAGAGCGGGAGCGAGCTTCACGAGCTCCTGACGAATCTGAGGAACCAGCTTGGAGCGCACCAGATCCTTCACGGGCTGCTTGGCGAGCGAATCGGCGTAATTCTCGATCTCAAACTAATCACGAGAAGAAAAAAAAAACCCCGAGTCAGTTCCGCTAGAACCCTCTGACATACAATGGGCGGATCACCGTTCATAGGAGACATACAACATACTCATCTTCTTCCGTGTCGTGGGCCACCTCGGGAATAGTGATGGTCCCGCTGACCGACTCCTCGTCCTTGGTCTTACCTGTCGAGGTCTTAGTGGGATGCAACCCGGACGGAACAGAGAATCTAGCCGTTCACGAACCTTCGTACTCTAGTTGAAGTTTCACATCGAACAGGGTGATGACCTTGTTCTTGCGCTGGCTGACGTCTACGTCGCCATCCATGGTCAGGAGGTTGGAGAGCTTGGCAGAGACACCATTATCCTCTGCGGCGATGGTCAGGAGGTTTTCCTTCAGATAAGTCTTGGCCCATTCGGAGGCATCCTTATTGACCCAGTGCCAGTTGTTGGGATTGTGCAGAACCATGATGACGTTTGAGGGGGGGAGCTTTAAAAGAGGAGATTTGGTTTGGTTTGTTTCTTTTTAATTCTGAAAACTACAGGCTCCTGATGGGAAAGATAAGTTGGAGCAGACAGGACAAGGTAAGCTCTCTAATTGAGCGACGATCACTAGGTTCTGTTGTGGGCAAGACACTGATTAGCAATCTATTCCACCATGCGATGACACAATTTGACAAAGAAAGAATCAAGAAGTGCAAGGACTTCCTCAGGATCACAGTTGCGTATACCGGATCGCAGCTACTCAGCATGGCTGAAGGATTGTAAACAATCCAGCAACGTCTGACTGGTGCCAGCTATGAGATCTCATCATTGAGGATTCAGCCATCCCACCGTCCCACCGCGGGGTGATGGGATGAGCTGAGGGAGGGAATAAGGAGAAAAGTTCAACACTTACAGTTCACTAAGGGAGAAAATAGGAGAGAAATGGAAAATGGAGTATACCAGGACAGAATCAATCCTGAGAGTAGCGAGGAGAAGATGAAGTCAGAAAAGGAGGAGGAGGAAGGAGAGAGTGTTAAATAAGGCGACGTCGGAGAAGCGAGAAAAATCGGCGGACGCGGAACCGAAACTGCTAGAATGCGTCACGTGAACATTAGTCATCGTTACAAACGTGGGTTCCTCAGGCAACTTTTCCATATCAAAACGCGAATTCATAACTGTAGCGAACGTAATGGGTATCTTCCGCTGATGGCCAAATAAAGAAGACAGGAGCAGAAAGACAGAAATATAAAGACAGCAAAGTAAAGTTAAACGCCCCCTAACATCCAACCCTTTTGTAAATCAAGTCTGTTCCAACTGTTCCAAATCCTCCCAGCCATCCTCCGCCTCCAGCTGTCCCCGTACCCGCTGACGGAGGTCCTGGATGGGACTGCCGAGAGCCTCCGTCCACTGTCCCTCCACCGTAGCCACCTTATCTTTCAGATCGTTGGTCAGCGCGCGCTCTTCGTTAGCGCGGGACTCGTGCATCTCGCGACGCACGCTGTCCTCGGCCTCGCCCTGGCGGATGCGCTCCGCCTCCATCAGCTTGCAGTGGGCGCGCATGACAGCCGACTTGACCTCGTGCAACAGACAGAAGAGATTGATCTGCGACTCGATGTACTGGTAGCTGGACTTCTCGGCGTGCGACAGCAGCGAGTGGAGGTACTGCAGCGGGTGGCGGTGGTAGCTGGGGTTCTCCTCGTACTCGTTGGCCGGGATCTGGATCTGGAAGCCGCCTAGCAGGTCGGGGATCTGCTGCACCAGTGCGACTAGGGAGGGGGCGATGTCCCAGAAGGCGGACAGCTGCATCTCCACGCCCCGGACGACATTCTCCTCGATCACGGCGTGGAAGGACTCGAGACGGGCGAGTGCGCTGGCCTCGTAGTTCGTCCGGCGGTCGAGGCCGTCTTTGATGAAGAACGCGTGCGTCTCGCGCACTTTGTCGTCGTGCTTCTTTTGCTGGTAAGGGAGTACCACGACCGCTTTGTACTTTTCGTCGCGGTCGCTGACCAGGTCGTACGTCTCGCGGTGGAGCTGCTCGCGCGCCTCAAACAGCCATTTCAGCTGCGTGAGCTTCTCCAGGAGTTCGGGCTTCTCGTCCCCCTCTGCCTGCGTCTGATCGGGGGTCTCGTGCTGGGCGTCGTCGAAGAGCTTGCTCTGGAGCTCGTCGATGCACGCGGTCGCCTTCTGGATGCGGTCCTTCAGCACCTGGTGGTTGGGCTCCATGACCGACTCCTGGTAGCAGTCGAGCTCCCGCTGGGCTAGTGCTCTCTCGAGATGGTGCTCCTCCACGGTGAGCGCCGCCTCCGCCTCGGCGGCTTCCGCGAACGTTAGGCTGCCCTGCTGGATCTGGCTCTGGATGTTCGCTTTGAACTGCCGACGGCCTTCCTGGACGCGCTGCCGGTGGTCTTGCCGCAGGGTCTCCACTTCTGCCTGGTGGCGCTGCCGCGTCGCTTTGATGTCCGACAGCTCGCTGACTGACCGGACTAGCGTCCGGTAGGTGACCAGCTCGGGGTGGCTGTTGTTGACGGCCGGATGGTGTCGGGGATAAGGCGGAGGCAGCGTAATAAGCCGGGACACATCCATCTTCGGTGTCTCGTTGAGGTACGCCCCGTGGCCCACCGTGCTGGAATAGTCCGATGCCGCATGCTCCTCGTGCCATCCGACCTTCTCCGGTGGATACTCGTCCGGGCCGTACGAGGCGTACGGCTCCGCCGCATCCAAGGTCGCGCCTACGTGTCTGGAGTCGGCCAACCCTCCCCCTGCTCCTCCTTGAGCCCACTGTAGAGCCTCGCGGGGCAGACCCATGTACTTGGACTCTCGCTTCGACCGTTGGACCCTCCGATCGCCGCCTTCGCTGCTGGAATGGGACTCCCACCAACGGCTGGGGGCGCGGCCTCTCGAGCTCATCTCGTCATTGCTGATGCCAAGACTGGCAATCGGGGACAGACAGGGCTGGTAATTGTTCCACCAGGCGGACTCGGGCCGCGACTGGGGAATGTCAAGCCGGGGCGCTCCCCGTGAAGGCCGCCGTGATAGCGGCGGTGGCGGCATTGCCGGGGCCGGGGCCGGCTTCGGCTTCGGGGGCAATACAAATAGCTTCTGGCGGACTCCTTCGACATCGAACACACCGGTGTCCCAAGCCTTCGTATACCGCTCGCGGCGAATCTGCGACTCTGCGATCATGTAATCGGCGAAAATCTTCAAAGCCTCCGCCTCATCTGACGCAGCCGCTTCCTTCTCGATGAACTCTTTGTGTCGTTGCATGGCGTTCTGGACGAAAGTCAGGTCGCGATTGACAACCGCGTCAAGCGACGAGCTTTGAGACGAGACTCGGCGCGGTGAGAGCGGCGGCGGAACCGAAGACGCCGCCTCGTTGGGCAAGTGCAGTAGATGCGATACCGGTCGTTCTCCGCGGGATCCAGAACGAGACGGAGTGCCCATCTCTTGTCCGGAGTGGAGAGGAGGGGTAGGGAGCGCTTTCGGGGGCAAGGCCTGGGAGGCCGGCTTCGGGCCCGAGGATGACGATGTCTCGTCGGGAGAGAAAGGGGGTGTTTGGGCATACGTTCGAGACGGCCCCAGTGGACTTGGTTCCGCTCGAGGCGTCGAGTAGGCGGAACGATTGGAGAACAGTCCCGTAGACGAGGCACGAGAGCGCGACGTCGACGGCAGCTGCCCATCCGAAGTGGTGCTGGTTGTGCTGCGCGGAGTGGTGAACTTAGTTGGTCCTTGGCTTCGAGAGTGTGGCGGGGTGCTGTGCTGATCATCCAGGACCAAATCTGAGGGCTTCACCTGGTCCAACGCGTCGGCCCATGGATTGCTATTGCTCTGGGCTGAGACCGCGCTAAAGTCATCAATAACCTGGCTCTGTCGATTGCGGCGCTCAATCCGCCGTTCTCGGATCCCCTTGGCGCTGGGGTCGCGAATGGCTGGACTCCGGAACAGCCCACTATTCGCCTGCGACGGGTCGTTGGATCCAGCGGTGCTCGGTCCGGCAGGTGACCTCAATAAATCGGTTGTGTTGACGTTGAGAGGAGCTTTGCCCCTGTTTCTGGATTGGCTGCGCCCCTCGTCCACCCAATCCGCTGGCGTGGGGGGGACGCTACCGAGAGTAGTCCCCAGGACGGGGGGTGGTCGTCTGGCTGTCCTGCTGGAATGCGGGGAGTTACGCAACGATGAATGGTCCTGCAGACCATTAACACTCTGCGACCTGGAGGTCGGCGGAGGACCGGGCGGAGGCGGAGGGAGCGGCATCCCGGGCGCCCAGCCAGATCCTTCGGGCGGTGATCCACTCCGAGACTGGCTGGCCGCGCGCGAGGAACCAGCACTGCTCACCACTGGCCCAGCGGAGACCGCCCTCCTCGACGCCGGTGGGCGGGAGAGATCCTCAAAGAGAGAGGAATTATCATGGCCATATCCATTTGCCTGCGGCGACATATGCTGACCCGGAGATACCACGCCATACGGCCGGGAGCTCGTGGCGAAAGACGACTGTTCTGGGTAGGGATCTGCCCGGTTCTGTGAGGATGATCTAGAAGACGGGATACCTTGCGGTAACGGAGGAGGCGGTGGTATATTCATTTGCCTGGGATGGCTGGCATCTTGCACTATGGTCAAAGGACGCGTCCGGGACATCGCATGCTGGCGATACTCCACTGGGGGCTCCGTGCTGGCGTGTGCTCCTCCGCCGTAAGTGGAACCTGCTCCGGGGGATACCGAGCCGCGATTCGAGGCCGCGTATTGGGCGGTATGGTTGGTCTGCGGTTGCTGGTGCTGCTGCTGGTGCTGTGATTGCGCTTGGGGTTGGCTGGGGGGTGAATAAGGTGGAGGGGGCGGAGAGAGAGACATGTCTACCGGAATTGTGGTTAAATTTCGCTCCAACCACATTGTAATTCACAAACATGTACGCATAGGGATCATGACCAACCTGAGTGAGTGCCTGGATGTCGCGGGTGCGAGACGACCCGAAGAGTCTGGTGCTGCTGATACGCAGCCTGTCCCGCGCTCACACCGACAGGGCCCCAATCCTGAGGGTTATACGGCATATTGTACTGTCTGGAAGCCATGGAGGATGATGGACCGACGGACAGCCCGCCGGGCGTCGTCACTGCGGGAGACTGGCTGTGGGTGAAGGGACTGGAGAGAGAAGTTGTTGACAGCGGCGTCGATATGTAACCACCGACTCCCACCCCAAGGCCCTGGTATTGATGGCCGCTCAATGCCGTGGTCAGAGGCGGCGGCTGTGCGGCATGCTCCCGGCGACTTGGAGAAGGCTGATTGCTGGGACCGTTGCCGGCACGCGGAGTCGGCCAGCCACTGGTAGGATATGTACCGTGCAGCGACTCGTCCCCAGATGTGCTTGATGGCCACCAGCTGTCCACAAAATCTGGGGGTCAGTATTTCCCCGACAACTTTCGCCAGACACGAAAAGGTGGTGGAGGTGGAGGTGGAGGTGGAGGAGGGGGGAAGGGAGAGAGAAGGCCAAAGCGTAAGAAAAGTAAAAAGCAAAATAAGATTAAGTAAAGTGACAAGGAGGGTAAGCACACCTATTCATAGTGTTTGCTCCGGATATCAAGAGCCAACCGTGCGTGAAGCCATGGCGGAGGAAAGGCGGCGCGCAGGAATGCGATGAGGGAAGGATTGGAAATTAGGGAAGAACAAAGCAAACGGTAGCCAGACGCGAAGGTTCCCCAACCAACAAGCGCAAGCGATACGGGTTTCTATTCTTTGCAACCGTCGATAGAGTCCAACCAACCGCGGTATGGTCCAAGTCGCCCCAAGACAGTCGGTGGCCAGACAGACATCACTGGCGGGGATCCACCGTCTAAACTGTGGAGGAAGTAGTCGGCCGGGCTGGATGGCGATATTGTCGCGAGGCAAGTATATTAGCAAAGCGGGGGGGGCATGGGATAAAAATAACCCAAACACGGGATCGCCACGCTGAATAGAACCAAAACCAAGGGAAGGAAAAACCCGAAAAGAAAAGAAAAGAAAAAGACAGAGTCTGCAGAGTTCAGGGAGATGCAGCCTTGGAGCTTTCATCACAGACGGCGTGGTCGTGGCGCCTAGATCCGCGCTTTGACGGCTGCTCACAGGTCAACACCCCTGCAGCTTCCACTAATCAGAACTCCCATCACATTTTCCGGCCATTGTTCGTTTCATGCACCTAGTCGGATGGTCAATGAATTTGCCAGGTGTTGGCAGGAGGACAGGGGGGTAATGGACGAACTTCGGCGACATGTCTGGGACCATCGGCCGATTGCCTATAGCAGCTACTGCTTCGAAGAGGAATTGTTACAGAGTACGGAGTACAGGCAAGAGAAGTACATATGAAAACATTCTATTTTAGGAAGTTCACTAAATGAGCGCACCTGCAAGGGCGTCGTTGGGTCTTACAACCAAAGTTGTGGAACCCCTAGTATGTTGGCATGTCCGCCGGACCTAAAGACTATTCCATGTCAGCACTCAATCCATGAACGAGACAATGTGGTAAATGATATGACAAAAAGGATATCCAGGTTTCAGATATATGCCCTGTCACAGGCGGTGGTCATCAATATTAAAGTTATGTTGACCGTCGTGATTAAAATATAGTAAATCATCATTGAAGAGGGAGAGGTGTCGGGAAGGAAAGATCAAGGAGGGATACCCACAGTAATCTAAATATGTTGGTCGAGAAGATGAAGCCGTTCTCCACGAGCAAGGAATACCTGTAGAAACAAAATTAGCATTCTGTAACTGGTAGGATCAAGGATAAATCCATGATGTGTGGGTTTGATCAGCATGACGATTCTCGTCTTCGCCAGCTAGGCCGGCTAGGACATATGCTTGTCTTATTGTAACGTCGTATCATCATGTAACCCGTGGGGTGTGAGGCAAGAGTCAAGTACTTACACTTGGAGGTGGCTTCATCGGTGGTCATGGGCGAATACGACTAGACAAACGATTACCTACTGATATGAGAGTTAGCAACAGCCAGAAACGGATGTGTACAAGATAACTCTTGAAAAATGCAAGTCAGAAGGCATGAATGGTATTAAATTGATGGTGTCAGCATCGAAAACTCGAATCAGACTCGTCATCTAGGTAATCATCTCGATGCATCGGGGGTTTGAAAGGAAGTGTCAATATTTACCTTTTGTATCTACGAGTGTTGTTGACATCCGATCATCAAGTCTAAACGCAATCCACAATTAGCATCCAGCCACAGGCGGTTGCAAATGATGAAAAGTGCTGAGAATATGGATCTCAGTGGGCGAGGTTTTCTAGGCCTGCCACAAAAAAGGCATATCCGTCATGACCGAACGTTGTTTTAACGCCGTCGGAGCCCAGTGCCGTTTCATCTTCGAAAAATGCGATGTGGATGAAGAAGGTTGGAGTCTTACCATCTGCTAACCGAGTCCAACACTTTGAAATTCGTTAGCGTCCAGTCTCCCAACGATCAAACGAAAGATACATTCAAAATTGAAGCAAGCAAATCAGACAACAGCCAATTTTTATCGTCAGGTACCCGAAGGCGACTCAGTCGGTAATTTCCAGCGTATTAAATATACGAAGGTCATCATGCTAGGGGTAGGGAAAGGCGGAAGAAAAAAAGACAGGACAACGTACACTATGACCATCAGATCGACTCATCGTCTACGATGAAGCTGGAGTTATTCGCAATGAACGCTGAGATTAGAACTAAGAAACGCATTAGTCAAGAATGCTTCGGCAATAAAATGAGTAGCATAAAAGCCAGCGTTCGCAATAACATCAGACTGACGTGCAATAACAAAAGTTTCATTCCCCTGAAGAGGGTCAAAGACTCTAGTTTGAAATTTGGTTATGGGTATCATCATAAAGGGCGGGGTGGGTAGTTGGCGCTGAGCGCTGAGCGAAAAAAGGAAAATGAAACTCACCCTGTGTGATGCTAAGATCCAAGCATTGTCAGTCAGTCAATAGCTCAGAATAACCAAGCTATCTACAGTGTATGATCTGTCAACCCATGGACATTTCAGGGAGACGCTGGCAAGCTGGATAGCTGTGTCGAAGAAAGTTGTGATGAAGGTTGTGTGAAGAGAAAAAGAAAAGCTCGAGCGAAGAAATATTCCCTTTTTTCGCTTTCCGGAGCCATGATTTACCGTGAGCTAACTGGATCGGGCCAGTAATGCCGGGTCCTTACGTAATACACTAGGCTCGGCTGTTTAGCTTAATCCTTAGCTTACTATCAATGCTCTAGCGAGGGACGGAGTAGCTTCAAGTATAGGTAAGCACCGCGCAGATAACACAACGGTACATATTTACTTTGAACACACACTCGTGGAAGATAATAAAGACAGGTCTAGAATCCAATTGAGTTTCCTACAGGGAAACTAACTAGCTACAGTACAAGAGACGATCCAAGAAGGAAAGACGGACAATCAGTTGGAAAAAGAGATTTGAAAAAGAAAGACAGCTCAAGATCACTCGACAGGATCTTCCTCCAGAAGCGTCTTGAAGCTAAACGGAACGAAAGGTATGCCTTCGCCTTGGAAGTGCTTGCTCATAGCCTCAACCCAGTGCAGACGGAGGGAGTGCAACATGGCACTGGTACCCTCCATCACGCAGAGAATGGCAATGGTGAGCGTGAACCACATGTAGAAGGTGACGACGATCATGATGACGCGGGTCGTGGGCGACTCCTGGTCGAAGGCGCCGCCAATGGTCATGTCCCAGAGGACGATAGAGAGCTGCTGGTGGGCGAGGGAGAGGGCCCAGAGACGGAGGTAGGACGCAGTGTGGGAGATGCAGTTGAGACAGAACTCGATGGTGTGGATGACTTGGTGGATCATGACCTCTGAGAACTCGAATTCCTCGTGCTCTTCTTCGTCCAGGTCCTGCGCGATCATCGCTACGTTCTCGCTGTCGCTCGCCATGCTGTCGCGCCCGCCGTTCATGTCGTGGCCGTCGTCGTCGAGTGCGCTGACGCGGGACTGTTCGCCGAGACCGCGGTAGCCGAGGGCGCGCGCGCGGTTATGCTCCCAGCGGAGATAGAAGGGCTTGAAGAAGAGCATGAGGGGCACTTGCGCGACGGCGAGAAGAAGCAGTAGGACTTGCACCGTGGCTTGGCCCTTGTAGAGGGGTTCCTCCACGGTTCCGGGAGACAGGAACATGAAGATGAGCATGTTCAGGAGGCCAGGAGGTGACTGGCCCCGCGCGGCCCAGTCAACGCACCACTTGTAGATGATGGTGGTGACGAGATAACCGAAGATGGACTGGAAGAAAATCATGCCCGGGATGAAGTTGCCGATAATGTCGACCTTGGACTTGAAATGACGGGCGTTGACATATTGGAGACAGAGCGCGTAGGTCATCTGGGGGACGGTTAGTTTCAATTTCTCAGGAATCACGAACGACGATGGAACAACTCACGTGTGCCCAGCCAAGCACGATACTCATCTTCATCTTCATACTGTTCGAGAACAGCAGCGAGTTCTCGGCCTCGTGCCAGTTCCAATCCAGACCGAACGGGAAGCGATAGCCATCCTTCAGCGATGCCTCCACCGCCTGTCCGCGCTCAACCTGATCGGGCCACTGCCACTGACTCGTGAAAATGGTGAGGGACTTGGAGAAGATATCGTTGTAGATGAAACCGGTGTACATGGAGAACAAGCCCATCATCAACATGATGTAGCGACCGTAGAACGCCATGTACGTCAGTTCGTCCAGCTTGGTCTTGTGGAGCTTCCGCTCCCAGAAGATCATCGCCGCGGCGCACAGCGTCATGAGAAGACCGTGGCCCAGATCACCGAACATGACTGCGAAGAGGAAGGGGAAGGTGACGACGGTGTACAACCCGGGGTTCACCTCGGAGTACTTGGGGATACCATAGGCGTTGACGATCGTCTGGAAAGCTTCCGTGAACTTGTTGGTCCGCACGTACGTCGGGGGAGTCTTGTTGGTGCGGATCTGGTTGACGATAGTCGGGACACTCAGTCCAGCGCGGTCGTTGACATCTTGCAGGGTTGACTTGATCAGCGCCAGCGAGTTGGTCGGACACCACGCTTCAGCGATGAGCGTCTTTCTCGCCCGATCGTACGAGAACCGGTTCAACGTGTCGTAGACGGACTTCTCCTTCCGTACGATAATCATCCAGGCCGCAAGCGAGCGCGCAATCTGCGAAAGCTCCGCGTCGAGCGTGTTCTTGGTGTTCCGCAGCACATTCCCGACATCGCCCAGGCGCGTGTTCACCTCGTGCATCTGGTCGCGCCGCAGCTCGCTGTTCTCATCGACACTATACAGCGAGGCACCCAGCGACTCAGAGATCTTCCTGATCTTCGCGATGATACTCTTGCCGTGCGCGAAGATAACGAAGACATTCTTGTGAGATCCCTCATTGGTAGTGGGGTCGATAATCGGCTCGGGGATCTCCGACTGGTTCATGTAAAGGTTACCGCGCAGAGTTCGCCAGAGAATCCGCTCGAACGCCGCGATCCGGTCGCGCGGGATAACACCCGAAACGAAGCCAATGTTCATCTCCAGGAACGACTGCTGAGCCTGGCCGTCGCCGCGGTTCGGCTGCTGCTCGACGTCCCGTAGCAGCGGCGCCTCGTCATTATCGAACGACTGCCGGATCTCCTCGGTGTGAGTGTGGGCACGGTCAAAGAACCCGCCCGCTTCCCGCAGCACCCAGCGCCACTCCGTAAGCTCCACCTCGCGCTTCTTCAGCGTCTCGTAGCTATCGTTGAGCGAAGCGATCCTCTGCTCGAGACTGTCGCTTCGTTCGGCGAGCTCGTCAATCTCCGACGCCATGGGTGCCGCCAGAGTATCCGAGAATTCGGACGAAGACCGCATTATGATAGATGCTTTGTCCATCTGCGCATGGAAATAGCCTGTATCACCCACGTGTCAGTTTTCCCCCATGTCCTCGTCTTCACCACATAATGGAACACATACGAAGCTGCCGCTCCACGTTATCCAACCTCCGAATCTCCTTCGTAAAAGTCCGCTGAAAAGCATTGGTATCGGGGTTGAGCTAATAGAATCGACACAATCAGCAACCATTTATAAGACCCCTTCCCCAAGATCCTCCTCCAGGATCTCTTCCCGGAATGAGTGAAGTGATAACTGAAACTCACATCCCGAAACTGAACCTGACCCAGCTCTCCCAACGCACTGACAACCTCTCTACCGATTTCATTCGCGATATAGAGCTGCGTCAAGCTCATATCCGACGACCGGAAGAAAGTATCCTTCGGAGCCATGGTGGACGGACGGCTGCCCTGCAGCAGGGATTCGTTTCGTTCGTTTCAAGATTCCGACCACAAACCACCGGGGCGAAAAAAGGGTGCGCTTAACGCTGGATTAATAGAAGATTGGAGATGTTTTGTTGCAAGTCTAACGAGAGAAACGCCAATACCACCGGGCGTGGAAAATGTTGGTTTGAGAGGCCTCAAACAGGAGTGATGGTGAAGACGGAGCTACGGGATGGGATGCGGGAGAGCCGCGTGGCTGATACACAGCACGTGATTTGTGTTTGATTATGTAACTGTGTAGATGGTGACCGCTTCAGCCAGCCCACCTTTGACTACAGGAATTTGTGTTTGCTCTGAAATTACTTTTTTCTCTCTATTGGTGTTTGTGAGAATGGCTAATAACTTGCCTTGTGATTGCCTAGACCGGTTATTAGGCCCTAGCCTAGGTACAGGATAAATACTTAATAAATGGATTACCACAGCCCGCAGCGTAGCACGATGATGAAGTGCATTGCTCGAGCGAATGTATGTTCACTCCTATACACTAAGCAAAGTAGCTCTTCCAAAGGACGCCGGAGAGATCCTCGAGCTGATCGGAGGTGAATGACTATTGGAATAAGAAAAGAGCTGTTAGCATTGTACTTCTTGGGGGGTCCAGGTGGTGACTCACCTTTGCATCTATATGCCATGTATCTTGTCTCGTCTTCTTGAACTCGCTAATAATCGATTTGACACTAGAGCCGACAACGCCTGGATCGCTCGCGGCGCGGACGCTCAGTGTTGTAAGCGCCTCGGGCATCCACAAAGGCGGAGGGCTGCTGTATGGGAACGCCTGGATGAGCGCACCCAGACCCAAGACGGCGCCGTGGCGCAGGATGACGAGGCGGGTGTGTTCGGGGGTGGGGGTGCCGGCCCCAGAGGGGATGGGAGACGACACGCCTGAGCGGAAGACCTTGGGCCGCTTCGGGAAGGGTTGCTGGACCAGGATCTTTGTGAAGCGCTCTTGCAGCCTGCGGACCATTTCGTCGCGGAGGGACACGGGGGAGCAGCGGATCATGCCGGATAGGGTGGCTGATGCACCGGCTCGCACCTCGTGCTGGGAGTCGTTTAGCATGCTGGCTACGCATTCGAATAACTTGTCGCGGTCGCCGACCGAGAGCAGGAAGAGACGGCGGAAGTAGATGATCTGAATGTTGATCATTACTCTTAGACGCTGGTGCCATGATGGCGACGTTTGTCCAATGTGGATGAGGGATTTGATGAATCCTGAATCTTGTTCGGCGGGGTATGGGATGTTGGGAAGGTGGCGGAAGACGTGGTACGCCAGGGACTGCAGCTCTGGATCCTCCTTTACATCCATCATGTGCAGGAGTTGGCCAGTGAACAAGTCGGGGAAGAACGGGACAAGCTGTGTGCATTCGAAGGACGAAAGGGTGGAATCCAGCCAGAGAAGCACCGTCTTGCAGCCGGAAGTGTAGGAAGACGGCGTCTGTTGGCCAGGCGTTCTCTGTTGCCGCCACTGCTCAATCCGACTGAAGATATCGCGGATCATCGTGGTGAAGTTTTCAGTCGGTAGATAGGGGAAGGTCCCGACCGACGATGCTGATTCTTGCGCGGTAAGGAGTTGCTTCACGTCGGCATACGATTCGTGATACCTTGTGCGATAGATCGAGGCAAGAGTCTGACCCATGGCTTCGCGAACGCCCTTGTAGGGGTGATCGAGATGTGCGAGGAAGTCTTCCACGATGGGCTTCTCCAGTTGGAAATGCCACCCTGCGTCGATGATAGACTGGTGGAGAAGGTTGATCTTGGAGCTTTCCTTGAAGGCCGCATTCGTAGACATGTCTAACCGGAAGCTCGCCAGCCAGTCGACCAGCGGCCACGCCCGTCTCGGATCCCGACACTGAAGAATCATGTGGAGGAACGTCGTCCAGTAGCCCGAGTTCTCGGGCGTCAGTCCATCGGTAAAGATCTTTCGAACGATGGGGAAAGCATATTCCCACACCTGCGTCCGCTTGTCGACGCTGGTGTCCGCAACCGAGCTGATCAAGGCACCGAGAATCTCCGCAGTCGCTCGGTGCTGGTGCTTATCACTGCCGTCCTCAAACACCCCCTGGATCTCCTCTTGGATCTCCTCAAACGTAGCAGCGGTGAGTCCATCCCGGAGCATCAACTCAAAAGCATAGAGCAGCATCATGGCGCAAGGCATGCGGAATTTATCGGCACTGGGATCCCGAGGCTCCTGCTTCAAGTACATAAAGAACTTGGAGAACCATTTTCTATCAAACCGTCTACCAAGCTGACCTCGCACCTGCCACTCCTGCTCATCATACTCAATATCGCGCGCAACATTCGACTTGTACGCGGGCATGTTGTCGCCCCAGACTAGCCACCCAGGGAAGTCGTGGTCGACGTAATACTCCGCTTCTGGCTTGGCGAAGCTAGCAAGATACTTTTCGGTCCAGCCCTTCTCATAGCGCTCGGTCGCCACTTTGATCTTGGAAGGGAAGTTCTGATGGCCCAAGATGTAATTCTTGTAGTCGTGGCCGCAAATCGCCCTTACGTCCACCATGGTGAACAGTGCGATGAGCGCCTGGGAGTACATGCCGCGCAGGCCGGGGTGATCGTCAATCGACCCGCGCATAACCAGCTCGACGAGATTCTCGCTCGCGATGTAATCGAACCGGAGACCCATCGTGATGACGATCGTTGCTGCGCGGCTGGCAACCTTCCAGTGAGAGACTCGTGCCAAGTTGACTAGCTCTTCGGCAAGGCCGGCCTTCTTCTTCTCAATCAAGACGCGCTTGCCGTTGATGCTTTGGCGCTTCTGAGTGATCTGGTCTTGAACATCTTGCTTGGGAGCAATGGCTTCAATGATTGCCTGGTCAAGGATAGACATCCTCTCCATGGAGCGACCATAGTCCATTATCTGGAAGACGCCAGTCGAGCAAATTCTCTGAACGGACGGCCGATCTACCGAACTAGCATCGATAAAAGTCCGAACCATAGTCGGCGTGTATTTCCAGTGGCGGCCCAAAGTCTTCGCAACGCTACTCAGGAGGAGCGTAAACAGACCGCCTTTAATCCGCGCATAATCATTTTCCTTGATACCTTTCTGCAGAGCTTTCAGCAGGGGCGGGATCACGAGGATTCGAGACCCCCACACAGCCTTGAAAGCAGATTCACCGGCGCTCTGGGCATTACGGCGAGTCTCGGTATAAACAGAAACGCAAGATTCCGCAATGTCTAGGAGGAGAATCTCATCCAAGCGGGACCGACGACGGGGGGCCGCATTATGTCTCAGACGCTGAAGGTGGTACACGTTGGCCCGTCTGACCAGCAAAGGACGCGGATAGTCCTTGCGGATCCCGCTCATCTTATAGGGGTGGATATCTGCCGCGAGAAGGCGCGTAACCCGATCCAAGACATGGGCGGACCTCTCAATGCCCACATCGACAAACCACGATCGGTATGCCGAGTACAAAGCAGCGAAGCACGGCACGTCGTCCTCTTGCTTGTCAGACAAGAACCGGTGTACGTCGTGAAGGACCCAGCCTGCTCTCTCCCGAATATCATGGATGGTGGTGTACATGGGGTCGTCCTTTTGCAGGGGGTAGCCGGTAGGGTATTCGAACGTCTCTCGGACAGTAGAATCATCAGAGCTATCTAGCGCCTCGTCGGAATCCTCCTCTTCCTCGGCACGTACCGCGCCTGAAGTGGCCTCAGAGCCGACCATATCAACGTCGGTTCCATCTGATGCGCCTTGCTTCGTTGTCGAGGCGGCTTGGGAATCAAAGAGAATCGAAATGCCGGACAAGATTAGGCGAAGCAATATCAGGTTCCGCGTCACTTCATCGGACCAGTCCTTGCCGCTTCCGTCTCGCTTGACGCTGGACGTCTCGTTGGTCAATGCAATCAGCTGCTTCAAGGCAGTCTCAGCTTGGTTTTGGAATAGCTCAACGGCAAAGCTGATCTCCTCTCGCTTTGGAATATGCCACTTGATAGTCAGATCTTGTGAATCGGGTTTGTAGCCCCAAAGCTCAGGGCGCATCCCCTTGGCCAGGGCACTAGGCTCGTAAAGGGAGAAGTCCGCGGTGTATGTTCCAGTCAGGTTCAAAAGAAGATGGTGGATGAAGTTCGAGATGTGGACGGTCGGGATGCCGCGGCACTTCTGTTGCATATACACGGCAATGTCGAAGAGCTCTTGCTTGTGGGCCAACACGGCATCGCCAACATGAACCACACACATGCTGAGCATGCTGACATTCCAGACTAGTCCACGGTCCCGCGGCAAGACATCGGTTCCCGTTGTCCGGGTAGACCCAGCGCCGTTGTCGTCGATCTCGGTGCGAATTGCCTGTATCAACACGGGGATGAAGCGCTTCAGGGCCTTCTCCGGGTCGACCTTGCAGATAGAGTTACAGATGAAGGCCATGGCGTCCCGGGCTTGATGGATTACGTGATTGGAGATGAAGTCAACGACCTTCGACAAGGCGATGTCGTAGTATTCCGGGGCAAGCGATGACAGAAGAGGCATGAACGTGGCGGGAAGCGTGTTCACAATGTTCTCTTCGGGAGACCCGTTCCGCACACGGCTCACATCTGGCAGATTCTCCAACAGCGTAAAGACTCTACCCAAGAAGGACACGATGAAATCACCGAAACCACACGTCGACGAGCGAAGGATCATCTCCTCGGTCTGGTCGTCCAAGTCCGTCTCATAGTTCAGCTGGATCTGGACACCTTCTTCCTCCATCCGTTCCATCTCGCCGGACACCCATTGGATGGCCAGCATGCTGGAATTGACGTCTTCCCGGCCCTTGGTCAAATCTACCAGAGGTATGCTGTAACACGCCGACTGGATGAAAGACAGGGCATGCAACGACTTTTCTAAATCATTGGCATCCACGCCGGGCAAAGCGAGCCCCAGCAATGTAGTCATGTGGCAACGATAGCCCTTCGACCGCGCGATGATACGCGATAGAACCTGGAGCGCACGCAATGAGGACATCGTGCGGTGAACTTCAACCAGTCCTTGCAGAGAGGGGTATATCCTCTGCAGGGCGCCGGGGAGGATCAGATGCGGTTCCAAGAAGGCCAAGCTCTGCAGCGTGGAGAGCGAAAAGCTCATGGCGGTGCCACTTTTGGCGTAGATTCCCATGAAGACCACGTCACGCAGGCAGAGCACAAAGCGGCGCTTCAACGGCTCCGTCAGTTTCCGCTCAGGTGGGACCTCCATCTCACCACTCTGCTCCCGGTTCCAACGCATGACGAAGAAATCTGAAAGATAGTACACTAGTTGGGACAGGGTCTTTGTCCAGCTGCCCGTATTGGACGGGTGGAAGAAAGTCTCCACGGCTTGGATAAGGCCCTCGAGTTGGGTCAAAATGGATTCCTCCGCGTCGAGACACGCCGGCGAAAGCGACATCACCACCCACCGGGCAATGTGGTGGGCAACCGGGTGCTTGCGGGTATCGCGGTCCAGCATGATGCCGAGCCCGGACGAGATGTCCACCAGGGCACTGTACGGAGAGGTCGACTGTCCCACGGGGATCTCCAGCAACCGAAGGATGGCGGTGAAGATAAGCGACGACTGTTCTTTGTTGAAGATACCGTACTCGCCGAAGGGAATATGGCCGGCGGGTAGAGAATCGCGAGCCAGCCGGGACAGGTAATCGAGGAACGTCATATCAAACGTCTTTGACCTGTTCACCAGCGACCAGAGGTGGAAATAGGTGGGGAGGTAGTGTCGCGGCAACAGGTCTTCTCTGGATTCCGGTGGAGGCGACGTCGGGAGCAGAAGATTGATCAACCCGGCGACGACGAATGCGCCCTCTGAAAACGACGTGGTGTAGTGAGGTAGGAACTCTTCCAGCATCGCAGGGAGCTCACACGGGTCGATGTACAGCTGGACAAACGCGCAAAGCTTGGTCAACGTTTTGATGTTTCGCTTGAGGTTGGTCGAATGGACCAGGCCCGACTCCGTCGGTAACACAAAGGTCTTCACTTCCCTATACAACGGCTTCCAATCCAAGACGAGGTCCTGGACCGGTCGCAGGTAGTGCTTGCGCTTTGTCAGGAGCATGAACATGCTGGTGAAACGCTCCGCCACGCTCGGGTCAATGCCCGGGGCCAGCGAAAGCTCATAGTAGAGTTTCACGAGGTTGATTCGGTCCCTGCGGTTCGGGTCGAACTTGAGGGACAGCCATCCCCGGAGCTCCCGAGTCCAGTGCACGGCCCCGGGATTGAAATCGCCGGCTTCCACCGCGATGTACAGCTGATTCAAGATCTCCCGTAGGTTGCGGTCCCTCCGCGGCTCGTCCTCCAGCTGATATGGCAGATACTTGAAGTATGGGTAGGCCCGGGGACGGACACGCGCCTTTTGCTCGTCGTCTCCGTTCACCCCTACAGGGTCCCCGCCGGGCGAGGTGGCTCGTGAGATTTCATGCACATGGTGAAAATTTTCCGACGTCAGGATCGCTTTGGGGCCGGAATGATGATCCATCGTTGCGGCGACCGTTCGACGTTCAGAGCGATACGGGGATTGGAATTGGGAGTGTTGTGGGAGAAGTCTGGTAGAACGGCCCGTCGGTCAGTCGGAAATCCTCACACTTTGCTTAATCATTGCGGTGACAATTGAAGCGACCTACTTTCACCATGAAGCTGGTGGCTAGATCGAGGGTACCGGTGGGATCTCAAAGAATTCGACCCCTCAGCATTGCTCGCGTGGGCGAGCGACGTCAGTTTAGTTACGTCGACCAGCCGAGCGACCAGAAGTGGCAGGAGATCTGGCAACGTCGAGTCCGTCTAACAGGGAGATATCTTAGATTGAGACAAGTTTGAGCAAAAAGATTTCACTTGAACGATGAGCTGCATCTGTCGGGACAATGCGCAGCTCTAGTGTCGTGGGGTAAAATAAAGAATCGAATGGCAAGCAGATTGAAGTTGGAGGAGCGGCAGCATCATCATTTGGCGTTAGGTTAGGTTAGGTTTAGGTCAGGTAGTTTAGCTTGGGGGGAGATAGCTGATGACATAATGCTTTTCTGACGTACGTAACCACCCCAGCCTAACTGTGAACCCTCGATGAAGTGACATGGACTGGTACTTGTAGAGCTCAAACTGGGTGTAGTAGAAAAAGAGGATTCGTATGCATTTGTTGCCTTATAGTAGTAATAAATAATAGTCCTTCTAGTGTGTGAGAACAGGTCTTTCTCAATCCCACCTGATTCTCTGAACAGAACGGGTAAATAAATATCTGGCTCAAGATTTAAATATAATAATAATAATAATAATAACAACAACAACAATAATACAATAAAAACAATCCATATCCAGCAATCCGATCAGAAAGGACAGCCACAGAATTGACCTGGTCATTATTGAATTGTGCTTCTACCTACGGAGCAGTTGACGTCACGTGCTGTCAACAGTGTACTTTAATATATATATATCCCGAGAATCACGAGGCTAATAAATAAATAAAATGACATTATCGGATTATACCTATGCAGGCGGAAGGAAAGAACCAAAAAGAGTAGCCTGAACCAGCCCATACATCACCATGCTGGTCACCGCGACGGGAAGGGCCCGACTGTGTTTGTTCTCGAAGCCAGAGAGGATCTGATAGGCAATGTACCAGTACCATAGGGAGTATCCGGAGGAGATTCGATTGACAATCTGGACATGATAACTGGTGAATGCTAGGGCGGCGAGAATGCCCTGCGGAAGAGCAAGTCGGGTGAGCAGGGACGTCATTGTGGATGGATGGGTGGCTGCGGATGCGGGAGAACCGAAGGAGATGCCTCCCTTGCATGCCCAGACGGAAGACCAGCATAGTAGGATGAGCATCGGGAGAGCTAGCAGGAATAGGGGGAGGTTTGATAGGGTCCAGTAGCGGAGGAAACCGACATCCCTGTATCATGATCAGTAACATGATACAAAAAAAGTAAATAGATCATAATAATAAAAAAAAAGAGACTAACCAGTACTGTTCCTGGACCCAGCCATAGATACTTGGGATGAGCCGCTGGCACCAAGGACGCAACGTCTCTTCAGTGGTACAATACGACAAGTAGGCAATCGCTTGGGGAAGAACGAAGCCCAACCCAACAATACAACCACCGACAATCGTAACAGCCAGATGAAGACAAGCTTCTCTAGACGGGCCGCGGGAAACGATCGCCCAGGCATACACCAGGGCATCATACGCAAATAGGATCCCGCCGAGGACACCATTGCTGCGCACCGTCGACGCGACCGCAAAGAGTCCCGCCGCCAGGAGCAACTTCGCATGGCTGGAGGCTCCCTTCCGTGCCCGGGCGTCAAGAAACGCGGACGAGTAAAGGTAGAAGCCGCCGATGTTCAGCATCGCGAAGAGGGACTCTCCATATGGTGCGGAGAGGAATGCCCCCGCGGGCGAGATGATATGCAAGACGGCCGCGAGGAAGCATAGAAGCTCCCGCGCGCGGGAGTGCTGGCCAAAGACATTGACTGACAGCCGGTAGAGAGCTAGGACTGATAGATAGTGGGCTATATGGGAGACTGCGATGCCCACTGCAGTGATCACGGCGGCTTCGCCCACTCCGTCCGATGGATGGAAATCTATACAACAATGAGTATCACTTTATAGATACCCCTTTGGGGTCCAACAGGGACGACAGGGAAACACACAGGACGCGAGAAAGGCGAGGATTCTAGTATACCCATAGCCAAAAGCCCATTCTTGCTCAAAGACATACCCCCTCTCAGCGATATGCACAAAATAGATAGAATCCCACCTGGTGAATTTCAACAAGGCCAAGATAGGGGCATGTTTAATGTCCCTAGAGATGACATCACCGGCCCCGGAGTTGAGATAGGGCAGGAGACCGGTCGAGGTATCGTAGCCCGGGCCTGGGCATCCAATGACGACTAGAAAGATAAGGGCTTTCCACAAGCCGAAAGCTATCGTCAAGCTTCGGATCGGGTGGGAGAGGTGTAGCAGCCGGGGAGATCCCGGTGATGTTGCCTCGTTGGCCATGACCTAGCCTTAGGGATGACCAACGTAGGGATTTGGAATAGTCGAACGGGTTGGTCTACTAAAGTTCGGCGAAACCCACGCAAATCATCAGCCTAGCGGGTTCGTTCGTTGGCAAGACGGCGATTCCGGTAGGGGATTTGTCAAGACGGCGTCGGTCGAGGTAGAGACCGAGACCGAGGCTGGACTGCAGTGGGCCAACTAGCGATGCCAAGACTTGTGCATAAGTGTCTTATTCATCTGCATAACTCCATGTATCTGAGAAGCATCTCCCCGTGAGGTACTCAGATACTCAGATAAACGACATGATATGATGATCATCCTGGTCATTTTGTTGCCAGCTGCAGCCGAGATAGAAACGGTGTTCTAGAAATCCCATCATTTCATCGCCACACTGGTGGGTATGCTCTCCACCGTTGATTCTACCATCCTTGCTTGGATCAGCCCACTCAGCAATTGTCGTTTCAGCCCTATGGGCCGAGTCCATCCTATAACAGCTACCTTGGGTAATACCTAGGCTTGACTGGAGTATCTGATAATAAAAAGATGTCACCATGATATTATTCTGATTACTATTCTTTACTGGGCTCATCTTGGCGGCTTGCCAAGGATCATCCATGATTGTGATTATACGTGCATCTTGGTATGACCTAACGAGAACAGCATCTGACATGTCTTACAGTCGGCCAACTGTCTGACAGTGGCGATGGGAAGAGCCGATCGACTGACTCATGATGACAGCCGGTTTTTTCCTTGTCTTCTGTTCTTCCCTGTTTGATTTAGTTGTCGTGTATTGGTATCTGTGTAGTGTATACTGTCTACAGACAGTGGTACGTTATCATATCGGAAGCGGGATTAGTTCTCATGCCGGACAGCATCATGTTATCCTCATACTGATCATGAATTCTAATCAACCAGGCCGAGGTCAGAAAGAACTCTCCCTGATAACTTGATAAGGATCGAGCAACCACGCGATGTGCAGAAAATTTCCATCCTTCCGCCTCCCAGATCCATCTGGACAGTGGATCCCCACAGACCGGTCACTTTTTCTCCTCTTGGCTGACCCGTGAATGCCAAGAACTGCAACTCGCCTGGTCTGGCCCCAAGAGGCAAATTATCCTTCATTATCGAATCATATGGACCTGTCTGATTGATTTTGACTTGGACTTGAGAAGGTTCTTGTTTCTGGGTTCTGTGCGAATAGACTGGGAAGAGTCGTATAATAATAATAATAGTAATAATAGTAATATTAATAATAATATACTCCGAATGAGATCACCGAGTCATCACTATAATTATCACAGAGGGGAAAAGAGGGGAAAGTTAATATCCAAATTGTTGGCGCCTATTCTGGAGACCTGGCCGAACCAACGAGTTGGCGTCCACGGTACCATCCGGGCCCTACCGGCGAGTCGGAGTCCGTAGTCGCCGTGCTGCAGTAAGAATCACGAACTGTGTCAGGATCATAAGCCATGTCAGAACTCTAGATATTAGAATTAGAGCTGGAGATCCATGTCAGAAGACCCTTTTTGCTCATCCTTTTCTTTCATCCAGAAGAAGCAATCAGAGAGTCGGAACTCGGAGGGATTGAATCATAAATGAATCAATGATTGTTGGTGGACGCTAGAATTATGAATGGAAGGTTATGTCCTGCTGAGCTAATCGGAAGGAGGATAAGCCGGATCCGTATCCGGGCAATGGGATCCGAAAGATCGGCGACTAAGAGGGGATAAATTTTGTTGATTTCTTGACAAATGAATAATCAATAGTTAGTGAATGAGTGAGACTAGAGATCGACCAAAATTAGTGCGAGTGGAAAGAGAAACCCGATCAGTGGAGGAGATTTGGTTTCCATGGTCTGTCCGCCGTACTCCTGCATAACTGAGCCTTATCCATCGGGCTCCTTCATCTTATTCGTCTAGTTCTCTATTACTATTTTTTTATACATATTTTCAAGATTCCTGATTTTGTAATATCTAGGGATTGGTTTTTTTTTTTCTTTTTATTTAAGTCTGAATAATCCTATGGAGGTATACGATCAGGCAAAACCCAAATAAAGTGGATTCTTTCTCTCTCGCTTCTTTCTTTGACCGCCATCTTCTCATACTTCCCTACTATTCAACCTTAGGGACCCGGATATCTCCTACCTCCGGGATTGATTTCTATACAATTCTTTGCCGATATCCGACTCTTTTCTCCACGGCTCTCCATCATTCCGGTTGACAACTTGATATTGAGGTTTTAAGATATTTGAAGGCGGCTGCAGCCTTGCCCTCCCTTACACTGATCTCTCTCTCTCTCTCTCTCCGACCCGCTTTTTGTATACCAATTGCCAGCCCTTCCCACTGACGTTGCACATCTTCGCCTTATTCTCTCCCTCTCTTCCCTCCTTCCTCTTCCACTTCCATCTCTCCAACCTCTCTCTCTATCCTTTCGCTCTCTTTTTTCTTCCCTTTCCCTTCCTTTCCTTTCTATCCGGTCCTTTCTTTTCTTTCGAATTACATTCAATCCAATCCTTTCCTTTCCCTCGATTGCGCCTCGTTATCCAACAAACCCCGGTTTTTCGTGCTGGCCACAGGATCTCTCCGATTCAATACGCTCTCTCCACTTTCTCGAGCTCCATCAACCCGTTCAATCGGACTTGCAATTCTCTCACCCAGTTTACCGTTCGGTGGCGTGTCGAACGGGGCCATTCCGGATCCGTCAGGTGTGACACCCGTCGCAGGCGATCGTCCCGCAATCCCACTCCGATCCTGTCAATGTTCGTCCGGGACGTTCGAACGCAGCTGGTCTTTTCGCATGGGAATTAAAGCATGCTCCTCAATTTAGGACTCACAGCGAATATCGCCGCAGCCCACGAGTCCGACCTCGTTGTCTCCAACCCCGTCTCCCAACGATCTATTCCCGTTCACGGCTCGTCGCGTCCCGTCTGCTTTGCGACGCTGCCGTTATTGGGACTGGACGATCTATACAATCGCTACCGCGGTGTGCCGCCTGGAAAACTGCCCCCGACAGATCAACCTGCCATGTCGGGGAGCTCGGTCGACTCGCTCCCCATGAGCGACGCAAATCACTCGACCGTTGGACCCGGTCTCGCCCGTCCCCGGATCGGCCGTGCGCAAACCCATTCAGTTAGGAAACAATCGTCGCGCGCGAAGACGTCATACCAATTAGCCCACCCCGCGGGCCACGCCCGTCACCTGCGACTCAAACTCCGTCCCAAGCTCCTGCTGCAAGTGCAGCGCGTCTCCCCGACCTCGCGCCCGCTACCCGTCCTCGATGTCCTCCCCTCCTCCGTCTTCCTCCCGCGACTGGCGCGCAAGTTCCCCGCAATCTTTCGGGGCAAGAAAGGGCTGGGCCCGAATGACTTGATCGTCGTCGCTAGTGATCTCTACGAGCCCGCGGGCGGCAGGGATATCGCCGAGCGGCAGTCGACGTCGGATGACGAAAGCGGCGAGCATCGGGAGGTCATCGCGACGATCTGCCAGCTGCTGAAGGAGAGCGCGCTGTCCCGGGGGAAGACGGAGATCTGCCTCCGTGACGGACCCGCCTGGGAGGCGACCCCTCTCTCCAACGGGTCGTATGAGTTTGTGGCTCACACCGAACAGGGAGTCCAGACCGTACGATGGGTGTTGCGGAACGGGCGGAATCGTCGCGTGTCGGCGCCCCCGGGGTCTGCCCTGGCGGAAGAGGGCCGGCGGTTCACCTTCAGCGTTATCAACCCCACCACTCGACGGCACCCAGTCCTGGCGACCATGACACGTAACCACTTGGAGGTGTTTCATGAATATTCCATGCCCAGCAGTGCGGGCTCGACAGCCGCCTCCCCCACCTCCGGCATGTCCGTCGTGAGCGACGTCTCCGAGGCCGACATGGCGCTGGATCGGAAGCCCATCCCAGTGGACGACTACCTACGGAAGCTGATCATCGTCAGCAGCATCTGGGTCGCCATGCGCGAGGGCTGGTCGCACAACTTTCGCTACGACGATTCGGCGCTGGCGTTGAACCCCAAGACCATCTGCGGCTCCCGACACGACCTGCCCATGACGCCACAGAACGAGAACGAGCCATTTCCGAAGGCTCAGCTCGTTGACCCGGATGGATTGCGCAATGGCTTTAACACCCGACGGCCAACGTCCAGTACCTTACCCCCGAGTTTTTCGGCGCCGAATTCGCCTGTGGCATACGGTCGCCTGAATAAGCGCTCGAACTCGACGGGGGCGGCCTTTATCGAACGGTCGAACCGGCGCGCATCGGGAATCGACAACGGGCCCAATCGGCATAGCGTGCTCGGCAGCCCGCGAGGGGTATCCCAAAATCGGATCCCCGAGAGCGATACGGCAGTCCCGGCTGTCCGAGCAGCCCCTGTAGCCCCAGCAGCCCCAGCCACCAATGGCCAGGCCCGATCGCAGCGGAAGAAAACCGACTCGGATGATCGAACCCCGCAATCTGGAGCACACTCTGGGGAAGCTTCCCGGTCTGTTCCCAGGGGTGCACCAGAGCCCGAGCCCGCGAAGGGAAAATGCCGGCGCCGGCTCAGTCATGTGTTTGACTGTTTGGTGCGAAGGAACAGCCACCGCCACTAGTTGGCTTTATTACCGAATCGCAGTTTGAGCTTGATCTTCTTCAGAGATTGTGCGATTTGATTTTCATACAGACTGGGCATGTCCCACTTTTCCTATTTGCAGACAGCATATCCACGGCCAGGCGCCGAGACACAAACCCAATCTTTCCTCTTACATTCCTCACTCATTTCTCTCTTTACTTTCTTTCTTCCTCTTTTTTTGCTCTTAAGCCATATGATTCCCCATGAGATACCGGTATGGCGTTGTTTGTGGTGATTTAGGTGTGATGTGTATGGTAGTGAATGTATCGAATCTATGCTTGCAGATGTCACTGCAGTTAGTATTATCAATAGATTACAAGTAATCTTCTACTTTTTGTTACACTCTTCTATCAACAGCGATATACGTTAATGTAACATGGATAAAAGCATACCCTGAATTATAGACACCACCTCAACCCCTAAACTCAATCATTCATACGGTCCTAAACAATCTACCTCTCCAAAGCAGTCAACCCCTTCGGCACATACATTTCCTCAAGATACGCAATCTCCTCAGGACTCAAAACAACCTTGGTAGCCTCAACAGCCTCATCAATCCTCTCCTTCGACGAAAGGCCCAAGATCGGATTAACACCCCTCCGAGACAACGACCACGCAATCGCCACCTGCGCCATTTTGAGTCCCCTCTTCCTCGCAACCTCCTCCACCCGCTCCACAATCGCCTTGTCAGCTTCGCTCTCCCGCCCGCGCACAAGCATCTTCAGCGCCCCGTCCGTCGCCTCGCGCGTCGACGACCGCGCGCTCCACGGCCGCGCGAGGACGCCCCGCGCGAGCGGCGACCACGGGATGAGGCCGACGCCGGAGTCGTTGCAGTACGGGATCATTTCACGCTCTTCTTCGCGCGCGAGCAGGTTGTGGTAGTTTTGCATGCTGATGAATTTGTGCCAGCCGTTCTGGGCGGCTATGTTTTGGAGGGTTTGGAATTCCCAGGCTGCCATCTATCATTTTCTTCGTTAGTTTATCCATATATAGCTATCGCTTTTGATAGCCATATACCCAGAAGGTAAGTGAGGGAACATACAGTACTAGCCCCAATATACCTAACCTTCCCACTCTCCACAACATCATTCAACGCCCTCATGATCTCCTCTCTCGGCGTGTCCCGATCCAGCCTATGTATCTGCAACACATCAATGTAAGTGCCCAATCGCTGGACACTCTCCTCAACAGCATCAAAGATATGCTTCCGCGACAGCCCCACGCGATTCACAAACTCGCCCTCATTCCGCCCCGAGGCCGAAATAGGAGGCTGTCCGCCCGCGTCGTCGACGCCAAAGTAGCACTTGGTGAGGATCACGACGCGGTTGCGCGGGATGTTGTACTGGCGCAGCGCCTTGCCGAGGATTTCCTCGGATACCCCGTGGCTGTAGATGTCGGCTGTGTCCCAGGTGTTGATGCCGCGGTTGTAAGCGTGTTCGATGAGTGGGAGCGCGGTGGATTCGTCCAGCACCCAGTCTTGCCAGGCGGGGGTGCCGTAGGACATGCAGCCGAGGATGATTTTGGAGATTTTGAGGCCGGATTTGCCGAGGCTGTTTTCTTTGTTAGACTTTTGTTTCTTCGTTTCTTCTATTGGGGTTTGGTGGTGGTGGTGATGGGTGACGTACTTGACGTATTCCATTTTGGCGGTGCAGTGTTTACTTCTTCTGTTGTGTTTGTTAATACTATCTGATATATAGAAAGACAACTGAAGGTGAAGTAGCTTTGATGTATACTACTTACATAGCTTTCGATAGTATTGAGTAGTGTATATATGATGTACGGAGTAGTAGAAGTATTCACAGAACGATCTATTCCATGCGGAATACATACCCCTCAGATCAAATCCTCGATTAATCAGCCTATCTGCCGACATCCAAGGCGACAGCCGATCTCTAACCGATCGACAGTCCCCAGTCTTCCCGGACCGTCGACTCGGTTTAGAAAGTCGGGATGTCTTCATCTTGAGTCTTAGTCGTTCTCAGTGCAGCATAAACAATGTAACAACTAACTGGGTGTGCCGCTATGAGGCCTTCTTTCTCTGTATATATCAAGTTGGCTAGTACTGTGTTAATAACTCCCTCTCGAGATTTAACGTTCTATCTATTTAAACTGGGTATACTCTTGTTTCACATTTATTCTCAAGACCAATATTGAAGAATTAGGGCTAAGAGGTCAACTGATTCATGGATAAATATAATACAGTCTGTGGATAAAATGTAGTACGAGTATAAAAGTGGCCTCAGGCAGCCAGTCGGACCCGACTCGGCCGAATCTAACCGAATCCGGTAAACAATGGCCTGGAAATCCAGGAGATTCAGGCAGTCGAGACTAAGTTAGTCACGACTAGGAGCGAGTTGTATGTTTGGGTTTGAGGTTTTCCTTGATATTTCTTTCACTTCCCTCTCTTGTGATTCTGTGGTGATGTTGATTATTGAGTTTCAACGATGTGGTGTTCTGGCTGAGAGCTACCTCCACTCATTGTATGTTGTTCCTACAGTTGATACTGGGAAAGGATGAAAGGAGATCGATTGTCAATCATCATGCTTCACTCTCTAAATTTTGCTAAACACAGGAACCTTGTTTAGCGCAAAACATCTGACATGCGCTGGAAAGAAAAAAGAGATATAATGGCTGCCGCGAGGTATATGAATGCCCTATCGCTCCGTCTTCAATACTATCACTCCGTCTTAAAAGCAACCAACCGCGCCTTAACCGCCTCCTCCGACTCATCGGTATCCATAGGGCGAAGCACCCCACTCCCAACATCATAAATCAGCCCATGCAACTGCAGCCCGCGCTGCTCAACAGCCTCCAACACCACATTCTTCTGCTTCAGCAGCCTCAGACCCTCCTGCACGTTCAGCTCCGCCAGTCGCAGCATCGCATCCTCAGGCGACAGTGACTGCAGCGTCACCAGGTGCTGCTCGCGCAGCTGGCGCAGCGGCATCAGCCACGGGTCTAGGATGCCCAGCTGCTTGTTACCCATGGCGGCTGCGACACCTCCGCAGGAAGTATGGCCGCAGATGACGACGTGGCGGACGCGCAGATGGCGCACGGCGTACTCGATCACCGCCGAGGAGCTCAGGTCCGCGGCGTGCAGCACGTTGGCGATGTTGCGGTGGACGAAGACGTCGCCGGGCTGGAGGCCCAGCATGGTTGTTTCCGGGCATCGCGAGTCGGAGCAGCCGATCCAGAGAATCTCGGGTTGTTGGCCCGCGGCTAGTGTGGGGAAGAGATCTGGGTGCTGTTGCGCGGTCTGGGCGGCCCATTCCTTGTTCTGGCTGAGGGCGGCTGTCAATCGGTCTGCGCTTTGGTCAGTACTGGCTGGTGGGTTGAGCTGCATGGTGCAGGTGATGGTGCAGTGGTTGGCAAGCACGTCGGGTGCAGTTGGGGGCTCGCGCATGTGATGTTGGGGGGAAAGGAACTTTTGCCGGTTGACCTGAAGGGAATCCAGCAGCCCTGAGGCCACAGACCAGCTTCGTGAGGTTTATGATAGAGTGAAACAGGTAAGTGATGATGCTCATGGGAATCAGACAGGTCTAATTTGAGTCAAACACGTGACTCAACACATTAACAAAGGGAAACAGAAGACAAGCAAGACAATGCAGAGAACAGCAAGACAGGATGGTTTGAAACGGCCCGTACGCTTGGCAGATAACCCTTCGAAGGTCAGGAAGACCGAGAAAAGAAACCATGAATACCACGCGACGGACATATTGATGATACGAAAGCCAACAAAGCGGAAAAGAGATGCGATAACCCCCGCCCAACAGCCGATGCGGAGGCTTAGAACAGCAGAGAACTGCCGCAGCAGCAGGGATTTCAGACATACCTTGCGAAGTCATTGTGAGTGTGAGTGGCGTGTGTCAAAAATCCCAAATTCAACGTTTATATATCCAGGAGTATACAAGAAAGAAAGAGGTTGTGAGCATCTTGGCGGGCGGATGGCAGAACCCAACTCTTTAAGAAGCCCCTGTCAGCCGACATGGTCCGGTCATATCACGGTGGCTCGCATGGATGAGTCGGCTACCAACTGGGCTTGTTATGGAGCAGCCCCATCTGTGTCGAGTATGAAAGGAGTTGGATGGGTCCTTGCGTATAGTGTCAGTACATACGCACAGGTGTGGCACCTCAAAGGACTGACTGTTTTGATGACATTGATTGGGCGATTGCCATGAGCTAGGTCACTCCAACTATACGTTCAATACTGGCCTGAATGATTGGTTAGCCCATTATATTGGCCTCAGGTCAGTACACCTGGGAACTGACTGGAATATAGTAGTAGTATGGCAATGCAGTTCAGCTGGACTCATAAACTGCCATAACATATTTCATCCGTCTACTCCGAAGAATGCGCTATAGCTCTCAGGCTCCCTTCAACGCTACGAAACTACTTACTCCATCCAAGTCCGCAATAAGAAACATCTCCTGTGGAGCTGCGTTATTTTCCCTTCGCTCTGGCCCATCTATGATCCTCTTTCGACAAGCCTAGCCATCGCAGACGATACTATGATTATCATTTCGTATCCGCTCTCTACCCGTTCTCTATCCGCGGACATCCGCATGATTGGAGCTAATGATTAAGATTGAGTCAAGCAACCATTACAAAGAGGACGTCTCAGGTATTTGAACGGGATGTGCCTAGGAAATTCACATATACCCCATGGTAGAGGACTCATCCAGCCAATGCGCTGAACAAGACCAACCGTATACGTCAATATACACCGTCGATGGTGAGTATGGGAGCATGCATCTATGGTGTCCAAATAGAGCTACAACGAGGGCGATCACTCACAGCACTCTTTCTATTTATGTCCTGGGACCCAACTGGACCCTCCGGACCCGCAGGTTCCAAGCTTGTCCACCGTGGCAGCTTGACAAGAAGAGAAAGAGGGCTGTGATTGTCAGATTTACAGACCCTGAAAATCTATTCCACTGCCAGAGACCACGGGCTTGTCGATTAGGTCGACGATCGGCAGATTATCGCTCCTGACGACATGTTATAAAGTTGTAAACCAATCGTAAAGCGGGTGTACGAGCCGGTCATGCCGAGTCTTGGGAATGCTCCACGTCTACACTCCATGCAGCGTAGCCCACAAGTTTCGTAGGTTGTTGCTAGATGCTTTGAGAAGCTGCAGTTGGTTCTGTTTCAGCTTTGTCTGGTTCATATCATCAAACATAGATATCATGAAACAGGCACAATCAAAACGGGTACATATAGTACCGATCCTACCGTAATATCGACAGGAGCGATCATTCGCTACTATAGACCGGTCTGCAAGCCCTGTAGCCGCGCCATGAAACACTCCCAGTGTCAGAAGTAGGGAGTAAAGTACCTTAGAAATCAGGTATCTAATACTCGTCACTGCCTTAGGTGTGAATCATGGCGGGAAGTGCCTGAGTACCTGAGTACCTGAATGCCTGAATGCCTGAGGCGGACCGTGGTTCACCAGCCTGAGGCACCCATCCACGTCCTTTAAGCTCCCTGGATGTGACGCTGAATAAACTCATCCAACACGACCGCAATCTTGTTTCTTTCTGGCAATGGATTGACTTTCCCTTTCATCTGGGGCTTTTTGAACCATAAATTCCTCAGAGTAGATCCTCTCTTCTTCCCCCTTATCGATACCGCAGTCCCTGAACTAAAACAAAACTTGTTTCTGTTTCCATTAAGCGCGGTGGAGGGTTCAAGTTGGATCCACTCCTGACTCTCCATCCTTCTTTGTTCTCGTTCTTTGACTTTCTACCTCCTGCACTGACTGAAAGGAACGAAAGAAGATGATCCCTCATCGGAGTACAACCCTCCTGACGGCCATCGTCTTCATCGGTCTGTTACTCGTCATCTTCTCCTCCACCCCATCCACCCCTGATCCGTCCACGGGCGAGGAACCAGTCTCCGGCCCGGCCAAGTATGTCCCCCGACCGAAGCTACCGGCGCTGAGCGACCTGCACCTCCCGTCGTTTTATCCCACCGCGCATAAGCCGCCCGCGACCCAGCCGGACAGCGCCAGCGGAGGATCGAAATGGTTGAGCGACCTGTCGTGGCTGAATCCCTTCTCCTCGTCCACCACCCTCGAGGAGGACCGATCCGTGCTCCCGCCCCTGCGACACCGACCCTACGTCTACACCTACTACAATGCCGACCAGAAGAATGGTGGACCCCAGGATAATGCCGACGCCGGCCTGCTGCTCGCCTGGCGCCGCGCGTGGTTCGCCCAGGGGTTCCGCCCCGTCATCCTCGGCCGCGGCGAGGCCATCCACAACCCGATCTACGAGATGGTTCAGAATATCAAGTTCGGGACCGCGGATATTGAACACGAGGTGCTCCGCTGGCTGGCCTGGGGGCACATGGGCGACGGGATCCTGGTGCACTGGCGCTGCTTCCCCATGGCCCGGTACGACGATCCACTGCTGTCCTACCTGCGCCGCGGCACGGACCCGGCGGTCATCACGCGTCTCGACAAGATCCAGAATGGCCTGTTCGCCGGCACGAAGGACCGGATCAACGAGGTGATCAAGAAGGCCGTCAGCAAGGGCATCAGCGACCAGGCGACCAACATCTTCGACCTGGTCGCGCCCGAGACGTTCAAGGTGGAGCAGACCAACGCCGTGGCGTGGTACAACTCGGCCGCCATCGTGTCGCACTACCCGGCCCTGGCGGAGAAGATGGACCGGTCGCGGGGCTCGGGCACGGCGGCCCTGGCCGAGCTGGTCCACTCGCACCTGCACAACACCTTCCAGAACGCATTTCCCGCCGGCATCGCCGTCCTGAAGCCGTTCCCCGAGCACACGACAGCCCTGGTCGAGCCAGCGCTCCGGTTGGCCCGGGCGCTGGGCCGCTGCCCGCCGTCCCCAATGCCCGACTCCTGCCCACCGAACCTGCCCCGCTGCCGACCCTGCGACCCGGAGAAGCCGATGCACATCAGCCAGCCCCAGAGCTACCGGAACACGACGCACGTGTTCAGCATCGGCACGCTACCGCACCCGTACACACTCGTCAGCCTGCGACAGAACTCGGCGGAGGTGACGACGCGGCACATCCGGCGCGAGACGGAGCGGGACGAGTGGCTGCAAGCCGTGACGCAGGAGCAGCTGGGGCTCGAGATCAGCGGGTCCGCCCGGGCCAGCGTGCTGAAGAAGGTGGTGGCAGACGACGACCTGACGGACGCGTCGCTGTGGATGACGGTCGAGTCCATCCCGCCCGAGGCCGGCCAGGCGCTGCCCACGGAGCTGCTGAACGAGTTCGAGTGGCAGCTGGGCTTCCCGATCCCGCGGGAGGAGAAGGACAAGGTGGATGCCAAGAACGAAGGTGCCTCCAAGGAGTCCCTGCAGAACGCCAACCCCAGCCGAGAGGGGGTGGGACGCGAGTACGAGGTGCTCCAGGCGGCCCGGGCGGTGCTACATAGCAAGGAGGGACCTCAGGTGGTCATTCGAGACGTGGTGGAAGCGTGGAATCTGGCCGATACGGAGGTGTGGCGATTCGTCCGAGCATTCCGGTTTGTCTCCTTCAATCCTTTGGACCATTGGGGATCCAACTAACCGATCATCTGATAGCGCCCGAAGTGTCTTTGAGCGACAGCGATGGGAGGAAGAGGAGAAGAATTTCCTGGGACCCCTACACCACTGAGTTTGTCCTTCTCGTGTTTCCTTCGTAGTTCTTGTTCTTATGTGCTACCCCTTCCTGTCGGCCTGTCTGGGCCATGTGTGGGACTTGTATGGAATCGTGTATCACCACTGGGTTAGGAGGAGCATTGGCGGCGTTATCTAATTTATTCTTTTTACTATATTCTCTCTTCTACTTTATTTGATTCCTTACGCTTCTTGTATTATTTTCCTTCAATTATTGATCCTTATGTTCAGTATATTTTGTATACTATCTCGGCCTAGATCAAAGGAATCCCATCCCATGAATAACAACGGATCCTATTAATCAGAGTTGACTCGGATGGTGGCGATCCCCGCATGAACGCCGTGTCACTCCCACTCCGCCATGGTGGGGTTAGTTACACTCTTCTGATAAGCTAATTAACTAATGGTTATTACGGTTCCAAGTTATCGTTCCATCTTGCATTATTGGTTTCTGCCCTTCAAGCATGATTTGGGGTCCATTGTGACTTCGGGCGGGTCAGCTTCCCCGACCCGTCCGCTGCAGCTGCTGGTCACGCTCGATAAAAGATGCCCACATCCCTTGGGTTTCTTTCTTCTTCAGGTTTTTTACTATTGACTATTCACTTTGACTGAGTAATAACTCATTGATTGATTTGATCTAATCTATCAAGAGCCATCGGATACTGTTCGATGTGGGTGTCCATGGCTTGATTGTATACTTCTCCGAGCTTAGTCCTTCGGTTACTACTACGTTCCCTACCTGATTACTACCTGACTATACAACACAACACTTCTCCCCCCCAGCGGGTCTATACGCGACAATGGCCCCCGGAATTGCGACGGCCCCCGAGGCGCCCGTGGTGGCCCCGAAATCACTATCGCTAGCGCAGTTGACGGAAGACTGGGACGATACCATTCGGTTCTACCTCAACGGCACCAAGGTCGCAGTGGATACGGTCAACCCGGAGCTTACGCTGCTTGAATACCTGAGAGGGGTGGGGCTGACGGGGACGAAGCTGGGGTGTGCGGAGGGGGGATGTGGCGCGTGTACGGTGGTGTGTCTTATCGTCATCCTTGTTGTTCTGTTTGTGGCAATAAGATACTGACTGATATACTCTATAGGTACTCTCACATGTCAACCCCACGACGAAAAAGATCTACCACGCTTCAGTCAACGCGTGTCTCGCGCCCTTGATCAGCGTCGATGGGAAACATGTCATTACCGTGGAAGGGATCGGGAATGTGAAGAACCCGCATGCTGTCCAGCAGCGCATGGCCATGGGGAATGGGAGTCAGTGTGGTTTCTGTACGCCTGGCATTGTTATGGTATGACTACACCGTTCGCAAAGCAGAAAGGATGTATGGATGGGTGGCTAATCGATCAGAGCATGTACGCCCTCCTGCGGAATAACCCCCAACCCACCGAACACGCCATTGAGGAGGCCTTCGACGGCAACTTGTGCCGCTGCACCGGATACCGTCCGATTTTGGACGCCGCGCAAAGCTTTGCGGCCCCGGCGAGCAGCAACAGCAGTCCTTGCGGCAAGGCCACTGCAAATGGTGGTTCCGGGTGCTGCATGGAGAAGAAGAGTGGCGACGGGGGGTGTTGTAAAGCGCCAGCGGTGGATCTCATGGACGGCAAGGCGCCGAAGCTGACGCCGCCCGATTTCATCAAATACAGTACAGACACGGAGTTGATCTTCCCGCCCGCGCTTCACAAGCATGACTTTCAGCCCCTGGTGTTCGGCAACAAGAAGAAGCGCTGGTACCGGCCGGTAACGGTGGACCAGCTCCTGCAGATCAAGAGCGTGCACCCCGACGCGAAGATCATCGGCGGCAGCACGGAGACGCAGATCGAAGTCAAGTTCAAGGCCATGCTGTATCCCGTGTCGGTCTACGTCGGGGACATCCCTGAACTCCGCCAATACTCCCTCCACGAGGACTATGTCGACCTCGGCGCCAACGTCTCCCTGACCGACCTGGAGTCGATCTGCGATCAAGCCCTACAGCGCTACGGATCCGTCCGCGGCCAACCGTTCAGCGCCATCAAGAAGCAGCTTCGGTACTTCGCTGGACGGCAGATCCGGAACGTTGCGTCCCCGGCGGGGAACCTGGCCACCGCATCGCCCATCTCGGACCTCAACCCCGTGTTCGTGGCGACCAACACCGTGCTCGTAGCCAAGTCGCTCGACGCCGAGGTGGAGATCCCCATGAGCCAGTTCTTCAAAGGCTACCGATCCACAGCCCTACCCCCAGACGCTATCATCCTCAGCCTGCGCATCCCCGCTGCGTCGGCGCAAGGCGAACACCTCCGCGCCTACAAACAGTCCAAGCGGAAAGATGACGACATCGCCATCGTCAACGCCGCGCTGCGCGTGTCGCTATCCCCCGCGCACGATATCACCAGCGTCAATCTCGTCTTCGGCGGTCTAGCACCCATGACCGTATCCGCCAAGAACGCAGAATCCTTCCTAGCAGGCAAGAGATTCACGAACCCAGCCACGCTAGAAGGAACAATGAGCGCACTATCGCAGGACTTCGACCTGAAATTCAGCGTCCCAGGCGGCATGGCCACATACCGCAAGTCGCTCGCGCTCGGCTTCTTCTACCGCTTCTACCACGACATACTGTCAACCCTACAAGTAACCTCCGCAGACGTCGACGACGAAGCAATCGCCGAGATCGAGCGCGCCATCTCCACCGGCCAAAAAGACCACGAGGCGTCAGCCGCCTACCAGCAGAGAGTCCTCGGCAAAGCCGGACCCCACGTATCAGCGCTCAAGCAATCCACCGGCGAAGCGCAGTACACGGACGACACACCGGTGCTGCAGAACGAACTGTTCGCGTGCATGGTGCTGTCGACCAAGGCGCACGCCAAGATCCTCAGCGTCGATACCGCCGCCGCGCTCGCCATCCCCGGCGTCCACGACTACGTCGACCACCGCGACCTCCCCAGCCCGCAGGCGAACTGGTGGGGCGCGCCTAATTGCGACGAGCAATTCTTTGCTGTGGATGAGGTTAATACCGCGGGGCAGCCGATTGGTGTGATCTTGGCGACGACGGCTAAGATTGCTGAGCAGGGGGCGAGGGCTGTCCAGGTGCAGTATGAGGATTTGCCGGCTATTCTGTCGATTGAGGATGCTATTGCGGCGGAGTCGTTCTTTGCCCATTCGCCGTTTATCAAGTGCGGGGATCCCGAGAGAGCGTTTGAAACTGCGGATTATGTCTTCACGGGAGAGTCGAGGATGGGTGGTCAGGAGCACTTTTATCTCGAGACGCAGGCCTGTGTCGTCATTCCGAAGTTGGAGGACGGGGAAATGGAGGTTTGGAGCAGCACGCAGAATCCGACTGAAACGTAAGTCTTACCCACTGGTGTCATTTTACTCAAGCTAACATGCTACAGCCAAGCCTACGTCGCGCAGGTAACCGGCGTCGCCAACAACAAGATCGTCTCCCGCGTAAAGCGCCTCGGCGGCGGCTTCGGAGGCAAAGAAACCCGCTCCATCCAGTTAGCAGGCATCTGCGCGGCCGCAGCATCCAAGACCCGGCGTCCCGTGCGGTGCATGCTCAACCGCGACGAAGACATGCTCACCTCCGGCCAACGGCACCCCTTCTACTGCCGATGGAAAGTCGGCGTCAGCAAAACCGGCAAACTCCTCGCGCTAGACGCAGACGTGTACTCCAACGGCGGCCACACGCAGGATCTCTCCGGCGCGGTCGTCGAGCGCAGCCTATCGCACATCGACAACGTGTACAAGATCCCGAACGTGCACGTGCGCGGCCGCATCTGCAAGACGAACACCGTCTCCAACACAGCCTTCCGCGGCTTCGGAGGCCCACAGGGCCTGTTCTTCGCCGAGAGCTTCATGTCCGAAGTCGCAGACCACCTCGATATCCCTGTTGAGACGCTGCGGCGGGACAACATGTACCGCGCGGGAGACAAGACGCACTTCAACCAGGTGATCAAGGACTGGCACGTGCCGCTGATGTACGATCAGGTGCTTGCCGAAAGCTCGTACGACGCCCGACGACAAGCCGTGGAAGCGTACAACAAGACGCACAAGTGGTCGAAGCGCGGGCTAGCGATCGTGCCGACCAAGTTCGGGATCTCGTTCACGGCGCTGTTCCTGAACCAGGCGGGCGCGCTGGTGCACATCTACCACGACGGGAGCGTGCTGGTTGCGCACGGCGGCGTGGAGATGGGGCAGGGCCTGCACACGAAGATGACGATGATTGCGGCAGAGGCGCTCAACGTGCCCGTCGAAGACGTGTTCATTTCCGAGACGGCTACGAACACGGTAGCGAACACGTCGTCGACGGCCGCGTCGGCGAGCTCCGACCTCAACGGGTACGCGATTTTCAACGCGTGCGAGCAGATCAACGAGCGGCTGCGGCCGTACCGGACGAAGATGCCCAACGCGCCGATGAAGGACCTCGCGCACGCGGCGTACTTCGACCGCGTGAATCTCTCCGCGCAGGGGTACTACCGGACGCCGGAGATTGGGTACGTGTGGCGCGAGAACAAGGGCCAGATGTTCTTCTACTTCACGCAGGGCGTGACAGCCGCCGAAGTCGAGATCGACACGTTAACGGGCGACTGGACGCCCCTGCGGGCGGACATCAAGATGGACGTGGGACGCACGATCAACCCGTCCATTGACTACGGGCAGATCGAGGGCGCGTTCGTGCAGGGTCAGGGCCTGTTCACGACGGAGGAGAGTCTCTGGCACCGCGGGACGGGGCAGCTGGCGACGCGGGGGCCGGGCAACTATAAGATCCCTGGGTTTAGGGATATCCCGCAGGTGTTCAATGTTAGTTTGCTGAAGGATGTGGAGTGGGAGGAGTTGCGGACGATTCAGCGCAGTCGGGGCGTGGGCGAGCCGCCGTTGTTTATGGGGAGTGCTGTGTTCTTTGCGATTCGGGATGCGCTCAAGGCGGCGAGGAGGCAGTGGGGGGTGAACGGTGTGTTGAGCTTGAGGAGTCCGGCGACGCCGGAGAGGATTAGGATTAGTTGTGCGGATCCGATTGTGGAGAGGGTGAGGGTCGAGGGGAAGGATGAGGAGTGTTTCTTTGCTTCGATTTAGTTCTTTTATCTTGGTTAATTGAGCGTTGGAATCTTGCATGGTATAGGATAGTATGGTCAAGTATGAATGCATTATGTGATATCTATCTACCATAGCAGTACCCGCCTCGACTCCTCTAAACCAGAACAACAAAGGCTGACTTACATAAAGGAGAAAAGCACAGTATAATAAAATCAAGAAGAAAAAGAAGGAAGGAAAGAAAAGAAGGAAATCACCGCTTCTCCCCCGCATACTCAACATAACTACTTCCCCTCAGGTCCGGCCCCCCATCAACCATCAACGGCCTCTGACCCGCAAACCCCAACTTCTCATCCTGATACTGCGCCTCCGACACAGCCGGCATATTGACCCTGGTTTGCCCAGCAGTAGCAACCTCATACCGCGGCGCCGGCTGCGTTCGGCTGATATCATCATCAGCATCACCACCACCATTATTCACATCGTGCTGGCGACCCCCGTAAGAGGCTGGGTTGGGCATCGCCGTGAGCGGCACATCAATGAAACCACTGGAATTCGGGGAAGAATGATGGGAATGAGGAGGAGGGGGGACGTGAACCCGCAAAGCAGGGGCCGGCCCGCCCTCGCCGCGGGTTTTGTCGCGGGTCCAGAAGAGAGACAGTGCGCGGAGGATGCCGACCAACGCATTGAGAGCCCAGAGGAGGACGAGGATAGAGAAGATGATAGCTTCGAAGCGAATGGCGGCGTCGATCTTGGCAACGACGCGCGCGACGACCTCTGTGATCTTGTTGGCTGTTTGGTCGCCTGCGTCGGAGAGGAAGCTCCCTTCTCCTTCACCGTTGATGGAGTCGGCTGCGCCGCGGGTGAAGATGTCAGATGGGAGGTCAGGGAGGTTAATGTGGGCGTTGTCGTGGACCCACGTGAGGCCTTTTTGGACGGCGTCGATTTTGAGACCGATGAGGCAGTCGAAGAGGTCGTCCAGGAGATCGCGGAGGAGGGTATCGCCGAAGGTGTCGTTGAGGAGGGACTCGGTTTTGTCGACGAAGGCGTTGAGGGTATCGTTGAGGGCGGTTGTGGCGGGGTCGACCCAGTCGAGGAGGTCTTCGTTGAGGGAGGCGTCTGTGTCTGCGATGGCAGCGTTGGCATCGTGCGCCCATGCCTTGGAGGTGTCATCGAGGTGGGTGACGACTTGGTCGGCGAAGGCGCCGACTTGGGTTGCCAGGTCGGGCACCGCGCGTTGGACGGCGTGGAGGAGGATGTATTGGCCGAGGCAGGCGAGCAGGCCTGCGAGGCCGAGGGTGAGCATGAAGAGTGCGGCGGGGGTGGTGGCGTAGGCGACGGCCCAGCGGGTGAGGTTCTGGCGACGGCTGGTGCTGCAGCGGCTGGCGGCTTGGATGCCGAGGGCGGCGGTGACGGGGCGGGAGATGATGTAGACTGCGTCCATGGGGTCTGTGGAGGAGGAGGAGGGGTCTTTGTGGAGGAGGTGGTGGGAGCGGTCTTTCATGGTGCGCCAGCGGCGGATTTCCTGCCAGGCGATGAAGAGACAGACGAGGACGGCGAGGATGACGAGCACGGCGATGAAGACGCGGCGGGCGAGGGCGGCGAGGTCGCTGATGTCGTCGAAGAAGGCGTTGATGCCGCCGTTGTGGTCGGCGCAGAAGGAGAGGTGGGCTTTTGTGGGGACGGAGAGAGCGGCGCGGTCGAAGGTGTAGTTGGTGAGGGATTCGTTGACACGCTTTTTGACGAGCTCGAAGGGGGTGCGCAGGACGTTGGAGACGAAGGCGTCGACTTCGGAGAAGGTGGGGATGGAGTCATTGAGCTTGTCGAGGCCGGTGTCGATGCTGGAGGGTAGAGAAAGGTGGTCGAGTTTGTCGAGCGAGCCGCCGACGTCGAGCTTGGGCACGTCGCCGCCGAAGGCGCTGGCAACGGAGTTGATACCGTCGAGGAACTTGTTGAGACCGCTCTCGAAGGTGTCGACTGTCTTGCTGATGTCGTGGCCGATCTCCTTGACGGTAGAGTTGAGGAACTCGGTGGCATCTTTGATGACGCCGACGGCGACCTGGACGCTGCCCCGGACGGCGAGGGTGAAGAGACAGAGGTAGGTCTGGTACATGACCTTGATGAAGAAGAGGACCAGCTCTTCGACGGCGGTCAAGGACAGCATCAGCACGGACTGGAGGGCGTGGACGGCGTGCTCGACGCTGGAGGCCGTCACCTCGTTGACGCCCTGGGCCATGTAGTGTGGCATCGAGGCCATGGAGCTGCCCATGGACTCGACGGTGGTGCAGGCCCGGAGGGCGTCGGCGTGGGCCTTGTCCATGTCGGTCTCCATGCCAGTGACGGCGATGAGGACACGGACGAGGACGAGCAGCAGCAGGATGGTCCACCGGTTTATCCAGACCTGGGACAGGCGGGCACGCAGCCCGAGATACGGGGTCAAATCATCTGGATGGCGAAATTGACTACCGTGGGGGTCATGGCTGTAGGGAGGGAGAAGAGGAAAGATGGAACGAGAGAACATGATTATAGTCTATATGGTTGAAGAGAATGAGGAAGATGGACCTGCCACCAACTTGCACGCTTGTCGTATGATAGGAAATATAAGTCTATTGAGTGGTCATGGCATCGAGTCAAGAAATGAAAAGAAGAGAAAAATGAACAGAAGAAGGCGAAGAAGAAAGAAATACGGAAAAGAAGGGAGAGACCGGGGTGTCATTAATAAAGGATGGGAATAAAGACAATGGACAATAAACAAAGAGGGACCATGAATGAATTGGTGTTTCATCTTGCGAGGAATTACAGTCACCGGTCTCCTCCAGCGCCAACCAAATATAGACACTCTTATAGACAGCGCGTAAAACATCCTGTTGCATGGAAGTCTCTTAGCGCTTGGTTGAATTCTTCAACCCGATCAGATGAGTTTGATGCCGGCGCTTAGGGTTGTTGCCGCCAGGGTGGAGATGCGTCAGCCACCTGGATCCACATGAGATCGATTGGAAGGGAGATCAAGTAGTGTGCAGAATGATTGAGAAGACAAAGAAGTTCTGCAGGAGATTCAATAATGAGTGACGCTATTAAGAGTGGAAGTGAGATGTTGATATCCACGTGACTACACCCGCCCTAATCCTGACTTCTAAACTGGATAGAACACAGATTGAATATAGATAGAATACATATTGAAGGACAGAGATAAATGATACGTAATTGCTGTATTATATATAGCCTGAAATGTCTATCTTGTATTCTTGTTGCTTCATATTCTATCAAGCATAATCCTAATCAATCCCAACACCAGCAGCCATCCGCTCACGTCTAAACAAGATGTATAGGATACCCTCATCACACTTTGTGGATGGCTTCCATAGACCATAGCCTGTAGATCCATCGCATCGTTGTAAAGATGAGTCGTCAAGATGAGTCGTCAAGATGAGTCGTCGCCGAGAACCCACGATGATAACACTGCGAAATTCCTGTTTTCTTTTCTTTCCTCTTTCTCTCTTCTCACGATCCTCTCACGTGCCCTCACAAGCCCTCACTCTGGACCGTCAACATCCTCTTCGACAGTATGTACTATCATCTACCTCTGTTGAGATGAAAACTAATATGTATTAGATAAAAAAACCAGTCTGTCAGATACCAACATACATCATATCCAGTCAACTGGTGTATGACCATGGACTCAGCCAGACCAGACTCCCCTGACCCCTCCTCCCCCTCCTCCCCCCTCCGATCCAGCTTCCACTCTCCAGGTGAAAGTCGCATCGCCAAATCAGTCAGTTTTGGTCCAGTGAATCTCACTCTCCAGGCTCCCAGTGATGATGGTGAAGAAGCAGACCCAGTGGGACTCCATGTCCTGGCCCTCGGTGACGATGAAGATGGGGAATATGATGAAGAAGGAGGCCCAGTGAAGGCAGAGCAAGGTGAGTGTCCTGTCTGTCACCGTATATTCACCAGGTCATTGTCATTCTTGAACTGGCATTCACCAGATCAGAGGAACCATGGCTGGTTTTTCCTCACTATATAATCCCATCTTCCACTCTTCTCTTCTCCTCCCTATCCTCTTCATCCTCATCTCTTCTCATTGATATCAATTTCGCCAGTGAAATTCCAACCAACTAATAGATCCAGAACTAATCGAAGTCTCTGCACGCTCTCAAACCATCGACTTGATCCGTTCGCGTTCCCCTAACGACAACAGTCTTCCTGGTGAGACAGATTCATCCACTATGCCCATCTACGGCGGCAGCAAGAAGGGTAAAAAGAAGAACAAGGGCAAGAAGAATGGAAAAAAGGACAACAAAAAGACCACCAATGCCCTGACCCCTAACAATCAGCTCAGCGGCCAGGGCCAAGTCGACCGTGACGGCGCCGAGTCAGAGCATTCGTCCAGCACCGGCACCTTTTACACCGCCAAAGAGTATCAGGACGATGACCTCGCAGAAAGGATGGCTCTTCTGAATCAGCCGGTGAAACAGGAGTTTACCCTCCCCCTGGGAGTCCCAGGACCGGCGTCGGAGCATTCATCCAGCACGGCCACCTTCTACACCGCAAAGGAGTACCAGGACGACGATGACACCACTGAAAGGGTGGATTCTCAGAATCAGACCGTGGAACAAGAGCTCACCCTCCCTGCGAAAACACATGAGCCTGAGACTCCACCAAATGAGCCTGCTCGCGAGGCCACGGCCACCCCGACTCAGGCCCTCACTCCCCAGTCGGCCAGGGCGACGCCCCCATCCGGCACTTGGTCCAATGCCCCCGGCTCCAGAGGCACAGCCTCAACGGTGATCACCCCAGGCCCTGCCCTCAACAGCAGAAAGAAGAAGAAGAAGAAGAAGAAGTCCAAAAGCCAGGGCGCCACCAACCAAAGCACCGTGACAGGATCATCCTCCGACGTCGTCGCCGGCCACGCCCACCCTGACCCCATCCCGACCACCATCCTCGCCAACGAGCTGGCCCCCGAGCGCAAACCCAAAAATTTCGTCTGGGACCTCACCAAGCACGTCTTCATCTGTGCAGCCCCCGACTGCAACGAACGCTGCCACACCTGGGCCCCTACAACCGCCATCTGCCCCAGATGTGGCCCCTACTCCGAGATCCGCTACTGCTCCACGCAGCATCTCCTCCAGGACATTAAGCGCCACTGGGTCTCGCACTGTCTACAATACACCTTCGAGCACCCCTGCCGGCCTGACTCGCTGCCTCCAGCCCTCGCTGAGGCCGTCCCTCTTATCCCCTGCGCTCACATGTACGACATGCCCGAGCGCCATCGCCAGGCCGTTTACTTCAACGCCAACTCTGCCCGCGGCGACTACTTCATCTTCTCGGATTACGACGACCTCCGCGATGCGGGGACCATCCTAGACGACGACCTCGACACGCGCATCCGTCTGCGCTGCTCGTCGCGCGTCGTCTTCACCGTTACCATCCAGGACGCAGATCTCAAGGATCGATTCCGCCGGATTCTAGCAGCCTGTCTTTTTAGTATGTTCCCACCCTCCCACCAAACAACTAACATAGACCCAAACCAAAATACTAACAGAGTTGAAATAGAAACCATCACAGTCGTAGTGGTAACCGATTACCTCTACCGCCTCATCCGCGACAACCTCCGCGCCCACACCCCCAAGCTCACCAAGTCCCAACTCACCCACCTCGAAGCAGCCGTCACGCACCAATTTGCGCAAGAATTCTCCACCACCCTGAACGAGCAGCTCGTCGGCCGTCGCCACGCCTGCGAAACCGACTGGACCGGCCGCAACCGCCGCTTCTGCCGCGACGCCATCTGCCGCGCCGAAGACCGCCGTTTGCTGGGCCGTCACCACGGCGCGGGGCACAAGCACACCGTCGAGGGGCTGGAGTCGTCGTATTGGATTTTGAGAGTTGCGAGGAAGACTTTGCCGCCTCCTGCTCAGGGCCATGCTCATGCTTTTGAGGTTGGGGCGAAGGCGCGCATGCGCGGTGAGGGCTTCCCTGATGTGGTTCCTGAGGATAGGAGGGTTTTTCGCCGTGGGGAGGAGTGGGATGGGGCTGGCTCGGGGGAGCTTGAGATTGAGGGGGTGAATGATTATGATTTTCCGATTGAGGTTCCGGCGGATGTTTTTGCGATGGGGGAGATGGATTGGGAGTAGTTTGTTTCTGCTTTCTTTCTTTCCCTTTTTAGGGTGTCGTGTCTGGATGGTTTGATGGATTGCTTTGGAGGATAAGGATAAGGGTATGGTGGGAGATTGATAAGTTCCTCTTTTTTCCTGTGCTGGATCTGGATGGCTTGCTTGAAAGGTTAAGGGATGGACTACCGAGGTTGATGGATTTTTCACCTTTCTTTTTCAAGATACTGGATCAGAATGAGGTGTTTGCGTCGGAGGATAAGGGATGGACTGTGAGGCGGATGGATATTCCTGCTTTCTTCTTTCTTTCTAACAGTGATGGTGACAGTGATATGGACAGTCATGGTCATAAAAAGAGATAAATGTAAAAAAAAAAATCTACTGCGTCTACCTCTTCTACCGAATATACTGCCCTACTGAATATACTTCTTCAATCCCCGCAATCTCTCCTTAGCAGTCTCCAACACATCATCATTCTTGCAAACCGCAAACCGCAAATAATCCTCCGCGATATGCGCATTAGCATCCGTGTAGAACTCCGTCGGCGGGATAGCCGCGACGCCCACCTCGTGGATCAAAAACCAGCAGAGCTGGAAGTCGCGCGGCCGGCTGGCGACATGCGGCGGGAAGGGGTAGTCCTCCGGCAGGCGCACGGACGCGAAGTTCGCCAGCACGAAGTAGCCGCCCTCAGGCTCCGAATAGGGGATGTTCAGCTCGTCGAAGACCTGGCAGAATCGCTGCACCTTGCCCAGCATCTTGTTGCGGCTCTCGTCCCAGAATCCGTGCGCGTCGGCTTGCTCGAAGGCTACCGCTGCTGCCTCTTGCAGTGGCGACACACTGCTGTAGCAGATGCGCGTGTGCGCTCCTGCGACGTACTTGACCAGGTGCTCGGGCCCGATCAGGTAGCCTACTCGCCAGCCGGTTGCGTAGAAGGCTTTGCCGGCGGATCCGACGGTCAGTGTGCGCTCGTACAGCTCCGGCGAGAGGGTGCCGATGCGCGTGAACGGCACGTAGAACAGTCGGTCGTATACCTCGTCGGACAGGATGATGAGGTTGTGCTTGATGCACAGGTCGCCGATGCGCTGGAGCTCCTCGCGGGAGAACACCTTGCCCACCGGGTTGTGGCTAGATGGGTTAGTTGGTTCGGCTGGTTTGGGGTTGTGCACCTTACGGAGAGTTCAACACCTGTTAGAAGTTAGCGAATGGGCATGTCAACTACTATGCGTGAAATCTTACCATCATCTTGGTCTTGGGGTTGATGGTCCGCTCCAGCTCGTCAAAGTCGATCGTCCACTCCGAGGCCGGCGACGTCCGCGTGGCACCATCCTTGGGAGGGTGCAGCGGGACGTAGCGGATGGTACCCCCGGGCATCTCGATGTTGCTGATATACCTTTGTCGGGGTCAGTCAAGCACTCCGTGCAAAGCAGAGTCGAGGGACGTACTGATCGAAGAAAGGCTCAAAGATAATGACCTCGTCGCCCTGCTCAATAAAACCCATGAAGGCACTGAGCATGCCTGTGTCACAGTCAGTTTGTGTCCACCCGCATTGCATCCCACCAGTATTGCGCACCTTCGTTGGCGCCCGTCGTGATGGACACTTCAGTATCCGGGTTGATCGTGCGACCGAAGTGCGGGGAGTAGGCATCCGCGATGGCTTTCTTCAGACGAGGGCGACCCTAGATCTCCCATCAGCGACACCCTTCCACGTATAGTTCCCGGGCGCACCTTAGTAGGGGAGTATTGGTTACAGTCGACGCGGTCGAGGGCGTCCTTGGCGGCGTCCAGGGCGAACTTGGGAGGGTTATAACCGCTACATAGACAGTCAGTATCACTGTGGTCCCCCCCTCATATTATCAGACACGCACAAGAAACCCTGTCCCATGTTCACGATCGGCTGGACGGGCGAGGCCGCGGCGGCCTCGTTGACGATGGACCTAGTCAGGGTTAGGAAGGCGTTACCGCGCGTCGCATTGGATCCAATCACACCAGACATCCTGTCGCTGGCCGGCGACACGCTTCGCCGGCTTGAAAGGGTCCGCACGGGGGGCGGTCGTCGACATGGCTCGGCGGGGGACCAGGCGGGGTAGATTGGAGACAGCGAAGGAGGGGGAAGACGTCAAGGGACGAATAGAGCGGACGGCGGTGCGAGAGGCAGGGAACATAAGTGAATATGACACCGGAGATATAAACAAGGACAAAAACGAGAGGTCCACTGGCGCGTCGGAGTTCTCCGGATGAGGGGAAGTTGAGGTTATCTCCAACTCTCGGCTCCTGTATCGGAATGGCGTGCTGGAGGAGCCTCACCGATCAGGCAGCAAGGCACCGGTGAGTCAGCGCTTATCGCCTGCCTTATCGCCTTATCTCGATCGATTCGACGCGTCCGCGTTAGATTTCTGTGGCCGTTCGAATTCGATGTCTATACAAAATCTTGATTGATCCTCTATCCCTCATGTACTTTTAAACCATGGTCTCCTGCCCTATCTGCGCCAATTCTGTTCCCTCCCTCAAGATCAACGACCATATCGATTCCGGTTGCCAAAGCTTCGTGGAAGAATCCTCGCCTCCCTCGACCGCGCCGTCGACCGACCCGGAACCCTCCCAGAAACCCCAGGTTCCCACCTTTTTCCAACCGACCTCGGCCCGGAAAGCGTCGGCTCAATCAAAGCTTCAGTCGGAATCCCAGGCTGATGCCTCCCCGCTCCGTAATGCCAGCCGTAAGCGACTCATGACCCAGGATGCGACGTCAACCTCGCCCGCAGACGTCGAAAGATCGGAGACACCGAAGGATGCGCCGGCCAAGAAACCGAGGATGAACGCGCTACAACAGGCCGCTCCGCTGGCGGAGCGAATGCGCCCGCGCACGCTCGACGAGGTCTGCGGCCAGGACCTCGTCGGCCCGAATGGCATCCTCCGCGGGCTGATCGAGTCGGATCGGGTTCCGAGCATGGTGCTCTGGGGGGGCCCGGGCACGGGCAAGACCACCATTGCGCGCGTTATTGCCACCATGGTGGGCAGCCGGTTTGTCGAGATCAATAGTACGAGCACCGGGGTGGCGGAGTGCAAGAAGATATTCGGCGAGGCGCGCAGCGAGCTGGGGTTGACGGGACGCAAGACCATCATCTTCTGTGACGAGATCCATCGCTTCTCCAAATCCCAGCAGGACGTCTTCCTCGGTCCGGTGGAGAGCGGCCAGGTGACGCTGATTGGGGCCACGACAGAGAACCCGTCCTTCAAGGTGCAGAGTGCGCTACTCTCCCGGTGTCGCACGTTCACGCTGTCCAAGCTGACGGACGCGGACGTCAAGTCCATCCTGGAGCGGGCCCTGCGGGTGGAGGGGCCGAGCTACACGCCGTCGGCCCTGGTGGACGACGAGCTGATCCAGTATCTGGCCAACTTTTCCGACGGGGACGCCCGGACGTCCTTGAATCTCCTCGAGTTAGCCATGGATCTGTCGCGGCGCCCGGACATCAACAAAGAGGAGCTGAAGCGGTCCCTGACCAAGACCTTGGTCTACGACCGGGCTGGGGACCAGCACTACGACACTATCTCTGCCTTTCACAAGTCCATCCGCGGAAGCGACCCAGACGCCTCCCTCTACTACCTCGCGCGGATGATCCAGTCAGGGGAAGATCCGCTGTACATCGCGCGGCGACTCATCGTAGTGGCCTCGGAGGACATCGGGCTAGCGGACCACAGCATGCTGACGCTCGCCATATCGACACACTCTGCGGTGGAGAAGATCGGGCTGCCCGAGGCGCGCATTAACCTCGCGCATGCCACGGTCGCCATGGCGCTGTCCAAGAAGAGCACCCGGTCGTACCGCGGTCTCAACAACGCCTTTGCCGCGCTGGCGGAGCCGGGAGTGGCGGGGCTCCCGATTCCCATCCACCTTCGGAATGCGCCGACGCGACTGATGAAGGAATTGGGGTATGGGAAAGAGTACAAATACAACCCCAACTATGTAGACGGGCAGGTGGCGCAGGAGTATCTGCCGGAGGACCTGCAGGGGCGGAGATTCCTCGAAGACCGGGACCTAGGAGATCGGGTCGACCCAGGTGTGAGGTATTAATTACAACAAGTCCATTTGTAGTCACATTCTCAATGACAGTCATTGTACATATCAAAATAATTAACTAGTGGTCTACTATGGGGGTGATATAGTCCATAGATTCCGAGATAGTCAACAGCGGCAGAGACTGACCGCTCTCCGCGTCGCGTCAAAACAATCAAATCCTCCATCGTCGGCGTCAGTCCGCCATTTCGATCTCTCCAACCAGTCACCCTCCCCACTTTCTCTGCTCTATACGAGCACCTCATCAATCTTCGATCCTCGATTCCGATCGCCTTAACTCCCTCTACTCACACGGCCAAATCCAACCACCAACAAACAGCCCGATCGGTTCAAACACAACAACATCTAGACAACCAACACCCAGCAAACAACACACAATGGCAACCCAACCAGGGTTCCATCAATCCTACGCCGGTCCAGTCTCCGGACCAGGCACCGGCCGAGGCCTCTCCAGCAACCGACTCCCCGACCGATCCCTCAACGCCAACGCCGCGACCGCACCCTTCGCCTCGTCGACCTTCGGCCGCGGCCGCATGATGACCTCCACCATCGACTACGCCGATCAAGGCGCAGGACCGAAATCCTCCCAGCAAGCGCCCTCCGCACCGGCGCTTCACACACAGAGCGCGCCGGCCGCCGCCGCAGAAAACCCGCTCAGTCGGTTGACCGAGGAGCAGCGGGAGGAGATCAGCGAAGCGGTATGTACCTACCTACCTTCCACAATATCTATCCACCCAACAAATCTTTTTTTTTTTTTACTAACGCTAAGGTTGGGACGGAATAGTTCACACTCTTCGACCTCGACCGCGACCGCCACCTCGACTACCACGAGCTCCGCGTCTCCTTCCGCGCGCTAGGCTTCACCCTCCCCAAGCAAGAACTCATCGCGCTACTCAAAACCTACGGCGTGCCGCGCCCGCAAGTCCAACAAGCGCAGTCGCAGTCTGGCGCCGCTGCAAAGCCACCCAGCACGGCGGCAGACGCGTCGCACCCGTCGAATCTCCTCATGCCGCTCAGCGAGTTCCAGGCCGTCACGGCGCATAAGATCCTCGAGCGGGATCCGCGGGATGAGATCATGCGGGCGTTCGAGCTGTTCGATGAGGGAGGTAAGGGGTTCATCGATATTGAGGATTTGCGACGGGTGGCGCGCGAGCTGGGCGAGACGGGCCTCGAGGAGGATGAGCTTCGGGCGATGATTGAGGAGTTTGATCTTGAGGGGAGTGGCGGGGTGAGTAGGGAGGCGTTTGTGGGGATTTGTTGGCAGTGATTTCATCAATTCTTTTTACTTTTTGCTGTCTTTCTTGGTTGGTTGTTGGTTGTTTGTTTGCATTGCTCGATCCATTATCATCTGCGTCCTTGGGAAGGAGTGTGTGCATATCAGGCTGTATATTTTATCTTGTCCCCCACCACTTTCCATGGGGGTTTTCTTGCCATTGGTGTCTGCGTCTGTCGATATCACTACTTACTATACTAGGTACATACCTACCTACATACCTACATGTCTCCCTCGTTAGGGAGGAATGTCCAGCACAGCAATAATGAACTTATGACTGTCTATAACTCGTCAGATGTGTCAACCTCACCCATGGGAGAATATCTTTATGTATAAATGAGAGACAATTAATGTTCTCTGATTATAGTCAAGTGAAGAAGTCTTGGTTTAGCCTATAATCAGTCCTACATACAAGTCTCTGAAGAGATAAGCAGGCACATTACACATTCTTGAAAAAGCAACCCATCAAATCTAATTCCATTCAATTCCATTCAAACAGATAAACGAATAACCTCAATAACCCATAATCAATTAACCCAACTTACGTAGTAAATGAAGAAGAAAAAAAAAAAGAATTGACCGACGCAGGGGTCGAACCTGCAATCTCTTGATTCGTAGTCAAGCGCCTTGCCATTGGGCCAGCCGGCCTGTTCTTGTTTCTTTTCCGTCGGAAGGAAGTTCTCATTCGGCCGTCAGCTCCATTCTGTGCGAACTACTGCCTGTTCTGGTGTTAGTGCCTGCTCTAGCATGCATCTCTAGAAGACAGTTTCTCTTGGCTACGCTACTTGGCTGTCTGGCGCTAAGCAGACCAGGTATGATATTAATTTATATTAAGCTTGTTTACAGTAAATTAGTGACTTCACTAGGGTTGATCATGGATTATATGGCGTATCTGCCTAGTTATCTGTCTATATGCCGGGTGCCGAGGAGGTTGGATATATACATATCTTGAATGTGTCTGCCTACGTCGGACTATGCGGGCTGCAATTCATACGTTCTATCCAAACTGGCTGGGAATATTATCCGTGGACGGTAGATAAAATAAATTCTATGCTACACCATGCAACTCGTTAAATGCAAGAAAAGAAAAACCCCTCATATTAGATCATCCGATAAACGCCTAAAGACGACACGACTATAGATTCAGATAGCGACAAAATAAGATAAATCATGCGTATCGCATTGGTGGCCCGTAGCCCGGCCCTGGGTAGGGCGGTGGTGGCGGATCTCCCCCTAGGCCGTGGTACCCCCGCGTGGGGGCCGGTGCCCACGCCCCCGGTGGTGGGGGCGGCATGCCGCTGGGCCAGGGACCCCCGTAGGGTCTGGGCGCCGGGACTGGCTTGATGGCGCGGCGGGAGCGGCGGCAGCGGTTGATGAGGCAGAAGAGTAGCGCGAGCACGATCAGACCGCCGACGCCGCAGCAGATGCCGATGATGACGTTCTTGTGGCTCTTGATCCAGTTCTTGACGCTTGAGCCCTCGCAGCTGCCGTTGCGGCAGAAGCCGCCGTTGCCGCAAGTCGTGCCGTCGAGGAAGTTCTGGTTGACGCTGAGGCACTGGCCTAGTGAGGGAGATGAGCAGACCAGCTCGCATGAGTCGCTGAAGGCGCTGCATGCGTTGGTCTCGTTGCTGTGCAGCAGGCTGCCCATGACTGAGCGGCACTGGTAGTCCCGGCTGGTGCACTGGCCGCTGGCGCAGGTCAGCCCCGACGACGACCCGCCGCAGCTGTCGCCGTCCTTCTTGAAGGTGTCGCTGGGGCAGCTGCTCGAGTCGCCGCTGCAGGTCTCCTCCTCGTCGCACTCGCCGCGGCTCTCGCGGCAGACGCTGCCGGCCTTTCGGTACTGGCAGCCCTCGCAGCAGCTGTCGTTGGCGTCGTCGCAGACGGCCTCGGACTTGAACTTGCACGTCTTGGCGTCGCAGCAGCTGTTGTCTCCGCACGACTCCTCGCCGCCGCAGTCGCAGTCTTCGCCCGACTCGACGATGCCGTTGCCGCACTGCCCGCCCGTGTAGGTCTGGACGTCGCGGTTGGCCGACAGGCAGGTGGACTTGACGCTGTTGCGGCCCAGGGCGGAGCAGATATTGCCGATGGTGCACGCCGAAAATTTGGTCACGTCGTTGCCCGCGGTGGTCGGGTTCATGATGTACCGCGCGTCGGCGTCGCACCCGGAGTTCGACAGGGGACAGCACTGCGACGAGCTGTCAAGGCCCTCTCCGCACGAGGTGGAGTCGCAGTCGTGGACGGCGCCGAAGGTGTGGCCGGATTCGTGCGCGAAGACCTGCCAGCCCCCGGGCGACTTGACCACAATGTTGGTGCCGCTGATGGAGTTGGGTCCGTCGTCGTTGACCTCAGCGTTGCACAGCTGGCCGAGCCAGGCCAGCCCCACCTCAGTGCCCGTTGGGCAGGAGCTCATCAGGGTCCAGTACGCGTTGTCGTCCTTCTGCTGGCCTCGCCATTTAGAGAAGAGATCCAGTCGGGACGTGATGTTGCCCTGCTCGCAGGGCATGTTCCACTGCGTGGTCGCGGGCGCCTTGTCCGGGCAGGATGCGTCGGTGAGGGTCAGATTGCGCAGGCCGATGGAGATGTTGAACGAGTGTTCATAAACGTTGGAGGCGCTGTTGACGGTGTTGATGACCCACTTCTTGGCATCTTCGTCGCTCTTGAAGGCGCCGCGGAACGAACAATCGGTCGCGACCCCGATCAAGGCCACCTGCTTCGTCTTCGGACAGCCCGACGTATCGCCGATGGTGGATTTCAGGTTGACGCCGCCGGCGTTGCCGGAGGCGCCGCCAATGTCCGACTGGCGCTTGGTCAGCCCGAACATGGAGTCCAGGGACATGCCGCCCCAGCGGCTCTGGATCTGGGACTCGTCGCGTCGCAGCACAGGATGCTGCGGGTTGCTGTTGAAGCCCAGCTTGTCGGCCTCGCAGGACGAGGAAGACACGGATAGGGACCGCTTCAATTCGGTGTGTAGGTGTCGGACCATGTCGGAGTCGCGGTAAAGGATCATGTAATCCCCCTTGCGATGGGGGATGTCGGCATCCTGCTCGCGTTTGTTCTGCAAGTAGGTGGACATCAGTTCGACGTGATGGTTGTCCCCGTGAACGTTGAAGACGCCCTCGAACAGCGGCTGGGGGCCGTCATTCTGGAGATAGACTCTGGCCCACCCGACGGGATCCCACATGCCCTTTCCGCGGGACATCAAGGCCCGTCCCTTGAAGACCTTGTGGTCACCGCGGACGACGGGCTCTTCGCGTCGGACGACCCCGTCGGCGCCCAGGTACTGCACCAAGGCATCCTCGGCGAGGATGTCATGGTTGGGTTCCAACTCAAGCTTATACCGTTTGCTCTTGTCGCGGAGAGTGAAGGTGAGTTCGAAATTGGTCAGATGGTCGACATGGCTGGAAGGGGTATTGATGGAAAGGGAGTCGAGGGTGGTAATGTGTTGGATCGCGCTGGGGGCTTGGGACCGGGCTGTAGCATGTTAGAATCTTTCCTGAACGATAAATATAATATATAGCAACGATATACTGACCATCTACGCCTAGAAAGAGCGATACGACGCCCGCCAGCAAGGGCAGCGAAGGTAATAGCCTCATGGCTACAAAGCAAGCGGGTGGAAGGGCGCTTCGGACTAAATCATGCACCGGTCGGCCGATCGATACGAATCGCTGATGAGAGGAACCGAAAAGATATGTTGTCGATCAGGGAGGGGGAATAATCGACACAAGAGGATTGTCGAAGGGCATCAGGCAACCGTGAAAGAAAGAAACCAAGAGATCCTCAAAAGGACCCGCAGAAGATCTCGGTATTGAGACTCCGAATTGAATACGGTCGAGAGAGGGGGGAAAGAGAGCCAAAGTAGGGCGAGCGCTAGAGTGAGCCAGTGGCTGGGCGTGGCGGTTGCTCGTCTGGTGGGGACCAAAGGATCCGCCAGTCCCGAAGCCGAAAAAGACGGGGAAGAAGACGCGCAATAAGAAGAATATCAGGGAATAGTGCAATGCAAGATCAGATGAAGATGAAAGAACGGTCAACCGGATTGAGGCGCAGTCGGACTTGGCGGGGATGAGATGACAAGTGGGACCAGAGAGAGAGAGACACAGACAGAGGAACGAGGGGAGGGGGAGAGAAAGATAGAGATCAATCAAAAACGAGGCAAGGGGGAGGGGGGGAGGAGTGAGGAGAACGAGAGAAGATGAAGTTGTGGAGGAGAGAAAGAGAGAGAAAGAGAGAAAGAGAGGAAGAAAGAAAGAAAGAAAAGAAGAGATTCAGGGATGCCTGATTCTATCCGCCAATTCCTGAGTTATGTTCATAATGACGAACCCGGTGCCAAGGCTGCACGGGGAATGCATTATTTCCATGCAGAACACGCTTCCCTAGTGATAATCTAGACGTAATATTGACTTTCTTATAAATCAGAGTTCTTTTCCTCTACTTCAATTATCCTACAGATTCCTTTACACGATCTGACTGGTCGATCTGATTTGATCGTGCTCCTCCACCGGGGTCATTCCCTGACTCAGCGGCGTCTATCAGCCCTAACATCCTCCGTCTATGGATGACTCGCTCGGATCAATGACGAGCGATTAGGAATACATGAAGTCTACGTGGACAGACAATCTCGACCCATCAGTGTGTCCGCTCAGGGCATGGAATAGATCCTGGTTCCGCTCCAGGGCATCTCTCTGTCCGAAACACCGTAATCGTCCGTACCGTGGAACCGTAGACCCCGCCCGGCCGTCATGATTCGGCCACCGAATGGTACACCTGGTGAGCGACCAGGGCAAAATGTGGGATGGACACCCCGCAGGTCGCACAGGGCACGGACGGGATGCGGTCCTCGTCGCTATCCCCCCATCCATCCTCGTCCGACGTCGGGGAGAGCGGTGTTTCCTCCACCGCTGACCCTTCCGCGCTGACTGGATCCCGCTCGACGACCACGGGCGGGCTTTGGGGGCGGCTCGACTCTGGCCGCTGGAACATCCGACCAATGTCTTGTCCGCTACTCGCCGTCTCGGCCAGATTCGTCACGGCCACGTTCATCAAGTGCAAGTTCCACCCGGACGGTTCGGGGTGCAGTCGACGGAACAAGGACAGCGTCCGCTCCTGGACCAGTCGCTCCGCCACCGCATCAATGTGCTCGTCGAGGTGCAGGACGAACGGCGGCAGCGGGGCGGAGCGCGAGACCCGATTCCCCCCGAGGCCGCGCGTTCCGTTCGCCTGGACGGGCGGTCGGAGGCGCGTGGACAGCCGCAGCGTCCGGGGACGGGCAAGCCACCGGAGTCCGCGAGGGACGTCGGTCGCTGGCTCCGTCAGATCGGTCCGCATCCGCCGGATTAGGCTGATGGTCAGCGCGACCAGGGCTTTGCGGACCTGTTCGATGGTGTCGAGGCGGCCGTACGTGTCCTCGATGCTGATCTGCGTAGGGAGGTCCCGAGCCGGCAGGACCTCGGCGGTGTCAACGCCGTGAATCAACCGCCAAACACGCCAGCCGATCTCCTTGGGAGCTCCGGGGCCGCTGAGGATGCGGTCCAGCCGCGCGGGGCCCATGCCCGCACATCGACGCAGGTCCCGGACGGTGACGGGGTCATCGGGGTCCGCGGCCGTCAGATGCGCGGTGATCTTCCGGGCGAGGGCAGAGCCGATGCCGGGAATCTGGCGAATCTGGTGGCCGTCCAGAAAGTCCCGGACGTTGCCTTGGACATCAGGCGGGGATGGTCCGTACGGGGGGAGGAGGGTGGTTTGGCTGTTGGGCTTGTGGGTGCTGCCAACAAGCTTGGCCAGGAGCTTGGAGGTCGCGATGCCGGCGGTGGCGGTGTAGCCCTTTTGGGTCTCCAGCTGGGCGCGGAGGTAGGCAGCCAGATGCGAGGCTAGGCGGAGGCGGATGTCGAGGCGGGTGTCATTCCTCACCGATTGCGCCCCGTCCGCTGGATAGGTGGGCCCCTGCACGGTGGTGGCACTGAAGACAAATCCCCGGGTGGGATCGTGTCGGTCGAGGTGGAAGAACGAGTGGTCCAGATCATGGGGGTTGAGTTGGTCCACATTGTAGTCGACCATGTGGGAGACGTCCAAAAACAACTAGGCTATAATTAGATCCAGCACGATCAGATGATGGGAATATTATGTTTAATAATAAAATCAAAAAGAATACCTCATCCAACCCTAGTTTCTCGACACGCCCTCCCCACACCATGGGGCGCAGGAAGTGGTAGAGGTCTTTGGAGGCATCGCGAAACCGGGACAGATCCTCACCTAAGACGACCAGAAGCTCGGGGCAGATCTGCTTCGCCTCACGGATGAGTTGCAGCTTGCGTAACCCACGACGACGAGCCTCATAGTTGCAGGTGACGACGATCTGTTTCTGCTGGACGGCCAACGGACGGGATTTCCAGGCGGGATGCTCCACTTCAAAGACGGAGGCATAGAAACAGTCATAATCCTGCGGGGGAGTCAGGGCTGTACGACTGCTAGATACTATTTTAGGTGGAGAAGTATACGAACCAAGTGGACGATGATGCGTTGGTCGTCAGGAGATAAAGATGGAGAGGCCATGCGTGAAAGGAAGGATCTAGTGGAATCACGTCATGACGATAAGAATAGACGATGAGAATAGACGATAAGAATAGAAGTAGTAGTATTAGTATTAGTAGCTGTTGTTGTGTTCTTGTGTTGTTAATGGTGGTGGTGGTGATGGTGGTGGTGGTGGAAAGTTCATCAATCTGCAGGATGAGTCATTCAGTATAAAGAGGACAGTTATGCAGAAGCACAGGTGGCTGGTGAACTGTGGCTCGGGAAAGCTAACCAGATCGGGTTAGAGGATTCTATTGGAGGGGATGATTCTAGACCATTCCAGATCGAGATTAGATTGTTCTTTTTATAGTCTAATTGGTTCTTTTTTTAGCATCGGATCGGACAGTGAGTGGCAGTTGTGATTGGCTGGCAGATTGGGAATCGGGATAGTCAACCACGCTATAAATATCTTCCCCTCCCGTGGGATTCGTATTGGGAAAATGATAAATGATGGAAAGGATATTAATGAAAAATTCTTTCAATAGTCCGGAAATCAAGAAAAATGGCCACCTGGTTCGGAGGATGGAAGGAGGATGGGCCTCTCGTGAAGATGGAGCCGATGGACCGTGTGTGGTGTAAATGAAGGTTAATTAAGGCGACTCCATCGATCCGGTCGATGGGTCTGGACAAGAATAGGAATGAGAGGGCGAGATAAAAGACCAGTCTGATGCGGGCGTCGATAGTGTATTACTCTTCCTTCTCTCTTCTTTCTCTTCCTCTCTTTCTTCTTCTTCCTCTTCCTCCTCTCTTCTCTCTCTCTACTTCTACTTCTTTCGTCCTTCTCCACTCCACCCAGATAGGAAGAGGAAGACGATCAATACGGGTCTAAATTAGGAAAACGTCGATCTATCGACTCTTTCGTCACTCTGCATCGCATGCGTTTTTTCTCTTCCATCTCCCCGACCTCTCTATTATCCATCTACATCCTGTCTTTTTTCCTCTCTCTTTCATCCACACTCTCTCCTTTCTCTTTCTTTTTACTATCGACACCTATATCAAGGTAAACTACGCCATGCTGGCGGTCCCCATGACCTTGCCGACGTCGTCCTCCTCCAATATGGCCTGCACAGTGGCCTCTGCCTCCAACCCTCCGTCCGCTATTTCATCTCGCCCCAAACTCTCCCTACAAACCGCCTGTCTCCCCCGAACCTTCGGTAGTTCATCCACTGGACTGTCCCTATCTTTGGCGGCCGGACCCACTGCCTCTCCCACCGTCCGGAATACCTTCAACAACGCTTACGACCCCACTTCGGCCACCTCGTCTCCCTCGAAGCCATCCGCGACCGGTCGCCTCGCCATCTCATCCTACAACAATGCCGCCCACAACAGCAACAACAACAACAACAACAACAACAACAACAACAACAACAACAACAACCCCTACCAGCTCCCCCTCGGCGTCAAGAGCATCCTCCGAAACTCCCCGTTAGAACCCACCTGTCGATCACGCTCCATCTCTATTCCCTCCAGCGCCACCGGCGCCCGCCGCGCTTTCTTCCCTCCAAAGAAGCAGGTCAGCTATCGTCAGCCACTCGAAGAAGAAATCCGCACAGTACACTACACCGCACGTCATTCCGACCTCGCTGAAGACCCGCAACAACAACAACCTCAACGACCCGCCCCCCACACAGCCCCCGACGAGGCAGAATCCGACTCCACCGCAAGCGGGGCCACCTCAGACGCCAGTACCTCGTCCTCGTCCGATGACGACACACACTCGTCCCTCGCACGGTCAACCCGCAAGAAGCGGAAACATATCAGCGCCGAGCGACAAGTACGCGCCGTCGCTCTAATGGACGGCATCGAAGGCGACGGGTCCGCCACGCCGCAGACCCCGCGTCAACACCGCGTCAAACGACGCTGCGAGTGGCGGTGGACGCTCGGTCCACTCGAAACCACCGAGAAGATCGTCGAGCCATTCCCGGCGCAAGACTCGGACGAGTTGACCCTCACTACTTCTGCTCCAGCTACTACTACACCGACTTCGACGACCCTACCCATTCTATCCACTTTAAAAACCCATGCCACCCCCCACACACGAGACAACGTCAGCCCTCTATCCTGGGACTCAGACGCCCAGTCCCTGTCAGCGACCTCGCAGTTGACATCCACGCCTAGCTCGTCTGTGCCGTCTGAACTGGACCTCGAGTATAAAATGCCGTTGTTGTCGGACGCGGAACCCGTCCTCAAGCCTGCAGACCAATAACCCGTGCGGACGGCCATGATGCCTCTGCATTGACGATATGGATGGGACTTGATTTATGATTTATGCATCTGTCATAGATGAGCGATTTCTTTTCTTTTACCTAGTACCTACTTTTTTTATTTTTCTCCAACTGGATATTTTTACTATCGTGGGGTTTCCTTCTTTTCCTTCCTTCTCTTCTCATCTATTTCTTTTCCCTTCTTTTTTTTACAGCGACATCTTCACATACATATCTTAATATTCTTCTACTCTCTTTTCTTATCTCTTCCTTTTTTTTCTGTCTTCCCTCTTTTCAGACCATTTTCTTTCTTTCTATTCTATTCTACTATTTAACTATGCATGGTGTCGGTGTGGCGGCTATCGTCTATCCCCTTCTTCGTATCGATGATTGATTGATATACATATACCAGGCTACGGTTGCATTTCTTTTCATTTTATTGTCCGGACATATTACTTGCATATATATTCTATGGATATGAATATTCACAGATTTTACCACTTATTTGTGTACATATGGTATTTACCATTGTATTGTCTGCTGCAGCTTATATTTCGTTTCATAAGGGGGTCTAGTGTACTACTGAGGTAGATATACATGATATTGTGAATATTATACACGCACACATACATACAGAGTAATCAATAACAAACCCACTCCTACCACATAACTCATAGTATACAGATGGGTACATACATACAATCCTCAAAACAAAACCAAAAGAAAAACCAAGAACCCCCAAAACAACCCACAAAAAAAAACAGCCCAAACCAACTACCAAACAAAGAAAGAAAATAAAAAATCAAAAACTAAAGAGACAGTGACTACCCCGTCTCAGTCTCCACATCCGGCTCTCTCCCCACCAAATCCCCCGAAAACCTCCGTCTGACCTTCCGCAGCGCGAACTTCGCCTCGTCGCGCGCAAACGCCGCGTTCCGCACTGGCTTCCACTGCATCAGGCCGCGCTGCTGACGCTGCTCGCTGCGGCGCACTGCCTTTTTTGACGGCGCCGTGCTGGTGCTGGAGTCGGCTATGCTGGAGTCGGCTATGCTTGAGTCGGCTATGCTGCTTGCCGTTGAGGGGCGTCTGTCTTCTGCATAGTTGTCATTGTTGTCGAGGGAGGTTCGTTGTTGTTGCTGCGGTTGTTGGTATTGGGGGGAGCTGGTTGGGGCGCTCGTTGGGCGATTGTTGATGTTGTTGGTTTGGAGGTTTGTGACGTATTGGTCTTGGTGGTGGATATTGTTTTCGTCCGCTTGTTGATGATGATATTCGCGGGTTGGGTCCTGGGATGAGTAGGACGTGCGCGCGGCGCTGCTGTTGTAGGAGCTACTCGTTGGCTGGCGACTGTGGCCATGATGGTGGTGGTCACGACCCTTAGCGACGAGGTTATCGTCAGTGTGATCAGCGTCGAAGAACGCAGCAGGGTCATGGCCAAAACAGCCGCTCCAGTCCTGGCCCTGCTTGTCTATCCACCGACGGCGCTCGTCGGGACTCGCATGGCGGAGGATGTCGCGACCCTCGACGAGGGATCGCTCGTGCAGCTCTTCGATGTCCCGCGGGACGAACGAGGTGATACGGTGCGGACGCACGCCCTCGGCGACAAGCGCTTCCCAAGTCTCGAAGGTCTCGCGCGAGTGGTTATCAACGATGAACTGCTCGTGCGACTCGTCGATACCGGGTGTGAAATGCGCGTGGAACTGCAGGCGGCCGATCTGCTGCAGGTCTTCCAGCCCCGGCGAGCGCTTCTGCTCCCAGTTGTCTTCCGTGACGTAGTTCTGCGTGAGCCGCTTGCCGTTGTGCGTTGACCAGATGGGGATGTCGACCGCTGTGTCTTGGTTGTCGACGAGGTGCTGTAGCCAGAGGACGGCATACCCGGCGACGCTGCGCTTGCCTGGGTGGTGTAGTTCGAAGACGATTGCTGAGCGGTAGCGGTGGCGGACGGGGAGGCGGAGCTGGTTGCGAAAGGTCTCGTTTGAGAGGTCGAAGACGGCATTGTTGTTGGAGTCGACTGTGCATACGTGCTTGTTGATCTTGCTGCTGCTGCCGGTTGTGCGCAGGTTGATCTTGGCTTTGTGCCCAAATCCTTGCGCGATGACCTTTTCCCCTGCGATCCCGAATGTTCCTACGTCCCAGCCTAGCATCTGTGGGGGTAGACGGGTTTCCACGTGGCGGAAGAGTAGCGAGATGCGGATCCGTCCGTGTCCAATTCCTCCGTCTAGGGGGTACCATCGTGTGAGTTGCGAGCTGGTACGCAGGAGGTCGGTTAGTCGGAGAGGTACCACGCCTAGAATGGGGTCGTGCTCCCGGTAGCGCTGGTCTCGCACGGTCACGGTCACGATGGCTGAACGCCAGTCGCGGACGAAGCGCTCGGTTCCGGCGTTGAAGATGGGCTTGGAGCTGACGGCTTTGGCGCGAGTGCGGTAGATCTATACACGTTAGGGTTCAATTCACGGGTCTGCCATGAGGGGGGAACGTACTAGCTGGTCATTGAGGATAATCTTGCAGTAGCTGGTTGGTAAATCGCTGCCCTGCTCCTCCGTAGCCTCTCCGTATGGTTTGGCGGGCTCATAATCCTTGCCCTTCCGGTTGCCATCGCTGCCCTTGATGTTGGACAGCTCGAGATTGACAATCTGATGCACCACGACGCTGAGGATGCCGCTGGGCCAGAGCGGGTCCGGTGGCGTGTGCACGACGGCATCCTCCTGGTCGGTACTGATGACGCCCTTGGGGTCCTGGAACTGAGGGTTGCCCTGCAGGTTCGCGGGCAGGTCCTTCTTCTTGCCGTCCGTCCGGAGCTCCGGCCGCAGCTTCGGCTTGCCGAAGAATCCCACCTCCCAATGCAGCTCCCCGGGCATCTCGCTGCCCTCGTTCAGGCCCTGCAATTTCGAGACCTGTGGGTACATGCGGCAGGGGTGCTGGATCATCTCGCGGATGGGCAGTTCCACCTTGCCGACGACGTCGTCCGCCGTGTTGCGGTCTGAGTCCCACAGCTCCACGCTCAGGTTCTCGTCCGCCTTGATCAGCTCCGGCGTGACCAGAAGCGCCGCCGTCTCCTCCCAGACTGGATTCAGGTCGTCGCAGATCACCCGCGTGCAGTACATGGGCTTGCCGTACTTGGAGAACGACAGGTTGATGTAGGGGTCGCTGCCGCCGCCGTAGCTGCCGCGACGATCCTGCTTGCTCAGTCCAATGGCGCGGTGGATGCGCACCCACATGATGCCCAGGGCCTCGGTCTCCTTGAGGATGTCGTCGCCCTTGAGAATGGAGCTGAGATCCATGGTCATGGATTTGGGGGCCGCGAACAGCCCGCACGCAGTGCCAATGGCGTAGTTGACAAAATTCGAAATCAGAGGGAGGTTCAGAATGTTGACGCCGCCCTTGACCATCGGCATACACCCGGCTTTGACGTGGGGAAGGCCCACGAGACTGAAGGTCATGTCCTTCATGAATGGCGGCTCGGGCATCAGCTGGAACCGGATGCGCACCGTGCCAACCATCTCGATCAACTCCACGAACACGGGGAAGGGAACCCCGAAGAGACCCCGGACGCCGAGGTAGAATACGATCTCCATGTGCATATTGCGTGCCTTAGACGACGCAGACTGGCCGCTGGGCTTGGCGTGATATGCAAACGAGGCTTCGAGGTTGTAGTAGCTGCCCCCTTCTTCCAGGGCGGCAGCCTCGTCGGGGTCCTTGTTCTTATTCTCCTCGCGCATGTTTTGTATGATGTGATCGACGTGTTCGTCCGGTAGGGCACGCAGGCTGAGGATGCGCAAGGGGTTATTCCCCTGGTCGATCTCCGCGATTCGCACGTTCTCGACCACACCGGGTGCGGACGCTTGCATGATATCTTCGATGGTATCGGCGACGGGGGACAGCATCTCGGGGTTGACCAGGCTCCAGATGACGCCCATGAACGTGTTGATCCATTCCACCGACTCGGGAAGTAGATTTGCCGTAGCCTATGCGAGAACAGATTAGTATCAGTCGTTAGAGTGAACCGCGCGGGAGACCCTACCATCTGCCCTCGAATCAACTCGGTGCTCCATTCCATCTCCCGGCCGCTGCGAATGACCTCTTTCACCCACAGCCATACTCCGGTAGCCACGCAGCACGCCAGAGCGAGTAGCCCCCACAATGAGCCGCCAAAGTAGCGACCCAGGACGACGACGCTGAAGATGATGCCCACGCATAATGTTATACCACGTTTCTCAAGCTTATCAAACATCGGCCTATAGCTGACGGTCGGTGTGGGATGGAATAGGATGTTGGTTTTCTCGCCGTGGATGGGCACGTCAGACGTGGTGCCCTCTGCGATGGGATCCGGGGGGGCCGTGATGTCCTGATTCTCCTTGTATTGCGAAAGGCTGTCCTTTGGATCTGTTTTGACGTGCTGCAATGCGTCAGTAAAGCGTTTGTTCGCGTATATCCCAAAGCAAAGGAAGAAATGCGAAACTCACCGTGGGCTTTCCGAGGTTGGCATTCGGAACGACCAGCTACAACCAGAATCAGCAATTGCGCGTCGTCCATCATCAGGGCGAAATCAAAATACCTTGGGATTTTTGACCACCTCCATTGACTCCTCATCTTGGTCCTCCACCTCAATATCTCGCCCCGTCGTCGGATCGGTTACCATGCGGGTCTTGCCCTTGGGCCTCTTGCGCGGTTGATGCGGACCGGCTTCCGCTGCCGTGCGATCCATCTGTCTTTGCTCATGTCGGGCGGACACTTCAGCGGCGTGTGCTTCTCGTTCTTGTTTGTCTGTCTCTAGACGCTCCATGAATTTGCTGATTGTGGGGACGGGGTTGGCACCGCTCCAGTGCTCTCCCACGCGGTGTTGCTTGGGAGAGTGCTCCCCGCCCTTGTGATGGGGATGGGGCGCCATGATTGCGAGCCAGTGAGGGAATACAATGGGGGGAAATGGGTGAAATATTGCTATACAGGAATTAAGTGTGTTGGAAGGTCGATAGTAACCGTCATGGAAGACAGCGAGGATAAGTATAGATGGGGAGGAGACTAATCAATTAACCCCAAGATAGTCAACAAAAGAAAACAAAAGAGTATCAAATGGATCAGGTCATCAAGAACAAAATATGTATATCTACAATTAGAAGAAGGAAAAGGATGGAAAGAATGGAATAATTGAAGCTGGAGAAAGCTGGTCGCAGCCTTACCGCAACGACGTCATGAAGAGGAGACCAACCGGTTAATCCCACGGTCTGTCTCCTCCTCTCTCATCCGCTCCCCTATTTCCCCCACTTTCCTGGCAAATCAGAGGCGGGATTCTAATAGCTTCGATCTTGAGCAAGCAGATCGGATCCTTTCACATCTTCCGGTAAGACATTGAGGCGTCCATCACTTACCTAGGATTCACAATGATCGACATGTCCGCCATCATGGGAGTCTTGGCGAGCCCGGAGATGATGCCATGAGCCACCACCATTATGCATTCATTTGAAAGGGGGATGTGATAAGAAACATGTCAGAACATGAATAGAGTAAGCGGACTTTACGTGTTTCAATCTAATGGCCAATCGCATCTCTCGAATAACCTGCCTGTCCAACACAGCACAGCTATCCAAGCAAGGGTATAGGATGATGATGTCATTCCTGCAACGGCAGAGCAGCGGATCTTGGAACATGGAGCATGGAGCCACTGTTAGGTGTTGATCATCATATTTGGACTGTCGGTCTGGAGCTGGATAGTTGGTCAATGATTTATGGATGTCTCTGGCATTCCTATATTTAACTGGACTTGACAATAGAGATATTGTTCCATATATTTCCAGCCCATCGTTGAGCCGTGGAATCACAGCAACAACAATTCCAAGGAAGACTGGATGCCACAGTCTGTACGCTGCCAGTAGCTAGTGTAAGCCAACAAAATATATCAAGGACCACTCTATATATAAAAGAAAAGGATAGAAAAAAAGTCAAGAACAGTATAAGACACAGTATTAAACAAAGCAGCCACAGTTGTGGCGTAAGTGGCTTAGCGCCGGATGAGTTGCCTTGAACGCCTGAATACTGAATAGCTCCAACTCCAACAACTTCCAACTTTCTCCCTCATCACTCACCCCTGGCCTTGCCATTTTTCAGCCATCTCAACTTCTTATCCAGTCATCTCATCGCTATCTGAATATTTCCTCATTGAATCAACACTGCCCATAACATACTGTACACTAGACCAACAGAATCGACCGATTCACCGCAATGTCATCACCACCCGTCGAAGAATCCCCCGCGCAACGATCTGCGCGCCTCCGCCGCGAGCGTCGTGAAGCGAAAATCAGAGATGGCGGCGCGGCACGTTTAGACAAGATCACCAATTCTAGCGGTCGCACCCCGCAAAGCGGTACGCTTCAACCCTGAACTTTCCTTCCATAAACAAGCCACAACTAACATCATTCTGACAGTCTACCAAGAGACCGCCCCAGCGCCATCTCCCTCTCCCTCTCCGCAACCTCCAGCCGCCATCTCCAGCCCCTCGCCGCCTCCCATGCAATTCCCACCCGCCCCGACCGCAACCGATAGCCATTACAACCGGCCCTCACCGGAGGACCTCCGAGCCCAGGAGGAGATGCTCCGCGCACTCCTCCGGCAGCCCGCGCCGTCCCCAGGCCCCCAAGGCAACGATACCAGCAACAACCCCCCGGCCAACCCCTTCGGCGCAGGAGGAGAAGATGACCCGACCATGAAACTCCTCAGCTCGCTCATGGGCGGCCTGCCAGGCAACATGCCAGGAAACATGCCAGGCGGCGAACAACCTCCCAACGCACCCGCTAATGCAGGGGGTCCTTCACCCGGCGATCTCGCCTCGGCGCTGGGCCTTCCACCTTTCGTATCGAGCATGCTGGGCGCTGCAACCCGACAGCAGACCGACTCGGAGAAGAAGCAGATCTGGGCGTGGAAGGTCGCTCACGTGCTCTTCGCGTTCGCCGTCGGGGCGTATCTGCTGTTTGTGGTGGGAACGTCGATTGCGACGTTTGGCAGCGGACCGCCGCCGCCGGCGACGGCCCAGAGCCCGTTCCTGTACTTTACGACCGGGGAGATGGTGTTGTCGGGGGCGCGGGTGATGATGAAGGGACGGAATGGCGGGGCCGGGGGGCTGGCGTTGGGGGTGCAGCTGTTTCGCGATGTGTTGCGTGATGGTAGTATTGTGGTGTTTTTGTTGGGGATGGGAGCTTGGTGGCATCAGGAGTGGGTGGGTGTTTGAATCATTCCTTCCTCTACGAGATGGTTTATATGGAGTTTCTTTTATTGTCTACCTTTAACATTGTTTGCTTGAATGATCAGCCCAAGCTTAGTCTAATGAATCCGTCAATGACAGCGTTCTGCTCTATCGATTATTTACTTCACCCATTCTTGATATCAACACCGACCGCACTGATCTATCAATCAGAAGTGTATCTCACCTGTAGAACTCCTACCAAGACCTAGATATTTGAAATTGTAGTAGAGCGATGCACGCAATCAGCTAACCTTAGCTGACATGCGGTGTTTTCTCACACGAATAATATTTTTGACTCGTCACGTTTATTGCTTGCAATCTTGCAACTACTCGCAACATCTCTGTCACAAAGAATCACCACACGGCCACAAAGATATCCAAACACTCTTGCGCTTCGTGAGTACCTAATCTTTCATAGCATCTTATATTGCGACAATGTCCATAGTCACAGGATCATTGATTTCGTGAATCTTTTGGACCATTTTCATAGGTCCTCCCAGATAGGACTATTCCAAGCACTCGTAGGTAGGTAGTTGAGACAGGTTAAGTCCTATATATCCAAGAAGGCCCTGGCATTTGCATATGCCATTACTACAACAAGTCACAAGAAGAGCGAGCGGCCCACCAACCAATAAGCCAAACTGCGCCGAAGACAGATAAGTTAGAGTCTAGCCAGGAACCGCAGTCAAGACATATAGCGATCGGCAGGTTGCATTCACACCACAGTACACTAGATAAAATATCGAAGTCGGAAACAGGGGGGTATGTTTAGTCTGATGCATGTACCTTTGACAGGTTAGTATGGTTGTTCGGGGAGATATATACTGTACCTATTTTGTTAGTAGTTGTAGGACCTAGTAAGGTAAAAAGACTAACTTAAGCTACTGCTAGACTAACAGTTAAATCATCCTCCGGTTGGTTAGTATAGGCTGGGATAGTAGGTGGTTATCGTGATTGCGAGCTGGGTGCCCCTGCAGGGGAGGATCATGTGAACATGGTATACCGAGTGGGATTCCGGTTGGTTCTTTTCTAGTGTACGGGGGATATATGATTATATCATATTATATTATCATATATTCTACCCCTTAAGCTATAGGTAGAATGCTATCAAGGCTGATATCAGTAATATACCTGATCTTATACGATGTACGGAGTAGTATAGTAGTAGTAGTGGTACTATGGAGTATAGTGGTAGTACCATATGGTCCAGCCACCGGATAACACATAGTATGACCATGGGTTAAATAACCTCGGAGTAACATTCCAACAAAAATAGTCCATTCACCCGTAGTTAACCGTCCTCTACCCCGGCTTGAAACCCCATGGCTTATCGAAGCATACCGAATCCTCATAATCAATGATCCACGAGCCATGCCATGCTTTTTCGAAGACCGGACGATAATCGCCGACAGGCCCACATGCTCCCTCCCTCCCTCCTGACCAAGAAATCTCCAAGAGAATGCCGATTTTTTCCCGACCTCGTGGGTTGAGTCTAGCCGATCATGGTGGGGGGAGGGAAGCCTTGGCCTGGGAGTTAGCTTGGGGGGAAAGTGGAGTGTGGATTATTCTATTGGTTTTAGTTTGGAGGGTGTTTTCGTGTCGGAACCGTAGACCACTTTTCTTGATTACTACCACTGCTATTAATGGTGATGGTGAAGTGTGATCTAGTGATCGACCGTAAGATATCTGTCTTACTCTTACCATCTGTAGTCATGATATCATCGGTTTTCTCTTCTGGGGGATTTCGATGTGAGGTGGAATCTCTGGATGTGTTGTTGGAGGGATAATAGTGCGAATATATCTTGGATCATCTCAACTATGGTATAAGCTTTAGTAGTGCATCCCCAGACACAATGAATCATTGTTTCAGTATCCCGAGACCATCATGTGCCTAGGTATGTAGTCAAACATGACAAACACGTGGCACGGGAGGAATCCTTGCAGCCGCCAGAAATCCAAGGCCGATGGGAAATTGAACTACGACGTCGGTGCACCGGTGGCAAGGATTAGTGGCCATTTAGGCTCGAACCGCATCATCTACCCCTCACCCTATTTTGGAATCAATCGCCAGGACCTGCTAGTATAGTAAGGCAGACGAGTCTGTTCGTTTAGTAGTAGTAGTAGTAGTAGTAGTAGTAGTAGTAGTAGTAGCAGAGATTAGAGAGGCTGACTTCCGCAAGCGGTACGAGGTCTGATTGATTCCTACCTTGCCCTCGTCTTCATACTGTAGTAGTACTGTAGTAGTACTGTAGTAGTACTGTAGTAGTACTAGACCCCACTATGGACTTACGAACGAAGGATCATTGCCCAGACTCATAAACTTCCGTTGGTCCCTTCTCCCCGCATTGACATACCGGGCAACAGGGGAAAACCAAAGTTACACTCCACTGTGTAAGCTTGGCTGACGATGATTCTTTTCCCATTCATGTTTTTCGTAATACTAAACTTTAGATGGTTTCAGCGGGGTAGCAGGACCCGGGGGGATAGGCTCCGGAATGATTTCTTTGTCTGTTTGTCTGGAGAGACCGAGTTTTCCCAGAGAGAATTCCTTTCCCCAGCCCCGAAGGCGAACGGGATAGTTTGGTACCGGGGGGGCGTATGCTGTCTCCAGTCTTGGCTGATGGTAAGCCGAACCAGAGAGGGTAAGATCCTGGTAGGAGTGTGGAGGATGGCGTAGAGAGGGTATTGTAACGGTACTATGATGCAGGTGCAGTTGGTTTCCCCGGAGCAACGGAAAGTCGAGAGCCTGGCCTAAGGCCTCTCCCAGGCTCCCAGGCTCACTCCCCGCATGGCCGAGGCGTTGAGACACTAGAGGGGATGTGGTTAGTCTGTACTTACTTGAGTAGAGTAGTCGTAGTACTATACAGGTTGTACCTGGGATTGTTACGTTCTTCTATGACTATGTCCTCATTGTATTGATGGTGATATATATACTCAGGCTCATATTGGTACTTCTATTTCTATGTGGATCAAAAAGTGTATATTATATCTGAGATGAAACCTGTACACGATCGACGTGAATGGACAGATGGAGCTTCGGCTAAGGATGATTAGAGTGGCTGATACAGTCTACTCTACATGGGTATTCTGTATCTATAGGATACTATTACTACTACTGGACATGGGATGATGTAGACGAACGGGTACGCGGAAGAAGCAGACCGAGTGGAGGAGTGAATTCCTTTCCTTTCTCAGTTAGTCGCTCTCCATTAATTATTATTCTGGAATTAATTCTTTAATTTCAATTCAACAGGGTCGACATCCACCTCAACATTTACTATTTTATTATTCTTCTGCTTTCATTTTATTGAGTTTCTAAATTATTATTCTCTGTATATCGGTTGAACTGTTCGTTAAATAAATATCCTGGTACCTCCCCCTCCTCCCCTCCTCCCCTCCTCCATTTTCTTCCTTTCCGTTTGCAACTTTCCCTCTTCCTCTTCCCCTCTTCATCCTACTCTACTCTACCACTTTCTCTCTCTCTCTCTATCTCTCCTCTCCCCTCTCTTCTTTACATCCCTCTAGTTTCTCCCCCCTATAGGTATGTCAAATGCAGCTCCCTGCATCAATCCCTGCACTCGGCCGCGGATGGTGTCGCAATAGTACCTGAACATCACCCCTCCACTACCCCACCCCACCTGGCGGCGGCCAACACCGGCTGCGTTCGCTATCCCTGACGCCCAGCTCCTCCTTCTTTGTTATCTGGCTTTCCCATTCGCGCTTGCGGTCTCCTTTCCCACCGAATCCAAAACCTCGAATTGAAATCTAACCCGGTGGTTGTCCCCGCAGAATTCCTCTTTCTCTCTTCCGCCATCCTCCCATCCGCCATCAGTCAACTCAAACCAATCTTCCCATCTTCCTCGTTCTCCTCTCGTCAATCCCAGCGTCAGTTCTGTTAGAAGCTGCTCATCATGTCGGACGGCAACGTCATGCCCCCCAAGCCCGCCGTGGTAAGCTCTTCCCTCCGTCCCCCACTAAAGTCTCGGCCCAGCTGACAATCTCCAGGTGCCGGAAGCTCACGAAGTCGACACTTTCCATGTCCCCAAAGCATTCCATGACAAGCACCCTACGGGGACGCATGTCAAGAATCTCGATGAGTACAAGGCCATGTACGAGGAGTCCATCCGCGACCCCCAGACCTTCTGGGCCCGCATGGCCCGCGAGAACCTGACCTTCTACCGCGACTTCCAAACCACCATGATGGGCTCCCTCGAGAACGGCGACGTCGCCTGGTTCCCCGAGGGCCGCCTGAACGCCTCCTACAACTGTGTCGACCGACATGCCCTGAAGAACCCCAACAAGGTCGCCATCATCTACGAGGCCGACGAGCCCAGCGAGGGCCGTACTATCACCTACGGCGAGCTGCTGCGTGAGGTCTCGCGCGTCGCCTGGACCCTGAAGCAGCGTGGTGTCAAGAAGGGTGACACCGTCGCCATCTACCTTCCCATGATCCCCGAGGCTCTCATCGCCTTCCTGGCCTGCTCTCGTATCGGCGCCGTCCACTCCGTCGTCTTCGCCGGTTTCTCCTCCGACTCCCTGCGCGACCGCGTCATCGACGCCGACTCCAAGGTCATCATCACCAGCGACGAGGGCAAGCGTGGCGGCAAGGTCATCGGCACCAAGCGCATCGTCGACGAGGCCCTGAAGCAGTGCCCCAACGTCCACAGCGTCCTCGTCTACCAGCGCACCGGCGCCGAGGTCCCCTGGACCAACGGCCGCGACTTCTGGTGGCACGAGGAGGTCGAGAAGTACCCCAACTACTTCGCCCCCGAGCCCGTCACCTCCGAAGACCCTCTCTTCCTCCTCTACACCTCCGGCTCCACCGGAAAGCCCAAGGGCGTCATGCACACCACTGCCGGCTACCTGCTGGGCGCCGCTATGACCGGCAAGTACGTCTTCGACATCCACGACGACGACCGCTTCTTCTGCGGCGGTGACGTCGGCTGGATTACCGGCCACACCTACGTCGTCTACGCGCCTCTGCTCCTGGGATGCTCCACCGTCGTCTTCGAGAGTACCCCCGCCTACCCCGACTTCTCCCGCTACTGGGACGTGATCGACAAGTACCAGGTCACCCAATTCTACGTTGCCCCCACCGCCCTGCGTCTGCTGAAGCGCGCCGGCGACGAGCACATCCACCACCAGATGGCCCATCTGCGTATCCTGGGCTCCGTTGGTGAGCCCATCGCCGCCGAGGTGTGGAAGTGGTACTTCGAGAAGGTTGGCAAGGAGGAGGCCCACGTTTGTGACGTGAGTTTTTTACCCCACTAATCAAAGAGTCAAACCCAAAATCAATTCATACTGATTTTTTTCTACAGACCTACTGGCAAACCGAGACCGGCTCGAACGTCATCACGCCCCTGGGTGGTATAACTCCCACCAAGCCCGGAAGCGCCTCGCTGCCCTTCTTCGGCATCGAGCCCGCCATCATCGACCCCGTCTCGGGCGAGGAGATCTCGGGCAACGACGTCGAAGGTGTGTTGGCCTTCAAGCAGCCGTGGCCCAGCATGGCCCGCACCGTGTGGGGCGCCCACAAGCGCTACATGGATACCTACCTGAACGTGTACAAGGGCTACTACGTATGTTGATCTCCTCTTCATTCTAAATTCTGTTATGCTAATATGTGATAGTTCACGGGAGATGGTGCCGGCCGTGACCACGAGGGATACTACTGGATCCGTGGCCGTGTTGACGATGTCGTCAACGTGTCCGGTCACCGTCTGTCGACCGCCGAGATCGAGGCCGCTCTTCTGGAACACCGTACGTTTACCTACCCGATGGTGCCCCGTTCATCCCTAGGCTTCTGACTAACTTTTCGTGCAGACATGGTTGCCGAAGCCGCCGTGGTCGGTGTCGCCGACGAGCTGACCGGCCAGACCGTCAATGCCTTTGTCTCCCTTAAGGAGGGCAATGAGACGAGCGAGCAGGTGCGCAAAGATCTGGTCATGCAGGTGCGCAAGTCGATCGGTCCCTTCGCCGCGCCCAAGGCCGTCTTCACAGTCGACGATCTTCCCAAGACCCGCAGTGGCAAGATCATGCGCCGGATCCTGCGCAAGATCCTGAGCGGAGAGGAGGACAGCCTGGGTGATATCACCACGGTAAGCATCTACCCATTCTCGTCCTTTCGGTGGACCTGGCTAACACGGTTCCCAGCTGTCGGACCCTTCGGTGGTTGCGAAGATCATCAGCACGGTCCACGAGGCCCGTGGTAAATAAACGGTATGGGACGAAACCTACCTGATCCACGACAACTCCGAAACGAGAAAGAAAAAAAACAAAAAAAAAAAAAAACAAAAAAACAAAGATCGAAAACGATACAAAAGAAAAAACACAAGAAAACCAAGAAACTACCTGATGAAACGATGCGACTTTCATGCGTTGGCTGGATACCTGCAGGTCTGCTTAATTGTTTTGTGATTCCCGTGTCTTGCGATGTTGAGAAGCGATTTCCTTTTGGCTGCGCCGTATTCAACCGTTGAATCTATATATATTTCTTACTGTTCGTCTGGACCACTTGGAGTAGAGGGGTAGCGTACAAGACTTGAGACTGTACTCCGTAGATAAGTGGCAGTCCGAGTGATGACACATTCCATGTGACCTTGTGGCAGTCAAAGTTAAGAGACTCGGCTGCAAATATACGGTGCCACAACCGCATCTATAAAATCAGATTCTTTGTGCCACTGTCCTCAATCATGTAAAGCTGAGTACTTTGACTACTGGTACTTCCGAGGCAGAGACATCCAATCCATGTATCCGGTCGTCTCCACTCCTTCCGAGCTGCCGATGACTAATCCATGCATGAAGTGTTTCTTTCCACCCTTATCAGCCTCGACAGGTGAAAGGTGGTCGTTGATCCTGCAGCTGGCTGTTCACAAGGCTGTCTGTGATTGAGTAACCTTAAGACTGTGAGTCAACCCAATGCGACCAGGCTGTTCGTGGAGCAGTCAACTCCGGCTCTCATTTTCAGGCACCAATCCCATCCACGTGATGAGCCGGAACCAGAGCTGGTAATTGATCGGTAAGAGTGCTGTTTCTCCATGGTGTATTTTACTGCCAAATGGTGCCTCCCCACCAAGAAGATGGTGTATGAATGGTAACAGAATGTAACCTGGCCGTTGAGAGCAGGCCTTACCTAAGCGCCAAGACCGGAGTCTCTTGCCAACCTAACACAGCTTCTTTTTCCTCACCGTCGCGCGTCTCTTCCCTTCTTTCTCTTTTCTCTCTCTTTTGAACCCTCTCCCAACCTCTCCTTTCATCGGTCGCCCGTCTTGCTTCCCCTTCTCTTTTTCGCCACATCTTTGTGGGTCCTTGTTGCACATCTTGTGCTTTGACAAGTGGTTTACGATCTGTCGTTGGGTGTGGTCTCTTGTTTTTTCACCAGGAGGCCCAAAGCAGCCGACAACCCCATTGTCTTTTTCTCACTTCCCTTTCACGGTCTGCTTTGCTGGTCCGCGCGTCGAGACTTCTCGCCGAATCTGAGACCCTCTTACAACCGAGGTCAGGTCCTCGCGGCTGGCGCATAACGATCGATCTTTTCGCATATCAAAAACGGTTTTGTATCTGGTGGTTTTCAATCCCTGTCACTGTTTGACCGCGGCCGTTTCCGACCACCGTCGAACGGATGAGCCCTTAAGTCGAGGCGACACCAAGAAGAAACATCATGTCGTTCGGATTCGGTGGATTCGGACAACAGAATACCCAGGGCTCCGGCTTTGGAACGGGTTCTGGCTTCGGAGGTACCAGCTCCGGTGGAGGTAGGTTTTGATCGTCCTTTTTTTCCCTTTATTGTGACCACCTCTCCTTGCCCTGTTCGTGAGGGGAAGGGGTCGGTTATTTTCTTCTTCTCTTTCTTCCGGTCTGTTCCTGGGAAACACGCCTCTGGTTCAGCAATCGGCACCTGGTGGCCCTCTCGACCTCGATCCGCATTCAACTCAAACCGACAGCAATCAATGTCAACAATCCCGCGGAGGCCGACACCGTGCCACTCAGTATCGCCAACAAGAGAAGGGATCGCAGCTTGAGAATCGTCTCTGACAGCATCTTTTCCCCCGTCATCTAGGCTTTGGATCCACTCCGTCCTTTGGCGCTAGCAGCTCTGGCAGCGGCCTGTTTGGAAATAACTCCAGTAGCTTTGGTTCCGGTGGAGGTACGTGCTCAACGACTTGAGTTCAACCAGCTTTGCGATCCTTTCTCTTTTTTCCTGTCGCTTGCGATCGGATTCCCACGGTCTTTGCTTCTACGCCCATCGATACGTGACGATCCCGCGCGCGCTTGGAGATTCGCCCCGTCGGTTTCCAGGAATGCCCGCGCAAGAAGAAAGAACATGTTTCATGTTCCTAAAACTGGATCGCTCCGACTATGGACGTGGAGAGAATACAGAAGAAGAATGCCAAAAACGCCGACCCATGGGATCCGTGTTCGAGGACGGAATCACTGCTCTTTATTTCTCCTTTTTCCTCTTGCATTTCGAGTCTCTGCACCACATGGATGTTTATCATTTTCTAACCAGATCTATCTTTTGACTAGGCTTTGGAGCAGGCGCGCAGAACCAATCGAACTCCATGTTTGGAGGCCAAAATCGGACCCCAGGGTTCGGTGCATCAACGAGTAGCAGCCCCTTTGGAAGCAGCACGGCTACTGCCGGCGGCGGTGGATTTGGTGCTGGCAGTGCTGGCAGTGGTGGCTTCGGAGCAGGAAACACTGGTGGGGCTTTTGGCGGCTCCGGAGGTGGAATGTTTGGTGCCAACAAGACTGGCACCGGTTTTGGCGGCGCAACTGGTACCGGCGGATTTGGCGCCGGCGCCAGCACCCCCGCCAGCACCGGTAGCGGCTTCGGAGGTGGTGGTGCGGGTTTTGGCGGCGCGACCGGTACCGCTTTCAACCAGGCGGTTCCTCCCTCGGAGGGTACCGGGGGGACCCCTTTCAGCCCCTTCACCGAGAAAGATGGCTCCTCGAGCGTGACCAACCACTACCAGAGCATCAGCTTCATGCAACCGTACAGCAAGTATTCCTTCGAGGAACTTCGAGTGGCCGATTACAGCCAGGGTCGCAGATTTGGGAACGGCAGTGGACAGGCCGGGGCCTTTGGAACCTCTGCCTTTGGCAGTAGTGCCGGGACGGGCTTTGGCCAGCAGCAGCCGTCCACCACAGGCTTTGGAAGCACTCCGTCGGCTTTCGGCGCGAGCACCAGCGCCCCATCCGGCTTTGGCCAGACCACCCAAACCGCTGGTGGCTTTGGATCGACTCCCTCCAACCCCTTGTTCGGGGCCAATAAGCCGGCCACGTCCCTGTTCGGAGGTGGAAGTACCGCAGCTCCTGCTCAACCCAGCGGAGGCCTGTTCGGCGGCGGCGCTGGTGCTACGGGGACGACCGGCGGGTTTGGAAACACGGGAACCACCGGTGGGTTTGGCGCCGGAGCCACAGGGGGCAGCTCGCTCTTTGGCGGTGCCAACCAACAACAGAACAAGCCTCTCTTTGGCGGTGGCGCCTCGACCGGCTCGACAGGAACCGGGCTGGGCGGCTTCGGGCAACAGAACACCGGCACTTCATCCTCCCTCTTTGGCGGCGGCGCAGCCTCGTCCTCTCCCTTTGGCGGCGGCCAGCAGCAGCAGCAGCCGCAGCAGACCGGAACGACGGGCTTTGGCGGGTTTGGGCAACAGAATCAGGCCCAGACCCAGGCCCAGCCACAGAACAAAGGCCTGTTCGGTGGCGGTGGTCTTGGCGCCGGCACCCAACAACCGTCGACCACCCCGAGCCTGTTCGGCGGCGGTGCTGGCTCGACGGGTTCCTCGCTCTTCGGACAGAATAACCAGCAGCCGCAGCAGCAGCAACAGCCGGCGGCGGGTAGCTCGCTCTTCGGCGGGGGCGCCAACCAGCAGTCTGGAACCAGCTCTCTCTTTGGCGGCGGAGCCCAACCGCAGCAGCCGGCTCAGAAGAGCCTTTTCGGCGGCGGCGCGGCGACGGGTACCAACACGGGTTTCGGGGGTGCTTTCGGAAGCACACCAAACCAACAGGCTGGAGCCGGTGGAGGCCTGTTCGGTGGGACTCAGCCTCAGCAGCAACAGAAGCCGAGTCTGTTCGGCGGCTCCACGGGCACTGGTGGCTCTCTTTTCGGCGGCTCCAGCGCGCCGGCTCAGAACACGGGGTCGTCCCTCTTCGGCAACCAGAGCCAACCTGCTCAAGCTGGTGGTGGCCTGGGCACCTCGAGCCTTTTCGGCAACACCCAGGCGCAGCCGCAGCAAGCGCAGCAACCCCAGCAGCCCGCGCCGGGCAGTTTGCAGGCCTCCATCCTGGACGCGAACCCGTACGGCAACCAGTCCATCTTCTCCGGGCTGCCCGCCCCCAGCGCACAGAGCCCGGGCCCGTTGGCGACGCCGCTCTCCTCGACCAACAAGCAGAAACAGCGGACCCCCTTGCCCGTGCACAAGATCACCCCGAGCGCGGCCAACCGCCTCATCACCCCGCCCAAACGCCAAGGCTACGGGTTCAGCTACTCCACCTACGGATCCCCCTCCAGCAACGCCAGTACCCCCAATGGCCTCGGCAGTGGTCTGCTGGCCGCCAACAGCATGCGCGGAAGCCTGGGCGGCAGTATGGGACGCGGCAGTTTCAGCAAGAGCTTCTCAACGAGCAATCTGCGCAAGACCTTCGATCCGGAGACCGATAGTGTTCTGTCGCCCGGGGCGCTTTCCAGCGGTCCTTCCCGTCTGCCGAGTGGGAACTTGAAGCGTCTGACCATTGACCGCAGCTTGCGTAATGACCTCTTCTCGCGCCCCGCCAGCACCTCGACCGCGCCCATCACCAACGGTGACGAATCCATCGCGCCGGGCGACAAGATGAAGAAGAAGGTCAGCTTCGAGGCTCCGTCTCCTTCGGACACGGCGAGCGATTCCGAGATCGTGCCGATTCAAGCGTCCAGTTCCGAGCCCACCCCTGAGGAGTTGGGTTTCTTGCGCTCGATCCGCAAAAGCGGCACCATCAACGGCATCAGCAACATCAACGGCGCCAAGCAGACCCCGGACAGTGTGATTCGTCCCGACATCGAACCCCTCCGCACGGATCTTGCCTCGGTGCCCGAAGATGCCGAACAGGCGGCGTCTGCGGACGGTCCCACCCGACTGGCCTTTATCCCTAGTGGTGACCCCAAGCCCGGCGACTATTGGATGAAGCCCTCGCGGGCCGAGATCGCCAAGATGCCCCGGGACCAGCAGAAGCGGATGGTAGGACTGACGGTGGGTCGCGAGCGATGTGGGCAGGTGACCTTCGACGAGCCCGTCGACCTGACGACCATCGATCTGGACCAGATCTTCGGCGGCCTGGTGGAGATTGGCGTGCGCAAGATCACCGTGTATCCTGACGAGTCGATGAAACCCCAGAGGGGCAAAGGCCTGAACGTGCCGTCCACCCTCCGCATCGAGAATTCGTGGCCGCGCGGCCGCGACAAGAAGGCGCCCTCTCCGGTGACCAGTGGTCCCCTCTTCGACAAACACATCGACCGACTGCGTAAAGTGCACAACGCCGAATTCGTTGACTACGAGATGGAAAAGGGCACTTGGGTGTTCCGCGTCCCTCACTTCACGACCTATGGCCTGGACTATGACAGCGATGAAGACGAAGAAGGTGAGGGCCTTGACCAAAGCACTTTGAGTGCTGCTCCTGACACACCGACTCCGAAGGCTCAATCCCCGTTTGCCAACACCGTGGGCTCGGAGCAGACCACCTTCTCCACTGACGACTCCTTCGTCGGGTCGATCGCCGGCGTCGAGGACGACACATTCGACTTCAAGAAGCGGAAGCTGGTCCCCGGCGCGTTCGGCAATCAGGCCATGGAGGTGATGGCCGACGAGCGGTCTTTTTCGGAGGAGGGCACCGAGTCTTTTTTAGGGGACGGCTCCACGGGTTCAACAACTGAGCAGGATGGCGACGACGACGTCACCGAGAGCCAGCAGTCTGGCGATTCAGAAGTTGAATTGGACGATGGCGAGGAAATGGAGATGGCAGGCACCTTTCCCGACCTACGTCCCACCGTGGAGCGCGACGATATCACCAACAGCGCCGACAGTTTCTACGAGCACTCGCAGCCGTCCTTGAAACCCTGGAACACGCCCCCCAAGACCCGGCTCGACCTGACTGGCGACTGGGCCGAGCATTTGCAACGCACCATCAGTCCTCGGAAGCAGGACCGCGCTGCCTTGCGCGAGATCCAGGCCAACGCATTCAATGACCGGCCGTTGCAGGATGACACACCCAAGGGTTCCGATGCCGATGCGCGGCAGCAGAAGGGCTTTGCGACCAGTATTGATTTGATGAACTCTTTGTTTCAGCAGCCCCGGAAACAAACGGCCCCGTCTCCGTTGAAGCCGCCGAGTGCTGGCCCTAAAGGCTTTGAGGTTTGACTCCCTTTTAATTGTTGTTATTTGTTTTTTACCCAGTCACGCGGTTTTTACCCCGTTACATTGTTCCCCCCCCCTGTTGTACCTAGCTATCCTTTTTAGTCTCTTTCTATCTGTTTTCTTTCTTTCATCCTTCCTTCTTCTTCATCCATATTTCTCTTCATCCATCTTTCCCTTTACCTAGGTAGTTGAACTTAATGAACACGAACTAATCATCCTTCCTACCTTCCGTCTAGTGGCCCTACAACAAACGACCCAAAACTTATGCTGGCGAGTCTAATGAACTGAGCGGAGACGACCTGGCTTTTCATCATTCGTTCAAACCCCGCTGGGGCCCGGTGGATTCGATGATTTGTGTTAAAAGTGGGTGGGGCGGTGTCCAGTCAGGGGATGACCGGTGGAAGTCCAAGTTATCGGTGACAAGTGAGGAGAGAGAGATCGTTCTGCTGGAATTCCATCCGCGAGGGGACGTGAACACGATGATCGACGTGCAACGGCAACAGTCGGCCATCCGCCGCGTGGATGGGATGCCCTTGGCTCGTCTGACCAGCCCCAACTTCCAGCAGTTCGCCCAGGCGGCAGCCACCCAACCGGACCAAGAGCGATTGATCTGGCAGTTGGCGAACGTTCTGTTCAACGACGATATCGAAGACGACATCTCCGCGGCCGTGCCACCTCAGGTCCGGCCAAAGTTTCTTCCCCGCATCAAAAAAGACCGACTCAGCCGCCTGCTCGAGGGGATCATCCGCGAGAAGCACGCTCGCGTCCTGGGCAAGGCGGGGTCGGCCGAAGAGCAGGCTGTGTACCTACTCTGCTCGCACCGGGTGGACGAGGCGTGTAACGTCCTGATGACCAGCCAGAACCTCCACCTGGCGACGTTAGTCGCACAGATCGGCCGCGACCGGACGACGCGCGCCGACATGGCACAGCAGGTGGAAATGTGGCGGCAGCACAACGTCTCCTCCGAAATGACCGAGCCCATGCGGGCCCTCTACGAACTGTTGGCCGGCAACGCACTCCGCAGCGAGGGCAAGTCCGGCGGAGCCCTGGAGGACCGTTCCTCGTCGTTTTCCATCACGGAGCGGTTCGAGCTGGATTGGTTCGAGGCGTTCGGCCTGCGCCTGTGGTACAGCATCACCGAGGACGAGCCGATCGAGGCCGCGGTGTCCAGTTACATGCAGGACTTGACCAGCGGCGAGGAGACCGCCTTCCCCTACCCGCCCAACCAGACGCGCGCGGGCCGGGAATCTCCCCTGTGGGTTCTTCTCAAGCTCTACGCTGGCACCATCGGCGCGGCCCCGGGTCTGCCGGTGCAGGAGTTCCCCGCCGCCTTGATGCCCGAATGCGTGGGCGGCGACGCACTCTCCAGTGGCCTGTCTTTCCCGCTGTACCACCTGCTGTCGGCGACAGTGGGCCCGCACGACCGGTTCCTGGTCAATCCCGAGCAGGCGGATCGACTAGTCCGGGACTTCGCATGGGAGCTCAGCTGCGCGGGCGAGCTGCAGCGGGCGGTGTTTGTTTTGCTGCACCTGTCCCGCCCGATGGACCGGGAGCGCGGCGTGCGCGAGCTCTTGGCCCGCTTTGCCCCCCGGCTGCCCGAACCGGTCACGACCGCCGGGATTTCGGATTCCGCATGGGACGGTTTGACCAAGGAGCTCCATGTCCCCGAGGCGTGGCTCTGGGAGGCCAAGGCGCTGTCGGCACGAGACCAGGGCGACGCCGCCGGTGAGGTGGACTACCTGGTGCGGGCGAAAAACTGGACCGACGCCCACGCCACCTTCTGCCGGATCGTGGGCCCAACCGCCGTGATCGAGCAAGACTACGCGACTCTGGAACGACTGATCTCAGGCTTCGGCGACGGACCCGAGAGCCAGGTACCCGGCTGGGCGCGCGGCGGCGGCGTCTACGAAGACTTTTTGCGACTGGTGACGGCGCGCGGCGGCGCCCGCGAGCGCTCGCGGTTGCATCGACTGGTGCAGGCCTTGGGTGCGATGGCCGAACGCATGCAGGGGACGGGCGTGGAAGGATTGGAGGAGCGTGTGGCTTTCAAAGAGATGAGCCGACTGGTGGCGCAGTGGACGGCCCACGACGAGACGGCGGCGGATCTCAGCTCAGCGGTGTTGCGGCTGCCCTTGACGGGTGATGCGCGCCTTGTGCAGACGGCCGAGATGAGCCGACGGTACTTTGGAGCGATCATGGCTGGGGCTTATTGATGGGGATGAGAATGATGGATGATGTATGGATTGGTGGGATATTATGGGACTGGGACTCTTGTGTGTTTATTTCTTCTTTTCTTCTTGCTCTCTGTATTCTTGCACTAGACGACGACCCAGAGTGTATGCTATGTACGCTATTGACTTCTCCCCTTAAGGGAGGCTTTTCTCTTGACTGTTACTTTAATTTAAGCCGTGAGCCTTTACTGTCTTCTTCTGTATTGACCAAGGTAGACTGCTGTGTTGCGCTGTGCTATGCTATGCTATGTCTATAGACTCAACCGGTTCCGGCCCGTTTCCGGGAGTTTGTTATTCTTTCCTTTCCTCAGGCCTTCTCCTTCTCTTCTCTTCTCTTCTCCTCTTCTCCTCTTCTCCTGCTCTCTCCTTCTTACCGAGTATAGGCCATCATCCTATCTCCATCACCACCACCACCATGACAGCAGACACCCCATCCACCCTCGAGGCCCAGCCCCAGGGCCAATCTCCCCCCTCGACAGCCTACTCAGCCTTCACCACCTCCCAAAAACGCTTCATAATAACCATGATCAGCCTCGCCTCGCTCTTCTCCCCCCTCTCGGGCCAAATCTACTACCCCGTCATGCCCACCCTCGTCCAAAACTACCACCTCACCCCCGCCCTAATCAACCTAACCATAACAACCTACATGATCCTTCAAGGCCTAGCCCCAAGCTTCATGGGCACCTTCGCCGACTCCGGCGGCCGGCGCCCAGCCTACATCGTCGCCTTCACAATCTACACCGCAGCGAACATCGGCCTCGCCCTGCAGAACAGCTACCCCGCGCTCATGATCCTCCGCTGTATCCAGAGCGCGGGAAGCAGCGGGACCATCGCGTTTGGGTATGGCGTTATTGCGGATATTGCGACTCCGGCGGAGAGAGGACACTATATTGGGCCTATGGCGGCGGGGGTGATGATTGCGCCTGCTATTGGGCCCGTTGTGGGCGGGCTGTTGAGTAGGTATCTTGGGTGGAGGGCGGTGTTTTGGTTTTTGGTCGTTGTCAGTGGTGGGTATCTTGTGGTTTTTGTGCTTGTTGTGCCGGAGACCGGGAGGGTTGTTGTTGGGGATGGGAGGGAGCCGCCGGCGGAGTGGTGGAGGATGTCGGTTTGGCAGTGGGTTACTGCGCGGAGACGACGACGACGACGACGACGACGACGACCTTCTTCTGGGGGAGGCATGGTTGAGGGAGGTGGAGGAGGAGGAGGGGGAAGGCCTGGAACGACCCGTGGAGATGACCGCCATCGGCGTAAACTGGCGTTTCCGAATCCGTTGCCGGCGTTTGCGATTCTGCTGGAGATGGACGCTTTGATTATCATATCGTTTGTTGGGCTGGCGATGCTGGCTAATGTTGCTTTGTTGACGAGTACGCCGACGTTGTTTGGGAAGCTGTATGGACTGAATGTCTTGCAGATTGGGCTGTGTTTTCTGTATGTCCCTCCTAATCGCCCTATCCTCTGGGGGGGAAAACAAAGAAAGAAAGGAAGAAATAATACTGACTAAACGACAGGCCCCTCGGCGTCGGCGCCTGCATTGGCGCCATCCTCAATGGCAAACTCCTCGACTTCAACTACCGCCGCACCGCGCACCGCCTGGGCATAACCGTGGACCGCAAGAAAGGCGAAGACCTACGACGCTTCCCCATCGAGCAAACCAGACTCCAAACCTTCTTCCCCATCATGGCACTCGCCACGCTGACCTTCCTCCCCTACGGCTGGGTCCTACAGCAGCGCGCACACCTGGCCGTCCCACTCATCCTACAGTTCATAATGGGCTTCTCCTTCATAGCGGCCCTCAACACGCTCAACACCCTCCTCGTCGACCTCTTCCCTGATCGCGCCGCCACAGCCAGCGCAGCCTGTAATCTAGTCCGGTGCTGGCTCGGCGCCGTCGGTGCAGCCGTCATCGACTACATGTTGAACGGTATGGGCTGGGGATGGTGCTTCACTTTCTTAGGACTGGTTCTTGCGGCAGGGTTGGGTTTGATGTGGGTTGAGTATAAACGAGGCATGGGATGGCGGGAGAAGAGATTTCTAAAGCGGAATCCTAATCCTCCTCCTGATAATATCCATCTGGACGATATTCATGGAGGGAGGGAGGGTTTGGTAGAGGATAATACGCATGGAGAGAGTAAGGAGGGCTCGAAAGAGGATAATCCCCACGGGGAGAGTAAAGAGGGGAGTCAGGAGGAGAAGACTGAGTGATCCTTTTTTTTAATTTATGTATTTATGGCCATGGGCTACGTTAAGACTACTGGGGTGATTACTGAGGGGGGTGGAAATATGGGATGCTGCATTGATACTTCCATTGCATGCGTTAGGTAATTAAGGACAGGGAAATGGTATTGTAGGTAGAAGAGATAGTCCACGAGGTCAGTCAGTCTTACTTGCATTGCATTGCATTAGGGGAATTGATTAGGGCACTGATATATGTAGTTAGAGTAGTATACGAGGTCAGTCAGTAGTCATTAATTACTAACTATTGACTGGCTTGCTATATGTTTGATGTAATGTGGTTTGTTATACTTTCTGCTTGCTTTCTAGCTACTACTCTAACTGCTAATTGACTGCCATCTACCTACTACATATCTACCTACCACCCACTCCATTCTTAAAACTCAAGACACTTGCAACAAGTAATCAATCATTAATACCTTTAACAGAGTATGTCAAGCCCCTGTCATCTGACATTATAGTATACTCTAACTCAAGCTACCCGTGATAGATAGATAGACAGATGGATGGATGGATGGATACATTATATCTAGGTTCCACTCGGGAAAGAGAAGCAAACATAAATACATGGATAGATACAGTATCAATGATTGTCTGTATATAATATATCGGAAGGTGTGTGAAATGGAAGAATATGATCTGGTCAATGTTTAGGATCGGTCTATATCAAGGAGGTATGTCAAACAGAGAAATGCCTAGTTCAAAGTTGGGTTTAAATTGGACTTGATGTAGACCTGAACTATAACTCTGTACATGGTAGATTCGATAATAACAATAACAACAGTAATAACAACAATAGCGTTGAAGAGAAGACGGTAAAAATAAAAGTCTTATCCAAAGAGTACAAAAATCAGTATCTCCCACTCTTACAATACCACCTAGACAAGTTTCATTTTCCAATTTTTAATTTTCCTCGAAGGCTGTAAATAAACGAACAAGTTTAAGAATAAAATGATGAATAAATAAAATAAGGAAAAAAAAAAATTAATTTACATCCCCGGCGAGATCAGCTTTCCCTCAGCACGAGCCTCCGGCTGCCATCCACCAGCGTAGGGACCGCCTTGACCGATCTCAGCCGAGTACTCACGGATACGGGCCTCGAGCTCGGGACGGAAGTGGCGGATCAGGCCCTGGATGGGCCAGGCGAAGGCCTCGCCCAGAGCGCAGATGGTGTGGCCCTCGACCTGCTTGGTCAGTTCCTGGAGCATGTCGATCTCGCGCTCGCGGGCGCGGCCGGTCTCGAGACGCTGCATCATCTGCATGGTCCACTTGCTGCCCTCGCGGCAGGGGGTGCACTGGCCGCAGGACTCGTGCTTGTAGAAGGTGGAGAGGCGGGAGATGGCGCGGACGATGTCGGTGGACTTGTCCATGACGACGACGGCGGCCGTGCCCAGACCGGTTTGGCTGTCCTTGAGGGCGTCGAAGTCCATAAGCTGGTCGTCGCAGACGGACTTGGGGATCACGGGCGTGGAGGAGCCGCCGGGGATGATGGCCTGCAGGTTGTCCCAGCCGCCGCGGACGCCACCGCAGTGCTTCTCGATCAGCTCGCGCAGCGGGATCGACATCTCCTCTTCGACCGTGCAGGGGTTGTTGACGTGGCCCGAGATGCAGAACAGCTTGGTGCCGGCGTTGCGCTCGCGGCCGAACTGCGAGAACCAGTTGGGTCCGCGGCGCATGATGGTCGGGGTGACGGCGACGGTCTCGACGTTGGTGACGGTGCTGGGGCAGCCGAAGAGACCGACCGCGGCGGGGAAGGGCGGCTTCAGGCGGGGCTTGCCGGCCTTGCCCTCGATCGACTCGATCAGCGAGGTTTCCTCACCGCAGATGTAGGCGCCCATGCCGCGGTGCACGTAGACGTCGAAGTCGTAGCCGGTTCCGCAGGCGTTCTTGCCGATGAGTCCGGCAGCGTAGGCCTCGTTGATGGCGCGCTGGAGCACCGTCGCCTCGTGGTAGAACTCGCCACGGATGTAGATGTAGGCCGCGTTGGCGTTCATGGCCCGTCCGACGACGAGACAGCCTTCGATCAGCTTCTGGGGATCCTTGCGCATGATCTCGCGGTCTTTGCACGTTCCGGGTTCGCCTTCGTCCGCGTTGACGACCAGATACCGGGGTCGGGGGTCCTTGTCCCAGTCTTTGAAGTTCATGAAGGACTACATTATTAGCATTCCTTATTATTTTTCTCCTATCTTTCCTTTCCCCGGTTTTTACCCCAAGGCATTGGAGGATGAAAAAGAGAACTCACATATTTCAAGCCTGACGGAAACCCAGCACCACCACGACCACGAAGACCGGAAGCCTTAATTTCGGAAATAAGCTGCAACAGACATCCTCATTAGCACACGCCTTCTCTCCCACATCGCTTGTCTCCCCCTCTCCTTCTTGCCTCCCAATCCCATTATCCCCCCACACAAAGCAACATCCCCGAGGTAAAAGAGATACCCACCCAATCATGCCCCTTCAACACAATATCCTTCGTCCGATGCCAATCCCCATACTTCATCGCAGACTTCAGATCCGCCCCATGGTGACCATAGAGGTTCGTGAAGATGCGGTCCTGGTCCTGCAGACCGCCATGGTGCCGGACGGGGGGAGCGTTGTCCTGAACGGTCGCGAAGGAGCGGGCGGCCGGCCGGCCCTGGACGCGGAGGGACCGGGAGAGGGTGGAGGGCGAGGGAGCCGCCGCTCGAGATATCATCTTGGGCGAGCTGTGTTGGGGCGGTGTTGGGTCCCAATTGGTGGTGTGGAGGGAGCGAAAAAGGGTGGTGGTAAAGGTGAAGAGGTGATGTCGTCTCGGGGCAATTCCTGCGCCCTGCTGAATATCCGTCTTTGACCTCGTCCTGATTGGTGGGGATTGGTCACGTGATGTTTAATATGAGTCAGCCAGGCATAAGTTTATGCTGGGATTATGTTTGATTATGTCATTTATTTTTATGCGGATATACCATCGGCTAGTATAGATGGTGTAGTTGAATAATAGTTTAACTACGATTGTCCTCCGGCACGTACAGGTAGTTCACCGTAGACAGCATCACCTGTCCTCCTGCCCCCCCACCGAGCAGACCCAGTGGGTTCTCCGGCACCTGGACACTCTCCTGCTCTACCACCATCCACGCCCACCGCAGCCAGTTAGGAGACAGCCACCAGGAGTCGCCCTTCCAGTCGCCGGTGAACGCCTCCAAACCAGCGAACGCGGCTTCGTTCTGCTCGCGCATGGTATCGAGCGCCTCGTCAAACGCACTAAGAAGATACTCGTCATCTTCGTCCTCCACAGCCCACAGCACATCCTCCGGCGGAGGCGGGTAGTGCTCAAGGAGAAAGCCGACCCATTTGCCCAGACGAGAGGACAGACGAACGGAGCTACGGTACGCGGCGGCAACCAGACAAAGGAACATCGGGAAGGCAAAGGGCGATGCGTCAGGGCTGTCGCGCAGGGCGGGAACGGCGCGTTCGGCTGTCGTTGAGATCTGTTGGAAGCTGACTCGTGCTGGGTCTTGCATTTCAGATGGGAGGAGGCGGACGAGCTCGTCTGCTGAGAAGAGTTCGCCGTTGTCGTGGAGGAGGGATGGGCGTTCGAGAATCTTCACCTGCATGCGGGACTGCACTTCGTTGGAGAATTTCCCGGCTGGGATGCCCCGCATGTGGGCGTTGAGCAGCGTCTTGGTCTCCTCCCAGGTGCCGCGGTAGTTGTGCTGGCGCGCGCGGTCCAATGTCCAAGATGCGATGACGAGGGCTGTCTCGGAGAGGAGAATCTGGCTGTCGCGGTAGATCTTGGCGTGGGTCTGCTTGAGGTTGGTGGGGGTCGGCGAGTCGGGGGCGGATGTCTTCAGCTTCACGATGTGGGTGATTAGCTCGATGATGATCTGGCTGACGGCCGATAGAATAGTGCGCGAGTTGCCGTATCCGTCGGGGATGCGGATCCCAGCCTCGGAGATCTCCAGCGTCTCCAGCTCGCGGTTGTTCGCAGCCAGGACGGAGACGGCGTTGAAGAGCGCCGGCGAAAAGACCGAGTGCTCCATGGCTGTGTCGGGCGCCAGCAGCGGGTAGAACACGTTGAACACGTAGTAGTGGTCGTCTGCGTCTGCAGCCAGCTGGGGATACATCTGGTGCTGATGTTGCCGGGCCACGTACAACGGACTCCCTGGGGGTGCGCGCAGGCCGACAGTGCGGTAGTCGCACGGGTTGCCTGAGAGGCAAAAGCCGTAGTTCATCATCACTGGGGCAGACGGTCAGTATCTGTCTGCTCGGCCTGTAAAGAGATACCCACACTGCTCGTTGTTCCTCGGACCGTAGTTATTCGCAATCTCCTCTCCGGCCGCAACGCTCTCCCTCGTGAGGAAAGCCACGTCATCTTTGCCAGCGCGCCATTCCACCTTGGCCAGCGGCCGATGATTCAAGACATCAATGAAGGGCAGAAGAACGGAGACGCTCTCCTCCGGCAGGTCCGAGTCAGGAACGACACCAGAGAGCACCTTGGAAGAGAAGGCTCGCGACACAAATATGGTCGACGCCCAGAGATACAAGTCCCTATCACCGTCAGCACAATCCAAAACCAAACATAAAAAGTAAAAAAAACAGAAGGGACAATACAAACCAAGTAAACCTCTCGACCCCCTCAAACCCAACCTTACCCAACTCTCTAACCCCAGCCTCATACTTCCCACGCAACAAAACCCTCTTCTGCTCCCTGGCAGCCAACAAACTCGTTCCCCCCAACCACTCCAAATCGCCCCCTTCATAATACAACGGGGTCGTCAGGTCCCCAGGCTGCGGCAGCGACCTCAAATAAGGCGCCCAGAACCCATCTTCACCACGCAAGTACTGCCCGATCAGAAAGAAAATAGACGTCTCCTCAGGCCCAACGGCGTCGACAAACGCGCGCGGCAGATGGAACCCGTGAGCGGGGAACGACACCGCTGAGTTAGCTGGGCGGTGGTCGATTGCGTTGAAGTACGAAAGTGTCGCTGCTAGCGGCGTGTGGATGACCTCTGTGTTGCTGGGGAGCGGGGGCTGGTCTTGTTTGACTTGGAGGTGCACGCCGCGGTGGTCGTCGCGCGCGATTTGCACGCTTGCGTGGAGGTCGCCGCCGTTGGTGGTCATCCATTGTAGGAGGGCGGTGTAGTTGGTTAGAGTTGTGTCATTGTGACTGTGTGTGTGTTAGTTTAGTTGATTCTATAGTGGGGTGTACAGATTTTGTCTATCATATGTAGTTGCAATACACTACAGCAGGTATACTAAGGTGGTGGATTAGACAGGATGAAGGACGGAACCCACCTTGACGGAAGTCCAGAGTCCGTCGCCATGATCAGCTCTCAATGGATGAATATCCAATCTGTCTTGATCCTGCCAGGCTTGTGGATTAGTCGAGGTTTAGATGTTGCCAGGAAATATTAAAGATGGAGGGGCAGGATCCATACGGACCAATGCAAAATGATGAATGATGAATGCGGTGTCCCACTTTTTTTTTTTTTCCCTCCTTCGCGGCTCGAATCGTCCTGATAGATCAGCACCATCTGGAAAGCAGAGGAAAAGATCAAAAGATCAAAATATTTATTGTCATGAGATGATAATAACATACCCTAGTTTATAGGAATAGATTTTAGCAGAGATATCTACGTCGCTCTCATAGTATATTTAACTAGTATGATATCTGGAAAGATCAAGACATCCTAGTAGGATTAACATAGCCGGGTGTCTTCATGAACTATATACTGTTAATCAAGTAGGAAATCAGGTGAGTAGTATATAAAAGGTGTCTACAGACGCAAATTGAATAACGGTGTCCTTCCTATCCACACTTTACATACCAATGAACCGAGTATATCATTCCTAGCTTACCCCCGCTCATCAAGATCATATCATCAAAGCCAAGCTTGCATTGCACTCCAAAAAAATGGGTAGGAACATATACATAAGGTATGCCAATGCAGTCAATATAGTACATCAATCATCGAATCGAAACCAGTCACACACAAAGTACACAGAAAAATAAACAAGACATCAACGGAAAAAAGAGAACGTAAACCACAGTCCCCGCCCAAAACAAACAACAAGGAAGAAATCACATAACTGGCACAAATCTAGGGAATCTTGTCATTCATATTTCATCTCCATGGCCCCATTGGCAATCATAGTTAGTTCAGTTCAATCAGACACCGAAGGCTTCCGTCCAGGAACAAGGATCTCGACCAGTCCGTCGTCCTCCCCGTCGCTGCTATCATTCTGGTCATCGCCGTCATCGTCAAAGGGGGACGCCCCGGCCCGGGACCGTCGGAAGGTCTTGTACCGTTCTGCGCCCAGGTCGGGATACCCCAGGGACTCGTTCATGATGGCTTCGTCTTCCTCGTCTGACGAGTCATTCATGCCTGACCCGCCGGACGGTCCGACCATCTCGCCCATGTCGTCATCGTCGTCGTCGTCGACTTCTAGGGGGGCGCGCCCCTTGCCCCGGGCGCGGGCGGAATCGTCCTCCCCGTCGTCGGAAGAGTTCGAGGACAAGGAATCTGGAGGGCTGAATCCGGATTCCGCGAAGGGAGGAGAGGAGAATGGGGCATCCTTGGACAGGTCGGTCGAGGGGAATGCCGCTCCCGCTGGGGAACTTTGCCCGTCAGCGTCGTCGTCCAACCCTGCAATGACAAAAGGATTGGTATGCCATTGGACATCCGTGCCCTGGGGGTTCGAATGCTCGGAGACGCGGTCCTTGTCTTCGCCGTCGTGCTCCCCGTTTTCGGCAGCCTGTGCCTTCTGTTTTGCTAATCGGGCAGCGAGCTGGCGCCGCGCGCGAGACGGTCCGAGGCTCAGAGGAGCGGGAGGCGGAGGAAGAATCGGGATCGGCTGGCTGGTGGAGTTTGTCGATGCCTATGGGGATGTACGGTCAGCAACAATTCAGTCATTCGCATACATGCTGGCTGTCGACACACTATGCAACGCGGACAAAAACACATCACAATTGGAAAGAAAAACAATATAAGTACCATGCATTGAAATCACATTGACATCGCTCAAGGGCACAATACAAAACAAAATTTCAGGCATGCCTAAAATGACTAGCAAATACCTGGACACAACCAAGGGAATTGGAAGTTTAAAGCATGGCGTCATATGAGAATGGAAGAACTGTGGATTCAATGCTCTAGATGCATAGTCTCAAAGACCTCCACATTCATGTTCCATCATGCACATCTTTCCTGCTGAACAAACCAAAAGAAGGTCACGCACGCAGAAAGATAAGTATGATGGCATGGAGCAAACAGACAGGGTATCAAAGGGTAGAAAGGGTGAAACGGTAAAACGGAAGAATCGTCATAGTATAAGATCTCATGGGTCACTCATGTCAACATCGGTAAAAAAATCGTCACCCACATTTTCAGGACCGCCTTCTGCGGATGCATCAGCCCCAGCTCTATCGTCTTGGTCCTCCATGTCATCGTCCTCGTCATCACTCGAGCTGGCAAATCCGCTTAGCAAAGAGCCGCCATTGCCCCCAAACCCGAATGCTCCTCCAGAGACACTCCCCTGGTTCGTGTCGAAGCCCTGGAGGCCAGAGTTTCCTCCCATCGAACCGTTCAACCCCGCTTCGGCAAGGGCTGACGAAGTACTCATACCTTGTCCGGTATTCGCCGTGCTCTGACGATGCCCGATCGCCATGTCCGGCCGTACTCCGCCGAGGATCGCGTTGTCGCGCTCGCGAGTCTCGGAGAGCGTTTGCTCCACGTACTCGATCCACTCCGGGTTCAACACGCTGTCCATCACTGCCGGCGAAAGGAGCTCAGGTGGGTGACGTTCGCCGAACTTGACGACTTCTTCCGCGATCAGGGTCAGATGACCCATGTACCCGAGCCGGATCTGCTTGGCCCGTTGCGTCTCGTCGCTTCGCTTTTGCCCTTCGACGATGGTGTGCGTGATACGGCCAGTCTCGAAGACATCGATGGCCAATGCGCGGTTGTAGCCGCGTTCCATAGGCCCGTTGAAGACCTGCTGAATCACATCATAGACCACATTGTGCAGGAAATTGTTCCACGGGAACCGGAAGAAGAAGCCCTATAAAATTGATTAATTCTGATGCCAGAAACCTTCCATGGAAGGGCAATACTTACCAAGATGGTGGGGACGACCCGATTCTCAACAAACATGATTTTGAGATAGTCACCTACCACAGGTTGACCGTTTGTATCTACCTGGACATCCGGATGCATCTGCTGCACCTGTGCAGCGTTGTTTTCGGAATCAGCAGCGCCGGGCTGAGGCGTGTCCTGCTGACCCTGCTGGCTTGCGGAAAAGAGAGGTGCAGGGACCGCCTCGGGGTTGGAGGACATGGGCGCAGAGGACTGCGAGGGGTCGCTCTGCAACGATTCTGCCAGCTCACCCGAGCTCACCGCAGAAGTAGCCTTGGGTTCCTCCAGGCCTGTCTGATTGTTGAGAGAAACTTCTCCGATCCGGTCCGTGAGTCCTAGCGTACTCGGAGAAAGAGGATCGGAGGGGGGTGTTTGAGATGGCCCAGGCGTTGAAATGGCTGGGACAGCTGGCTTCGGCTGGCTATTGTCCTCCGATGCCGCTTTGATCGAGGGGTCTGGCCCTGATGCGGGAGAAGCTTCCGCTGCCGCCGGGGTCCGCTCCGACTGGGATTCGCCGCTAGCGGCACCTGGAACGCCAGCGTCTTTCTCTTTGTCGATCAGAACCCCGGAGGAGCTCACTTCGTCGAAACCATCCTCGCCCGCCGTGATCTTGGACCCTTCGGGAGAGCCATACCCGATGACGGACCCATTCACAAAGTCCGTGGTCGAGTCGTTTCCGTCAAAAACCGAGGTTTCTTCCTGGTGCAGATTGAAGGCGCCCTCCCGAGCCAGCCGCTCGCGTTCCGCATCCCGCTGCTCGACGTAGTCATCGCTGCCGGGCTCATTCAGCAGGCCCATGTTACTGCAGTGGAGCAGCTCGGCCATCAACTCGCATGTCTTGAACCGGTCGAACCCCAGGGGCTCGATCTTAGCACCCCACGCAGAGCTCAGCTGGCCTCGTTCGACACTCTTCACGTCTCCACCGTCCTTCACGGTATGCCTCGAGCTCTGGATCAGCGCCATGAAGTCAGGAATATGTTTCGCAAACAGGCGCAGCAGGTTGCCGAGGTAGATCGGGTCGTAGGTGGAGGGCATGGTTTCGGGGCTGTTGATGTTCTCCGGGTCATAGTCTGAATTGTTCTTTCGGATGACTTCGATCACGATCCCGACCCCTACAGTGAGGGGGTTCCCACCCAGAAGCATCGCCTGGATCAGGCTCTCTATGCAAGGCGTGGAGACCATTTGGCGAGTCAGGCTGTTGGGACCAATACAGGATTGGTCATTCTGGGTCGCGTTGGCGGAGATGGTAATGATGGCTTTGAGGAAATCGCCGGCGGACGTTTGGACCGAGTCAGGATGGTCGCGGGAGAGATAGGACAGGAGCGTCGGTACTAAGTCTTGCGTTTTCAACCACTGTCAAAAGTCCATTAGTAGGGGTAACCGGGGGGAAACATCGCCCTTGAAGATCGAACTCACCTCGACGATCCCTTGGCCCCCTTCGGCCTTTTCCAGACTGATAATCTTCAGCAACAGGTCCATGACCATTGGATTATCAATGTGCTGGAGGAAGGCGGGGATAATGCCGTCGAGCGATTTGAAGAAATCGAGCATATCACCGGTCTTCTTGTCGAACAAGGTCTCATTGACCTTGGTGAAGTAGCTCGCCTGGACGGAATCCAGGGTCGGGGGTCTCCTCAGGAAGCCCCAGAAGTCTCGCAGCGCGCGCGGGTTGAGCATGACCGACTCCATGATGGACCACACTTCGGAGGATAGAATCTCGCAGGCAATATAAGCGCGCTTGAGGCGGTCCTTCTCGGCCTTATCCAGGTCCTCCGGGCTCAGGATGTCCTTCAACGGATCCCCGCGCTTCTCCTCCGAGGGAGCTTTCTGCTCCTCGGCCGCCGCATCACTGTCATGAGTATCATTCTCGTTCTTGTTCTCCTTCTCTTTCTTGTCCTTATCCTCGTCCTCGTCCTCGTCATCGTCGTTCACCAGGCTGGGTGCGATCACATAGTCCATAAGCCGTTTCAAGACATTATCATCGCGTAAATATTCTATGAGTTTCGTATTATGCTGCTTGAGCTCCTGGACCAGCTCGGACTCGTCCAGCAGCTCCTCGAGAGAGACATCGGGCTTGTCGAGCAGGGTATCAATGGAGGAGATACTTGCATATCCCCCGAAACGCCAAAACATGATGAATTATATAGCTGGGCGAAAAACAGCTCATGGAAAAAGAAAGCAAAGGTATCACAAAGCGCTCGCGCGATGCCGTTTCTTCAATACTGTCTCTCTCTCGCTCTCTCCTTGTTTTCTTTGTTGGATTTTTATATGGAGACCGGTGTCAACGGACAAAGGGAAAGGGTATCGGGACTCGTGCGATGCGCGATCATGCGTGTGGTTGAAAGAGTTGTGGGTGTAAGATCAGCGGTTCTGGGGTGGGGTCAATTCGATCGAAGCATATCATGCCAGTCGGGGAAGACCGCCAGAAACGCGAAGAGACAAACACGGTCGGAGCGACCTAGCGCTGGTGATGCAGGGGGCCGCACGTCAGCAAATTGAAGTCCAAGTTTCGACGTTATACGACCCGCATTGTCGGCCGCAAGTATTGTTCAGATATGGTCAAAATCCATGATGCGGTCCGACCGAAAGGGTAGCGAGCATACATGCGAGTAGAATTTGGACAGGAGTGTGGGTTCATAGAGAAGTGGGTAGTGGTAACGAGGGGCAAGCTGGCAGGCACTACTTGAGGCTGACAGGGAGGAGAATGAGGAGAAGCATGGAACAGCGCTTACCTTCACAACCCAAAGAGTGACTGGGAAACGGAAATCAGAAAATCAATCACAATAACCCGTACACTATGGCGACAGAGAAGAGAGGAGCAAGTATTCGAGCGAAGTGCAGGTTCCGACCACCGAACGAGGAAGAGTGAGTAGGAAGAGGAGGCAGAGAAGGAAGAGGAGAAAGAAGGGATCAGCCGGACCCTCCGTCGTCAGCGTCGTTAGTGGTTGGGCCAGTTAGGATGGAATGGAGGAGCACCACGACAAGGCGTGAGGAGGGGGGTTGATGGAAGAGAGAATGATCGGAAGAGATCAATCTCGATCAACAGAGGATATATTGAATGACAGATGAGGAGGCAGGGAGAGAAGTGTGGTCTGGAATCAGCGAAATCCAGTAAACTAAGAATTACCTAGGTAAAGGTGGTCTCTGACTAACCTCAGGCTCCGACGGCGGGGAAGGAGGAAAAAGAAGCGTCCAGATAGGCGAGAAGGCTGGAAGTAGTGGGGGATTTAGGCTCTGGTTTCAGATATTTATTTCTCTTGATCAATTAAACTGAATCAGTTTGACTGTATTAGATGATCTATATTTTCCGGTATACAGTACTATCTCATACTACTTACTACTGATGATTGATAAATCCCTACTGATGAGGTGTAAGTCCAGGTACCGCACTGACCACATGGGCTTATATGGGAATGCACGTACCGGTACTTCTGTCTGAACCGGTATTGTAAGATTAGATCAAGAGGACTACTCCGTAGCTACTCACACGTGTTCATGCTTTTGATAGAGCAATTTATTGACCATAATGCTCTGTCTTAACGGTCCGCGTAACAGATACTGTCATAACATGTGTTTCCACTGTTATCTGAAACTGGTGGGTAATAAATGTAACACACATACAGACAACCATGTCACGTGGGACTCCGCACCAGACTTATCATAGGCAGCGATAACCACCTCTATATCTACCTGACAGCTGCACATGAGACGAGTCGTATCATCCCACAGTCCAAGCCCCAGTGTATCAGATGGTGTCACAGTCTGATCGTGACTGATCATATCATTGGAAGAATCTACCACACGAGAGTTGTCGACGAGCACTAGGTAGATTGAACACTAGTATTGTTCACCCCGCAGTGCCACTTTATCAATTCTCACCTCCCACTACACTGCACTACACTACGCATCCAACCACCCACGCTGAACACCATGAACCGACTCTTCGGATCCAAGAGCGCGGTCCCAAAGCCGACGCTGGACGGTGCCATCACCAATGTAAGCTCCCTTTTCCCCCACGTCATCCGTCAACCAAAAAAAAAAAAAAGAAAGAAGGAAGGAAAATAGTAGTAACTAACCCCTCTCAAGGTCGAAGACCGCATCTCCACCTTGGACGTAAAACTCACCTCCCTAAACAGCGAACTCACAACCTACCAAACCAAAATCAGCAAAATGCGTGACGGGCCAGGCAAAACGGCCCTCAAACAAAAAGCCCTCAAAGTCCTGCAGCGACGCAAACAATACGAAGCGCAGCGCGACCAGCTCGAAGGCCAGTCCTGGAACATGCAGCAAGCCGGCATGATGACCGACAATCTCAAGAACACGATGACGACGGTGGACGTCATGAAGGACACGACGAAGACGCTCAAGAAGCAGTATCGCAATATCGACATCGACAAGATCGACCGCATGCAGGATGAGATGGCCGATTTGATGGATATGGGGAATGAGATTCAGGATAGTATTTCGAGGGCGTATGATGTGCCGGATGAGGTTGATGAGGCGGATCTGGATGCCGAGTTGGAGGCGCTGGGAGAGGAGAGTATGTTTGAGAGTGGGGTGGGCGAGGGGGCGGTCCCGAGCTTTATGCAGGATGAGGTTGCGCCGCCGCAGTTTATTGATGAGCCGCCGGAGCCAGCTAAGGTGAAGGAGCCGGCTGGGGGGCTGGGTTGATAGTTGGCATACGGGGATGATATGCGCCGTGTGAGACGATGGACGAGCTTGGAGTTATTTCTATTATGGCAGGAAGCGAGGAGTTCGGGCAGCATATTTGCGTCTTCTGACTTTCTTTTCTTATATTTTCTGTAAATCGACTTGATGCGCACGTTTTGAGCACCGGACGTTGCTAGGATACTATTGATCGATGTTCCGCTCCACAGTGTGTTTTCAAGGGACACTACAATTTGACACATTCTTATCTGTCCCCGGTTCCGCAAAAACCTCAGGCCTTCCCCATTCCAACCAGCACCAGCAGTGCCACATTCATAACTACAATGACCACCCAGACCACAACAGCGACGGCAGAAACCAGCCAGCCGTTCCGCATCTTCACCCCTTCGGCTGGCTCGTCCGTGCCGTGGCTGACCCTATCGACCGAGACCGTCATGTAGCGATTGCGGCAGGTAAAGTAGACTAGTGGCGCCGTGACGAACGGAAGGATGACACTCAGCACCACCTGGCTGGCGTTGAGCGTTTTGTCGAGCCCGTCTTTGCCGACGGCTCCGGCGATGATGATGCTGGGGATGATACTGATCGATCTGGTGAGGAGTCGGCGAAGCCAGGGCCGCATACTCCAGTTTAGCATGCCCTCGCTCACCATTTGTCCTGCCATGGTGCAGACGATTCCTGCAGAGATGCCGGAGAGGAGCAAGGCCAGGGCGAAGATTAGGCCGGCGGCTGGGGCGATTGAGGTGGACAGTAGATGGTGGATGCCCCAGAGGTCGGCGTCGTCTGCTCCTGATGTGCCGTAGAGGGAAGCACCGGCGACGATGAGAATGGCGCTGTTCACGAAGAGGGCAAATGTGAAGAGAGACAAGGTCAGCTCGACGATGGAGTATTTCATGCACCCTTGGATTGCTTGGATTGACGGTCTGTACTTGACCTCTCCGTCGACACTTCCGAGACAGACGGACGGGTCCACGTAGCCTTCTGTGACGTCGAATTCCTTCAGCCGGGATTGAACGACACCGCTACCAAGGAACATGGAGTGAGGCATGACGGTGGCACCAAGAATGCCACAGCTTTGGTAGAGCCTAGAGCCTTCATCAGCATCACCTGTACTCTCTGGGACCAAGAGATAGAAGATTACGATAAACCCACCCCTTCGATTGCACAATCGCCGACGACGGCACGTATCCTCGAAAAACGTCTCCCACGGACTGGTCCTTAATGAGGGAGAGCTGGATACAAAAGCAGATGACGACCCCCAAGACCAGAGCCATGACAAAGAATTCAAACAAACGCAATCCCCACATGGCACCATTGGGTCGGTAGAAGATGAGGATGAAGAGAACATCGGCCAGCGTAATGGCACAACCGGCCACCAGAGGGATTTTCAGAAGTAGATTGAGCGCAATAGCCGAGCCAACCACCTATGAAAGACCATTAATGCTCCGCCTCAGATTAAAGGGACTGGGACATACTTCTGCAATATCTGTCGCCACAATGGCAGCTTCGGAGAAGATGTAAAGAATGATCACCAACCACTTGGGCAGGTGTTCGCGGCAATTTTCTGCCAGATTCAGCCCGGTGACCGTGCCCAGCTTGATGCACAAGGACTGCAAGAAGATAGCGAAGAGGTTCGACAGGAGCACGATGAAGAGAAGGGCGTATCGAAACTCGGCACCCGCCGCAACGTCAGTGGAGTAGTTTCCGGGGTCAATGTAGGCGACGGCGATCAGGAAACCCGGACCCACAAATCGGCCAAATTTGGCGATGCTGCGGGCGAGATACCGGACAAAAGATGAGATTAAAGATTTGTTACAAGAACGGCGAGATGATCGGCTGTTCCTCTGGGGTGGTTCACCCCCAGAGGTGGCCGAGGTCATCTCGCCGGGGGTTTTCTCGGACCCCGGTTTGTTCTCTTCCCAACAGTGTGTGGTTGACTGCAACGCCCTGATCTCATCCTCCTGGTCCCCCATCATCCCGGGGGCATGTCTCCTGTGAAGCTTCGCATTGGCGATGCTATTGAAGTCATTGCGAGTGGTGGTATCCGCACTCAGGGCTGGGGGGTTTTGATTCCAGTCCGGGTGCTCCAGCGTATCGTCGGTGCGTGAGGGGCAATTCATCGCGGCGACTGTGAGGGGGCCCAAGTCAGCTGCGAGAACGGGGAGAAAGTGCAATGGCTCGAATGGAGCTAAATCTCACCTCGTCTGTAGGATTCTCTTGTTACGTGACTTGATTTCTTGGCCTTGTCATTCGATGTCAGTCGACTGTTAAGACCCTAAATAGAACGTCGTACCTTGGAGGGGAAAGCCCGACACCGCCCGATTGCGCCAGCGGTTTGGTGGAGACAAATTGCGCAACTTGCCGACTGGACACTATCAAGATTGGCGAGAACTAGATCAAGAAATCGACGTGCAATTGAACCGGAATCCAGTCAACCAGGTTAGTTTTGTGCGTCCGTCAAGAGAACCCGGATAACACCGACGGAAAGCCTGGGTCTGGCGTTTCGGGCGCTGTGCTCGGAACTTAGAACAGGAAGGATCTCCATGGTTGGTGGTATCGGAGGAAATCAGCCCAACCATCTCCCATGTACAAGTTAAGGAAACACAATCGAAGTCTAGTATCACTTCCTCGAGAGTGGTATATCGGTATAGATGTGACCCCAGAGTAGTTGATGCCAATGCTTGGCCATTCTGCTGCCATGGTTCGTTCCCCAATCACACGGATAAAACTGGATTCTGACCCCACCGATCACCTTCTTGGCGTTGACTCCTCTTCGATCGAGGATAAAAGATACTGATCCATGGTACTACGAAGATCATGGGTGAATGGATTCAAGATCCTTCTGTAATCTGTATTGAGATGTCTCACAAACACTAGTTGGATATCTGCACATGTATGTCGTCGGGCACATGGGCTGTCGAGCGGGGAGATACCGGGCATATTGTTCGATACGTCAGATCATAAGGCGATCAATTGATGGGTATTATGGGGAAAGAGGAGAACCACAGTAACCACCTTCAGGACATTCTATCGTCAAGGCAAATGATGTCGTGCAAATCAGGCAGACAGAGAGTGTAAGAGAGAGAGAGACATGCAGGAATGATCCCCAAAGATGATTCAAAGATCTCGTACAAAACCCCGTTACCCCCGCAACCACCACCATGTTTACCCTCCGGTTATAGCGCTTCGTCCGGTGGGGAAAACATGGTGAACTACGTAGTCACGCAGTAGTGACCAGAGGTCTGATTATTATGGCGATGGATCTTCCGATCGATCCATGATTGATAGATTGACTCTGACAGACCTGCATTAATTACTTGACTACGGTTGTTGTGGTTTCCATCTCCATCCGTTTCACCTTATCATTCCTCCATTCCCCATTCCCCTCTCCACCCCCGTTATTCGACTCGATTCTCTTCTCCTCCCGTTCTACTGACTGTCCTGACCTTTTCTCTTGACGATCTCACTCCCTTCCCTCCCCTTCGTGCTCGTGGGCCCTCTCATCACTTGTCAATGTCGTCTCTTTTCTCTTAATCCACTATTTGCTTGTTGTTCGTTCTTGCTTCACTCGGGTCGGTTTCTCTTTCTTTTCTTTTTCGGACTCTTTCTATTTCTGGGAGACTTTCGGGGTGATTGCTTTGCCAATTGATTGTTTGCTTGCTATCCTCACGGTATGTCGGCGGCAACCAGCCCACCCTACGTTGTGCAACCATACATCATGCTAATACCCTCTCCTTTCAGGTCAAAGACGATCGAGATGACTCCCAGCGTTCAGGTACCGATGATCTTCGATGATGCCACTCGTGCTTCCCCCACCAAACCGTCCGTCCTTCGCTCGATCTGGTCCTCCAAGGGCCATCGGAGAAACCAATCCGCAGACGATGCCGCCGCAGCCAGACGATCTCAGGCGCAACCGTTTGACACTTCTTTCGTCTCCCCCCGCGACCAAGCCTACGCCACCTTGAACCAGCCGCTGGCGGAGATCATTCCCAACCGCGATGCCGACGAACTGTCGTTCCAGCGGTCGTTGGAGAAACAGGAGAAGAATACCTTGCACAAGAAGACCAAGAGCGCTGTGTCGCTCAAGTCTCTGAAGAGTTACATGGAGCGAAAAGACCAGAAGAATGAAGAGTTTCCCCCCGAAGAATCATCCAACTTGAGGCCCAAGAAGGCCAAGTCGGCCAATAGCCTGACAGCCATCTTGAAACGCTCCCAGGGCGGGAGAAAGTCGGAAGAGTCCAAGAGTTCCCGTGATAAAGAAAATCAAAGTCCCACAGACCTGGGAGACTACATGTCTTCTCCTCCCTGGAATGGGTATCCGAACGACTCGTTCTCCCACCGGGGCGCTGCGCCCCAATCGCCGGGAAAGCGGAGAACCTTGCAGGAAGAGGTCTCGCTTTACACGCCCAAGGGTTACAGTCCTGCACAGCAGCGCAACTTCTATGACTTCCAACAGCCGTCTCTGTCGAACCGTGAGGGCTCAAAGCCTCGACCAAAGTCAGACTTCTTTGCCGGGGGGCGCAAAGTCAAGGATTTCTTCGGATCATCCCACCACCTGCCTGCCGGTAAACCGCCTCCGACTGATCAAGCGGATTCCACATCTTTTCGACACGGACGGCCCCGAGGTCTGTCGGGGCCCGCAGCTCGACCCGAATTCGAGCAACGTCCGGAACAAAGCCCGCAGCGCGTCTCCCGGGTCCAGGCGGCAATCTCGGCGTTCAATGCGAAAGAGCATGAGGCTGAATTGAAAAAGCGCCTAAATGCCAAGGACCTTGAGAGTGAATTTGAGAAGCTGCTGGTAAGTGCTGACAGACCCTGTTTCTCACCACTCCTGGAAGATGATGTGATGCTGACAGCCATGTAGGATGCTAGGAACATTCCTCATAACGTGAGGGACAAGATGAGGTCCTTGGATACGAGCATCAAAGTAGACTTCATCCAGAAGGATCGAACGGAGAGTAACACCCCCCACAGCGCCGGGGCCAGTGTGTATGCGAATGACAGTACCGGCCGGCGGGGCCGTAAGAACGATCAGAAGGATGAACGGCAGGGCCATGATGGAAAGGGGTCCCGTTCGCGCTCGCGAAGCCGTGGCTTTAATTTCTCCAAGGCCCCTTCGTCCCCCAAGAAGTCCCGGCCGGAAAGTGGCAGCTCGTACCGTCGCCCCAAATCGGGAGACTTCACACAACCCGCGACACTGTCGAAAGTCCTGACGCCTGCCAGCTCAACCACCTCTCTTTCTGCCACGGCCTGTCAGGATACAGCCGCCGATCCGTCGGATTTTGTACACTATCTACGAGAGATCCAGAAACCGGAGATGGTCGAGGTCGGCAAGATGCATAAGCTACGGCTCCTTTTGCGGAACGAGACCGTGAGTTGGGTTGACACGTTTATTTGTGAGGGGGGCATGGACGAGATTGTCCAGCTGCTCTACCGCATCATGAAGGTGGAATGGAGGTTTGTAATTTGGTCCCGTTCCCATGGACCGACGTGCTAACGCCGGACAGGGAGGAGCACGAGGATAACCTGCTCCACGAAACGCTGCTGTGTCTGAAGGGCATTTGCACCACCTCGATCGCACTGCATCATCTGACCCAGATTGAAGCAGAGCTCTTTCCGGCGCTGCTAAAGATGTTGTTCGACGAGGAGAAGAAGGGCCCGAGCGAGTATACCACACGCGGGATCATCATCACCATTATCTTCACGCAGCTTTCTGCTGCGTCGTCGGATGAGGACGCGACCGCGCGCGCCGCGCGGATTCTTTCCTACCTGCGCGATCCAGCACCCGCCGAAGACAATCAGCCCCTGGCGTTTATTGCCAACATCTATCAATCACGGCCCTATCGGGTGTGGTGCAAGGAGGTCACCAATGTCACCAAGGAGGTGTTTTGGATCTTCCTCCACCATTTGAACGTGATCCCGATCGCGCAGACCGGGCAACTGGCCTCGGGCGGCTACCGTGAGCGACACTTCCCGACGCCCCGACCCCCAGTGCCTGCCGCGCCTTACGTGGGGGGCGTTGAGTGGGATGCCACCAACTACTTGGCCGCACACCTGGACCTGATGAATGGCCTGGTGGCCTCTCTGCCGTCCAGTGAGCATCGGAACCAGCTGCGGGCGGAGCTGCGTGCCTCGGGGTTCGAGAAGGTCATGGGTGGCAGCTTGCGAACCTGCAAGGAGAAATTCTATTCTTCGGTCCATGACTGCCTGCGGACCTGGGTTGCGGCTTCCATCGAAGACGACTGGCCGTACCTGGCTGTGCGTGAGGGACCACCGCGACCTGACTTGGGCTCGCCCAGGAAGTCGCCCACTAAGGTTCCTGGCAGCCCCCAGAAGAACGCTCTCCCGGAACAGCCACCCAAACTGGAGCTGGCACTGGATGCCCCTCCCAACAACGACCGACTGTCTCCGCGGGTCAATGGCGTCAGCAATTGGCTGTAATAAGCCAAATATTCTTGGTTAATTCCTATTTTTTATCTTTTTTTCTCTCTCTTTTCTTTATATTTGATACTGCACTGACTATAGCTGCCAACGGGCTTCTTCGACACCCTCAATTGACGGTCATGACACGGCGTTGCGGTCTTTTCTTTCCACCCTGCTCTTGGTCTACCCCTCCATCATTGCTTTTACGTTGATCTTTTTTCGGGGAGTGCGTGACGGCGTTGGCTTTCTCTTCCGGAGTTTTTCTTTTTTTTCCCCCCTCTTTTTCTCTCTCTCTTTGGATGCATTCAATCCGTCTACATGAACGGCCACGGCGAAACGAAATGATTTAATGACTGAAGGAACGGAACTCCCCACTTGATGACTGGCTCTTGGGAAGTGCATGGGCAAGCGGAATCGCTTTATGGTTTCATTTTCATTCCTTACAACTAAGTAAAAAAAGAAAAGAAGAAAAAAAAGGCGCTGTAGTTCGGATATTTGATACGGCAATGAATGAATTGATTTGTGTATTTCTTCCTCTATTTTCTAGATTGGAACGTCTTGTAAAATGGCATAGGAAGTTGTGTATTGTACATTCTATACTTGTTATACATATTTGCATTTTCCGTTTGATATGGTATGTATGTATATCTTTGTCTATCCAGTCCTTTTATCAAAACAGTGTTGAAATCCAGTCCCCTAGTCTCTAGACTGATCACCCTTCTGCACCGGTCTTGGAGGCGCCGGAGTCGAAAACGCGCCCTTGACAGCGCCGAAGACAGCATTGCGTAGCTATAACACCACTGTCAGTACCAAACCATCAAACCAAAAGAGAATATGAGAAATATCGGGGGGGGGGGGGATAAACGAACATCATCAAACGGACTCCCCCGCTCATCCCACTCCATGAAGAGCACCGCATATAACACCACAACTAGCAGCAGTCAAATTAGCACACCTACCATACGATAACCAAGAGCGTAAAGACAAGAATGACTCAAGAAAGGGAGATAAAGGGGGGGACACACAAGAGATAACCCCCCACTGCACCAGCTTGGTAATCTTCATCCACTGGGGCCGAGCGAATTTCAGCGCCGCGCGACGGCGGTATTTGCGCTCGAGGCGGAACTGGTGTTTGGGGGAGAGGCGGCGCATGTCTGGGGGCCAGGTGCGTTTGGGTTTGTAGGGGGCGTATTTGTCTGATGCATATTCGGAATCCGGGGTGTCGTGTTCGGGGTTTGTCGGGGGGGTGGTGGTATTGTTGCTGTTGAGGCGGAAGGGGGAGGAGGAAATTGGCGAGGAGGAGGAAAAGAGGGTGGATTGAGTGGTTGTGATGGGGCGAGTTTGGTTCTGTGGGTTTGGATCTGTTAGGAAAGTGTCTTTGATTTGGGTTGGGTCTGAATGTGAAGCATGGACAGTGACGTACAACGTATGAGGGGATTCGTTGGCCGGAGATGAGTTGAAGCCATGGTGATGGGGAGGATGCGACGGGGCGCACGGAGGGAATCGTGCGGAGGAGACGTATGGGAAGCATGGGCGCTTGAATTGTATATATTAATCGGCAGTATTGGTAGAAAGATAGAGAGAGAGAGTACAGTCGGAGTAGTACAGGTTGTTGTTGCGATAAGGACGGTGGTGAAGAGACGGAGGTGTTGCGGAGAAAAGTCTAAGGCGGAAGTAAGATCGTCGGCTTGCCATCTCCACTTTGGCCCGACTCCCGTCGATCACAGTTGATGGACTTCCAGCTTTGTCTAGTTTCTCTATAAAAACATATCTAGTTCCGTGCAGGAATGGGTCCTCGGATATCATTGATGTAGTTATCACAGAGAAGCAAACAAAAATAATATTATGGACGATCGAAAGTCTAAAATCTTCCAGGGATGCTCTGTCTACTTCTTGAAATATCCTGAGAAACCCATACAAAGGGAAATTTTAGATGTTATTAGATAGATCCATGACCACTTCGGACTATAAGTGCTAAGTCTATGAAGAAAAAGGAAAAGCGCCCCATTGTATCTCTGCTGTCCGTCCGCTAAACGAGTATCCATACGCCAAAGTTCCAAATATTCACCCATGTCGTACCACTTTCTTCAGCACTATCGATTCGTAGAGACTACCCGAGGATTGCCATAAACAACCTGTGCATTGAAATTTGCAAGAAATGGTGTGATGGCATCAAAGCCATTGAGTCGATGGAGCTCCGCCATTTTCGTGGCAAGAGGTCCGTCTTCCTGGGGCCATCTGACGACGAACCAGCCCTTTCTCTTATGGTGCCAAAGAACATAGACTGGAAGGATCGTCTTCGTTTCGTGCGCCGTGTCAAAATCATAACCAGAGTTGTAGACATCGATGGACATAAAGGTGCGGTCTCCCCTTATTTCAATTGCGAGGAAGCGAATCCGACTGTCATCCTCCCAATTTGGAAAGATTTCATTGATAAAGTTGCCCGCTGAGACACGATAATCACTGGAATCCAGTCTTTCGGTGTGCACCTTTATCACAAGTCGTTGTGTCTCTGCCCTTTCGAATATCTCTTCACGAATTTCGGTGACGCTGGACATGGTGAGCGAGTTGCAGCATCGTCGTGTCCAGGTCTGATAAAGAAGGGTATCAATGAAGCTACAGAGGCTGGTAGGCAACCGGTGACTCGGTACGTAGTTTGTACAGTTTGCACTTCAAACACACGACGGCCTAGATCTGCTAGCTGATCACGTGGCTTTCACCCGCTCCAAGATGCCTTCATGCCTCTCTTTACCCCTCTAGAACGACGCGAGGGCCAGACTCCAGGCATTCCTTGACATATGCCGAATATTGCAACTGTACCTTTTTTTTTTTTTTTTTCCTTCTTCTTCACCTTGAGTTATGGTATAATTTCAACCACTGTCTTTGTAGTGACGAATCTACTCTTTCTAAGTCGAGGTGTCTGTTCTCCCAAGCGACACGAGTCATGAGCTCAGGGATGGTTCGGCGGAGAATAGTACTCTCGAAGGAATCCTTGCTAACATAGAGGATACGACTGAAGGCCAGAAGCATGGCATGAAGAGAGCAAATGCTCTTTGATACGGGGTCGAATCAAACTGACTAGTAGGATCAATGAGCTAGGTCAATGACAGTAAGGTTGTGCAGAATCGACTTCAGTCGCTGGATCCGAAGCTAAGGGACGGCACGATAACCAGGCCTTACGGCGAAGAGACCTTCGGAGAAGTTGTCGTGGTGGAAACATTAACAGGCTTCAACTTCCCTGCTCGCGGGATGGACACCCGGTGATGACATGCAAAAGCGACATGCGGGGTAATATGGATGTTATGGTTGTGGCTTGGAGATCATCACTTCCTGTGCCGTCAGAGTCCCTGGAACATGCCAAGGTATCATGTTGGTATTCCTGGTTGGCAACGAGAGTGATAGATAGAAGCGAACAAATAAGCCTTCAAATTGCCACACAAAAGCAAGAAGCCAGCCACCTCCCAGAACTGGACACTGAAGCTCGCCAGACGGGGCTGATGACTTCAAAAACAACAATAGATTCTGATGCCAGGCTACCTTGGGTAGAAGCTTTGTTCCCAACCCCACATTGTGCTTCTCAGGGATCTCTCGAACACAACGCAGGCACGAAGTAGTAAACCAAGATTTTTCGCTCAAACTGGAAAGCTATTGGTAACTCTCTTGCGAACTTGGCGGAGTTAAATATTGATGACGAGAACATTTTCCTGGCAGCCACACAACAGTAAAGTTTTGTTGAGGTTCAGTTGTATGGATGACACAATTGCCTCGATCACAACCGGGGGGCTCCCTTCTCACATGGCCACTAGGACAACCGCAGTCTTCAAAGTATCTATCCTCCCAGTGGCACATCTGAAAGTGATTAACGTCTGTTTGTTGAAGCTTCCCCCCTAACTAACCTTGAAATGTAGCAGATTTCCTTCCGTACGGTCAAAGCCCCCTCAGGACTGGTTGACCATTCAATGAGAAGATGGCGTGGAAAGTGGTGCCAGCGACAAAGGGGAGGTTTTATGTAGGCAACCTGTTCCAGAACTCTCGTCTTTGGGCAGCTTTGGGCTGCGAGGCAGAGTAGTCCACTTGGCCAACATTGCTCGCGCAGCCTTTCCAAATGAGTATTTATACCTAGTCAATAGCTCTAAAGCTGCATGGTATTAACCCATCGCTAGGGCCCTGCACGCTTTTCCTAGTTCGGAACATCAGGAAATTTAGCAAAGTAATCATTGATAGTCTTGTGTAGTATGGGAGAATTGCCTTGTTCCCTGATATTATTTGCGTCCATTGGCACGCTGCCATCTCCAACAGTCCCATGCTATTCTAGGGGATCACCCACCCAAAAGAAATAAATGTTTCAGGCGAAGGGCTGTCTGTGACATACCGACAGTTTCATTCTTGTTGGTATGGTTGTTTAGAGCTCCTGTTTAAGATCTGGCGACCTACCATCCTACCTTCTGAAATCGAGACGAAGAAGTGTACATATTATAAAGGTACTATGACATAAATCTGACCATCAGCATCAGTTTGCCATGTCAAACTGAGACAGGTACCAATGTGATCGTCTCTGGGAGATTTCCATGCCTCCTTACGTTGGACTAAACCCGTTGGTCATCCTCTTGCCTATGCTTAAAAACAAGGGATGCTCTTTGTCACACAACGACAAAGGAGGTTGCCATCGTCCTGGTATACTGACAACAAGAGAGCGCCAGGCAAGATAAACCCAAAACAACCGTCTCCTCATGCTCGAGCAATGGTGCCTTCGAGGTCTCTCCTTCAATAGATCATGGACAGTCATCCAACCTCATCCTTTCTCATGCCGATAAATAGGTCACGATGGCAGTGGTCAACGAGGTCGAAGGCGACAAGCATCTCCCGCTGTGGTCGACAACTAAACTCCCGACGTCACACAGAAGGCGTGCAGACAGGGGTAGTCGATATCGATGACGACCTCCAGAGTCCACGAAACTGGCCCAACTCAGAGACTGGCTCACGGTGGCCCTCAGCACCGCCTTCATCTTCCTTACGGACCAAGATGAGGCACCAGCGTCAGGTGTCATCGCCCACGGATTACACATGGAATCCCATCATGTTCATCTATCAGCGGTGCCGTCCTGGAGTGTCGCATCTCTCGGCCTCTTTTCTTGACGCATATTTCCAGCGATATTTTTGGCCTTATCGCTGTATCATCGACAGTTTATCACCGGCATGATCAGCGACTATTTCGGGCCGACCGGGAGAGCCATCGATGTTAGGGCTTTTATTCTCGCCTTCCGGTCGGCGCCATTGTCGGCGGGTTCACCAGCAATCTGCATGCTGGAGGGTGAGTTTCTTTGCAACCTCGGCTGCGGCTGCCGTCCTCACTTGCGGAATTCAGCCTTTATAGCAAGTAGTTATGCTGTGTAACTTTTGTCCGAGACAGTATCTGAGGGAATTATTAGGTACACCCAGGTCTTGGTCGTATGGCAGACCGGCTGGAACATTGCAGCAGCCCCATGACCGAGAGCGCTTTCGAGACAGGAATGTGTAAACAGACGTTTGCAGATGATCAGAAAAATCGATAGACTCCTATTGATCGACAAGCTGATGATGTCCGTCTGATGACAATTCCAATGCAATCTCCGAGCCCATCACTAATCACACTAATCAAAGACAGACTCGGTTACGTCAAGGTTCACATGAAAAAAAGCGCCCCCATAATGCCCGTCTAGACACGTGACCCGGCAGATCCCGGAACAACGTTGATACGGCGAACCTCGGTACTTTCACGGGATGGGGACATCTCCTTCTCCTACAAAAGGCGATTGCTCCGAGCTTCATCCCCGGATCTCTCCTCCTCCCCCCGATTTTTATAAGAAGAACCGTCCCTTCCCTTGTCCCACTCCTTGGATTTCATTCTCTCATCTTCTCTCATCTTGGATCTTTTTTTTCGTTCCTGATACCCCTTTGACGTCATAATCATGTCTGGTGGTGAGTTTTCCAAAGAGACAAGAAGTTTTTTCCCCCACCATATGATAAAAATCACTAACCGTTTTTTTTTTCCACAGCCCAACAGCGTCTGAACCAGGTGGCTTCCCACTTCGGCCCCGGTGGCAAGAAGGGAGCCGCTGCCATCACCGAGAAGCACCCCGATGATATCGTCATCACCTGCGCTCTCCGGACCGCCCTGACCAAGGGTGGTAAGGGTGGCTTCAAGGATACCGCCGCCGCCGACCTGCTGGCCGGTGTCTTCAAGGCCGTCGTCGACAAGAGCGGCATCGACCCCAGCCAGGTCAACGACATCTCCGTCGGCTCCGTCCTGGCCCCCGGTGGTGGTGCCACTGAGTTCCGTGCCGCCGCCCTGGTCGCCGGTTTCCCCGAGTCGGTCGCCGTCAAGTCTCTGAACCGTCAGTGCTCCAGTGGCCTGCAGGCCATCGTTGATACTGCCAACGCCATCCAGACCGGCATGATCGATGTCGGCATTGGTGCCGGTGTTGAGAGCATGTCCTCGCAGTACGGGTACGTACCTCCTTAAAAACAGGGTTTTCCCCATCGTGAAATTGAGAATCAAAGTCTAACTGGACAATAGCCCCGGTGCCGTGACCGAGTTCTCCGACCTCCTGGAGAGCCACCCCGAGTCCGCCAACTGCAAGGTCCCCATGGGTGTCCTGTCCGAGAAGATGGCCAAGGAGCGTGGTGTGACCCGTGCCTCCCAGGACGCCTTCGCCGCCGCCTCGTACCAGAAGGCCCTCGCCGCCCAGAAGGCCGGCCTGTTCGACGCCGAGATCGCCCCCCTGGAGGTCAAGTGGACCGACCCCAAGAGCGGCGAGGAGAAGACCATCACCGTCAAGGCCGATGACGGCATCCGCCCCGGCATCACCGCCGAGTCCCTGGGCAAGATCCGCCCCGCCTTCGCTAAGGACGGCTCTATCCACGCGGGCAACGCCTCGCAGATCTCTGACGGCGCCTCCGCCGTGCTGCTCATGAAGCGCTCGACCGCCGAGCGCCTGGGCCAGAAGATCATCGGCAAGTACGTCGCCGCCAGCGTGGTCGGCGTCAAGCCCCTGCTCATGGGTATCGGCCCCTGGAAGGCCATTCCCGTCGCCCTCGAGAAGGCCGGCATCACCAAGGATGACGTCGACATCTTCGAGATCAACGAGGCCTTCGCCTCCCAGTGCGTCTGGTGCATCAACGAGCTCGGCATCCCCCAGGAGAAGATCAACCCCAAGGGCGGTGCCATCGCCTTCGGCCACCCGCTCGGCTGCACCGGTTCCCGCCAGATCAGCACCCTGATGACTGAGCTGGAGCGCACCAACAAGAAGATCGGTGTCACCAGCATGTGTGTCGGTACCGGTATGGGTATGGCCGCCGTGTGGGTGCGCGAGTAAGGGGTGTTTCTCAAAAAAGCAATGATCTGGCATCATGATTCTTTTTCTGTCTTATATATATCTCTGTTTTAGTTTCTAGTTTCTTGTACAGCGACTTGGTTTGATGTTTGCATACTACCTATCAACTATCAACGGTTTTAATCAAACCGAATGAAATGCTATGTACAATACCTACCTATGGAATAGTACATCCTGATCAACCCACCATCACATGTAAACCATCAATAATTCCGCCCCTGATATCCGATATATACACACATCTTGAAAAGTAAATAATCACACGAAGATCTAAATCTTCGTCCTAAACTGCTTGAACGCATCAAACACAGACATCCCCTGCCCCACCGCATCCTTCACCTTGTCGTCCATGGCAATCAGCTTCGGCATGACGTCGAGCACCTGGTCGAGGAGGTCCCGGGGAATGAAGACGACTCCTTCGAGAGGGTCGCAGAAGATGATGTCGCCCTTTGAAACATTAACACATGGGGATTTCAAATGCGGGAATCAAATTCAACGTGGCGAGAAGGAGAAGGAGAAGGAGAAGGAGGTAGGGAAGTCAAGACGTACCGGAGATACAGTCACCCCTCCTCCGACTGTCACGGGGACGTTGCGCGCACCGGGTTTGGCCTCGGCTCCTGTTCCGACGGTTGATGTGCCTTGGGCCCAGACCTATCATCATCATCATTAATATTTTCAATCAAGGAAAAGTACATAGTATGCGGTATTGGTGATAGGAAACGAAATAGCAAAAGGAAGAAGAAAAAAGATTGAAAGAGGGAGAAAACGGACCGGCAATCCACACCCCCTGATCTCGTCCAAGTCCCGCACGCGCCCATTAACCAGCGCGCCCTCCACGCCGAGCGTCTTCATGCGCACCGCCATGATACCGCCCAGCACGGCGCAGTATTGGCCTTGAGGCTGCTCGATGACGGCGACGGTACCCGGCTCGGCGAGATCGACCCAGTGCGTGCCGGCGGGGAAGCCGTGGGTGGGGTCGGACGAGGCGGATTCGGCTTTGGGGATGAATTTGAAGGTTGATGCGGGGGCGATCAGCTTGGGGGTTGTTGTGTTGCGGCCGATTGTGGGAGTTAGGGGGGCTTTTTTCCGGATTTGTTAGTTTTGGATTTTGATGTTTTATCATATATAGCGGTATGCCATGATCCCTTACGAGAGAATGGGGAGAGATTGAGGAGTGAGGACATACTGAAGTCGGCTAGGTGGCCTGCGCGGGGTGTTGTTCCCTCGGGTAGTTTTTGGATCTTGAGCAGTGCGTCGGAGACCTTATTGGTGGTTAGTATTGGAATTGGAGAACTCGGTAGATTGAATGGTAAGTCAATGAACATACATCGCAGGCGGAGTAATTACGCAGGGCGTCCAACTTTTGGGCGATGGAGGTTGCGGCCGAGGACATGGTGCGGTGGACGGTGGGGATGAAGGTTGGGGAGCGGAGTGGAGTGGAGATGATTCGGGGAAGGACTCGAGGCGTGAAAAGCATGGGGAAGTTGGTAGAATAGACAATGTTTAGAAATTTGGGAGTAGAGTAGAGAGAGTAGAGAGTAAAGTATAGGAAGGATTCCGATGACGGAAGAAAGGAGATCAGATTAGGGCTTTTAATAGTGATAAGGAGTGTTCCTGATCAGCATCGGGTGTTCTAGGATCATGACGTATGATGATGCTTATTAATTACTGTATATTCTAACTATCAACTTGAGTTTCATATTTACACTGATCAATATATTATGATGAATAATAACATGCAAACTGGCCCCTCCTTTGAGTATATTTTCAAACCTATAGGGGTTGTCTGTCTAGAGTTGTACTTATTGAGTTGTACATCACTGGCTTCTCAACACTAATCAAGCTACATTTACCCTCGTTCAGTTGAGAAAATGGCAGAGAAGTTGAACCCAACTCGGCAAGTGAATATTGCCAGTTAATCAAGTGATAACCATGGACTTATTACCTGTCACTGTTTTGGAGAAGTCGGCCTGCAGTCGGGTTGAGATTTACGCTTAGGCTGTAGGCTACCAAATCTTTTTTGTATTATAGTTTGATCAGGCTTCGTCTACCTCTCTTGGAATATATTCGGCAAATTCAAACCGGTCTCAAATCTGGATACATGTCTCTTCCAATATAAACGAGCATCTATCTGAGTTATCCGGTCTACAGTATCAAGATAGACTGCTTCGTTTGCTTGATAAATATTGAAAGTACTTCTGACTTGAGACCGACATGACTTTTCCACATAACCAGCGTCAGATGTTCCTGGAAGGAGTCCGGCCCTTGAGGCCAGACCGCGATGCAGCGTTGAGGCTTTTTGATAGTATCATACAACATTTTGAACCGTCACAGACAATCAAAAACAGCTTCAAACCAGTTACTTTGATCCGCCTGACGAAAGAGGAGGTTCTCGACAAGGATAGTTTTATCAACCTCTTTTTCCCACTGATCGAACACTATTTAGATGGTACCCCACTCGACACAAAGCCCTCCCTCCATCGCATTCTACCTCGTTTGGACGGCTTCATTACATGGACCACCGAGAACCAACGTGCCCTTGGTGAAAGCCTGGCCATGTTCGCGAGGTTTTTGATCGATGATTTTTTCTTGCCCTGTAGGTTACTATACACAAGCTTGGGCTGCAAGCAACTAAAACTGGCCCAGTGATAGAATCAGCTGACAAACGATATGAACCTGCGCAAACATCTCTTTTTGAAACTCTGGAATATTCCTCCCCTTCACACCGAGACTGTTACGTGCGTGATCGCTATAGATGCGTTGTAACCGGAACATTCGATACTGGGGAAGCTTATAAGCGACTCAACAGATACGGGGACTGTTGCCGAGATGACAATGGAGACATGTTGTGGCCGGACGATGAGGCGATGGAATTTCTGAAAGTGGCCCACATAGTTCCTCACGCTCTTATGTCCTCCACCAATATGGACGATCCAAAATTGGTGTGTACCTGTTGCACTGAACATAGGACTACTGACGAAGGCCAAAAGCGTTGTGACATCTTTGTAGCCGAGGGGTACTTCCTGGAAACAGTACCCTTCCAGATTCTATTCTTTGATCCCACCGCCTACAATCTATCTAGACTGAACACATGCAGATGACCCATAGGATCCTGAATATGTTCAATCCCACTGTTGTCCCTCTCATCTGTGGGACTAACATTGGTTACCGTCCCATGAATGCGCTCACTATGACCCGTCCTGCTCGCTGGCTGTTTTCTCAATTCAGAATAGCTTTCGAACACATTGGGCCTCACATTTACAAGATCGACTTGGTGCGCCCAGACTACCCGCCCCATCTTCAAAGGGTTAAGCTTCCTGTCACCCGGACCCTCGATCTCGCCCCAGACCACGATATAGACCCGCCGTCAGCTAGTCTTCTGAAGATCCACTCTGCCGTCGCGAAAATTCTCCACCTGAGTGATGTAGGTCGGTTTATTGATCGATTTTTTCGGGCGATGGGGGAAATGGAAGCGCCGCTATTTAAGCCAGATGCAACGAGCCGTTTCGACGAGTACGTGGCTTTCAATCTTGCTGGTTGTTTTAAGGAGATGTCTACGAACTAGAAGTCTCTAGGTTTTAAGCCGCTAAACTGCTGGACTTCAACATTTAACACTGTTGAAGTTATATTACCGTAATGTGGGACGCGAAATGGACTCTATTATGCAAGCGAGGGTACACGTTTATCAGTTATCTAGAAAGATATCTGACTGTGGCAGTTGTGGAGTTGCGAGACATGCATGCAACCGACCAATATGTCAGCTAACTTGCGTATTTTCCGACCTAAGTTGATTTTTTTGCAGTCTTGCAACTATTCGCGACCTTTTATATCTTTATGATTCATTAATATCATCAATGCTTTGACCGATTCATCGGTCCTCCCACAGCAGTAACGTTTATATCAAGCATTATGTATTGAGGTTGGTCCAATAAAATGGAGACTTGAGGATGTACCTTAATATGAACTATGTTGAATGTATCATACATCTCTTCAAGTTGCGTTATACAAAATACAGGTCACTCTCCCCTAGCTTAAAGACCTGGCCGATATGCAGATGAACCTCTTTTCTTATATTTCAAACCATCTCCAATATCTGCACGTCACATTGATAGAATCTTATTTGAAGCATCTCTAGAGATTTTGATCAGGCTTTGATTCTATTTTTAAATAGATTTCCGGTACTTCTAACGTATGTGTTGAATATCTTGGATATTTATTCCGGTATCATCAACCTGAATATGAACCCAAGCACACGGGATATGGTTAAATAAAACTATACAGGACAGTAATATAAGCACGGAAAGACCGTGCTTATAGATTTAACCGCCAGACACAACCATGGCCGTTCCACTCACCCACAATTAGCCCGATGGCTAGTACCTTAGTTCACTCGGGGAACCCCGCCGCGGGCTCGGTTGATTAATGCCGTATCAGAATACCGTGCTATCTTTGAGCAATTGACACCATGATCTTCTCCCCATACATCTCTCTAAACAATTGTATAGTACTCACGTAGCACAATGCCATCCAACACCCCCACCTACAACTCCGACCAACTCGAGCTCTACCTCCAGCGCATCCAATATGCAGACGCCACAGCCAGTCCCACAGGGGTTCAACACCTCCGCCTCCAGTCCCTCCAGCAATCCATCCAGACAGATCCCCTGACCACGCTGACAATCCTGCAACGAAAGCACCTGGCTGCTGTCCCGTGGGGTAACTCCGCCTTGCATTACTCGCAGCATCGCACCATCTCCACCCACCCCGCCGCCGTCTTCGACAAGCTGGTCGTGCGCCGGCACGATGGCTACTGCATGGAGAATACCAACCTCTTCTATGGTGTCTTGTGCTCGCTGGGTTACCAGGTTTATCCTACGGGAGGGAGGGTGTGTAAAACTGTGACTGGTGGAGAGTTCAAGCCTGGTGAGGAGCTGTATTTATCACTGTATGTCTTGTTTTTTTTTTTCCTTTTCTTTATCTTTCCGTCTTGAGGCTTTGAGGCTACGTGCTGGTTGGATGGTCGTTGCTGATGCTGTGTCTTGCAGAAACCACATGGTCTTGATTGTGACCATTGACGGCCAGAAATACATGGTGGGTTCATTCCCCCCTCCCCCTCGCCCAAAAGATAAATGCTAATGGAGTTCACCAGGTGGACGTGGGCTTCGGTAACAACACGCCAACCAGTCCCCTCCCGCTACGGCCTCACGCAGCAGAAGAAGCAGTCACCTGCATGGCGCCGAGCGAAATGCGCCTCATCCACGACGCGCTCCCCGAGTTCGTGGACCACACGCAAAAGGTCTGGATCTACCAGGTGCGGTACGAGCCGGGCAGCGCGTGGGTGCCACACTACTCGTTCTCGGAGGTCGAGTTCCTGCCGCAGGATTTTGCGATGATGAATTTCTGGACTAGCCAGGGGCCGGCGAGCTGGTTTAGGCAGGCGCTGTTCTGTACGCGGCTTGCCATTGACGAGGCCACTTTGGAGCCGCGCGGGGTCTATATCTTGTCCGGGAAGGACGTGAAGAGGAGGGTGCTGGGGCAGACGGAGGTGCTGGGGACGTTTGCGGTGGATGGGGATCGAGTGGAGGCGCTGGCTAGGTGGTTTGGGATTGTCCTGTTGCCGCAGGAGGTGGATGGGATTCAGGGGATGGTGTCTGAGATTAAGTAGAGCTTTGCATACTACCTAGGAGGATAGGGTGTTGTTGGTACGATATGATGGGATCCGATTGGTGGATGGTACATATGGAAGATTTCTTTGTTTCTTTTTTTGTCTTTTGTATATAATTCAATTGCGGGATATTTATCACAGAAGCGCAGGAATAGAGTGAGCGAAGAAGAGAAACTCATGAAGTTGATATATCGATTCGGGTGTTCTAATAGATCCGCTTCTCCAACTGTTGCATACGTTAGTTTCATCGCACCTCCCACTGACAGAAACCTTAAACCATACCTTCCACGGGTTGCTGACTTCGAAGCCATTGGGCGCTACCACATTGGTCGACTGGCCTCGCTTCGTTCCCGTGAGTCTGTAGTCCCGTTCCATCACTGTGTTCGAATGATTAGCTTCAACTTTGAGAACGACCGAGAGTCCCCTCCCTAGCGAGTGATATTCCAATTCCATCTCTTCAGGTAACTCGGCGAATCGGGTCATGTCACGTACTTTGCTGCATAATCGTTAGCCCAAACTGTTCCGATCGCAGCGTCGTCCGCTCCAGAAAGAACAGAGACCAGAGGAAACTTACTCTATCCCACAGATCGCGGTTCCAGCGCGCCCGCTTGCCCTCGTTCGACAAGGTTTTAACCGCTCCCAGACCAATACCAGTCACACCGAACATCTGTCAATCCGCCATGCCGTCAGTCACTGACTCGGTTGTTTCCGGGAGAGGGGGGGAATGGAGCGAGATAAAGTTGGATTTCCACGTACGCCGATGATGATCCCATAGGGAATCAGAGCCTCGAAGGGGACACCCATGGTTGCTATGAAAGGAAGGTAATTGGCGTGGAGAAGAAGAAGACAGAGGCAGAAGAGGAGGAGGAGAAATGAATAATTGAAGGACGGTGGTTTGACGACCGCGGGAATGCCGCTGAGGTCTGGCGCATAGCTGACCAAAGCGGTTTAGCGGGGCAAGGAAAAGGCGGCTGAGTCAGCCGGTCAGCCATCCAGCGACCTCCAACAGCCAAAAGCAGGAGAAGGGGCGACGGTGGATGATGGTTATGATGATTATTATTCCGTTGCGTTGATTCAGAGGACCATTCAGCTACATCCTTTTCACTATAATCTTCGCCGGATTCTCTGGTACCTTCCAAATCGATAATTAGACGCCTCGTCCGCTGTGGATCGACGCGCCGCCGTCCAACCTCCTCCCCCCGACTTCGAACGCAACTTGCTCGCTCCTGAGTCTTTGACGACGATAGTACTCTCCGTGGGGTTACGCCTTTCTTTCACCTATTTGTTTGCCTCTACTCTTCTGTTTTATGTTGGTTTCTCCTTCGCGCGTCGTTTCGTGTTCTATCCATTCTGCCTTCTCTTTCGAATGCTTGTCACTCCCCGTCCATGGTTGTGTTGATTGCGCTGCTTCCCCAACTCGTCGCTAATTCAACACAGTAGAGCTGCGCAGTTTCCCTACCTTAGAGAGGCTCGTGGGACAACCGTCTGGTGGTGAGCATCGATCGCATTGATGTTCCCCATGCGGCACTAGATGATTGTCGACTCGCACGGGGAGCTTCAGTAGCCTCAACAACTGCCAGGTTACCGATCAACCACAAGAGATTAGAGTTTCCTTCACACAACCCTTCCTCTCTCCCCTCTCGGGTAAACCGCTCAACCTGGCGACCGCCGTGACTGTTACCATGCCGGCTGGTGTTGCGCCGCCGCCGGTCCCCGACGACCACGACCCCCAGGTGAAGCCCTCCACGGCCGCGGTGGACAGTGACCTGGACGCTGAGGGCGAGGAGGAGACCGACCTATACCAGATGGATCAACAACTTCAGGATGCCGTCCATCGTGCGTATTCTGGAGAAACCGACGAGGAGGATCGAGGTGGTTCCGGGGACGAACAAGATGCGGAAGGGGAGCCGGATACGGAGATGAATGGGTCCGGTGAGAACGATGAGACGGAACCCGTTGGGGCGGTCAAGCTGCCGGATGATGCCCCCTCGGTAGGCGAGGATGACGATATTGATGCCGATGCCGATGTTAATGGGGATCCGGCCTTTGAGAACGACAGCAACAGTGATCGGGAGGCTTCTGCTTCCAGTAGCCCCGAATCCGATGACGAATGGGAGGCAGAAAGCAATGCCCGGGAGGATGCCGAGGTGGACAATAATACGGTTCGCGGTAATTGTCTGTGAGTGTAAATCTTTTTTCTTTTATCCCTCTGGTATTGTTGTAGAGCTATTTGTTTTCGATTGTGTGGTTTTCAACACATCACTCCGGAGGTACACTATCGTGAATGCTGACAATATAATCAGATTCTGTAACCAGGATGAGTATCATGATCCAAGCGAGGAGTATGAGGAGTATTTAACTTGTGCAGTCTGCGGCGATCACTGTACGTTGATTTGCGGCCCGGCGCTCCCCAAACTCTTGGCGATCGTTACTAACCTGGTCCTTCCGACAGCTCACCGGCAGTGTGCCCGTGAACAAAGCGCACTAAACGATGCACAAGGTATTTTCCGGTTCTAATGACTGGTGGAGGATCCTCGATGCTAATAAAGTTGCAGACGCCCCCCCTTGGAGATGCCCGACCTGCGTGCGGGAGAAGCTGGAACCTAGCGTTGGGGAGAGTAGCGCGCCTCAGCGAATGATGGGTCCCAAGAATATGAGCAAAGAACTCATGCCCGCCCACCGTGGGGAGGAGGGCTCGGGTTTCCACTCAATCTTCAACACGGTGTCGGTGAATGAAGATCTCTTGAATAGTTCCCGGTCATTGCGCAAGAGGAAAACCCAGTCGGTGGAGGCAGAGGAACATATGCCGGTGCTTCGAAAACGCCTGCGGCAGTCGTCGACGGGGGTGCGCGATCTGGTCGCCGAGAACTCCGACACCATGTCCCCCGTGCGGACTCGCT